CAAAATTGGAAAGATTGGCGTCAGGAGGGGTTGAAGAAGCAAACCGTAATTCTTGCTTCTAATGAAGATGCCACAATCGTATGATCGGTTTATGCTTCACTTGCCTCCACAGCGCCCCATCGTTTGCACTATCGCAACTTCTCAGTGACATAGCTGTATACCACATTTTACTCATGGTTACTATAGATGTGGCCCCATAGGCTTTCCCGTTATGAGCGAGTCGACTTTTTAACGACCGGCGACTCTCCTGAGTGAGAATAAATATTATCACCTTCCCACAACATCCACCCCTTTCTCCCCCCTCCCTTTCTCGAGTTGGGGAGATATCAGGCCACTCCAGGGAAGCAGCCTGCAGTCTGCGCTTTTCGGCTACTCATTTCCAACACATTCGAACGTGGAAGTAAACACATCGCATGAACGACGCCCAGTTTATTTGCAACCTAAGTAATGTGGCTCTATACTGTTTTGACCCAATCAATTTAATCATCAATCATTATTCGTGACGATTTCATGGTGAAAGTGTGTTCGCCGTGATGCCACGAAAGTGATCGATTCAAAGTTTTGCTGAAATACTCGCTCCTGTGACGCACTAGTGCGTAAGGTCAAAGCACCCGAGGCAGTGCGTAATACTTTTCAACTGTCGTTGACGATAAAACATTTGTTTGGAAGTGCGTAAAATTGTTTACGCACTTCCCACAAAATGTTTAAAATCAGCTTGCGAAAACTGTTGCTTCCACCCTCTCTCTCTCTTTCTTTTTTTTTTTTTTCGCGCCACTACAAAAAATAGCGGCCGAACAACGAAATTCTATCAAAACCTCGCTTCTTAGAGAAAGGACACCAGGCTATAGGGTAGTGAATCTGCCAGGGAGTTTGTAGAAATAAAGGGCGACCATTGAATCTAGCCTTCTGCACATCATGCCCGGGATATTTCCATTTTCCTTCCACGCGATTGGAAGGCAAGACGCTGGGGGAATTTATGTGCACTAACATGCTGCTTCTAAAAGAAAGTACCAGATTTCTTGTGCATGTCAATCTACATGTAAATAGTTTAATCAGTGTGCACAAACATTCGCGGCCTGGAGGATGACATGGAAGCATGGCGGAAAGCAGCTTGCTGGAAATATAAGTCTCTATTGCATTGCACTGGTGTGAAAAATTATTACGCATTTTTGTTTTATTTCTGTGCGAAAATAAAAACAGCGTTTAGAAACCGAACACTGTGTTTCGAGGTGCGCCGAAAGGACATAAAGAACCGGGACAACCTGAACAATACGAGGCGCCTTGCGTCACTCAGCTTTTCCTGGTTTCTTGGTTTTCCGGAGCCTTTCAAAAGGGGTTGAAAAATTATGAACCGATTGGCCCGACTTGCCACATTAGAGCAGTTCATTTTCATTACGACAGGTTCTCTTAGAGCGTCCTGCATAGTTCAGCTTGTACTGGTCCGTTTTTATTTTCGGTTCTTTTCAAAAAGTGAGCTCTAAGCTACTGGACCAACCTACAACATTCAAAATTTACGGAAGCGGAGAAGTTTTGGGAGGGCCAAGCGGGCAAGGGTTGCACGCCTCTCGAACCACCGTCCGTTACCTTTGCTTAGCGGCTGGGCTTTGCGAGCAGAATGCGAGCTTGCTCGAGTAACTTGGATCCGTTCAGAAAATAATCCCCTCTAAACAACCATCTCCGCCGCTTTGGAAGAACGTAAGTGGGCGAACGAGACGCCTCTGGGTTTTGCGTCACGCCTACATTTCAAGGGTCAGACTTACTGTTCCCGACACCAGCACGATTGACGGCACCGCCCGCGTCTTTGATTGTATATTGATACGGGGTAGGAGAAGAGCGCGACGGCCCGCGGCCGTAGTGCGTTAATTCTGGCTCGCACTCTGGCGGGCAATCAGATTAAAAAACTACCGCTGAGAACCACCCCGTGTATATACTCGAAAACATGATAAGCATCGAATAGGAGTGAACGTAGACGTATAATGATCCGATGCAAAGTTTCGCTTGATTCCTAAACGAATAATGCCATAGCCAAGTACACCTTTACATCAAATTGTTAGACAGAATTGAAGAGAAGATTGTGTGTTTCTTGAAAGAGATTTCGGCCGCCTTCTATCCGGTCCGCTTTTCTATAGGCCCCAAATAACGTGGGCGAATCTTTCCGTTGCATTTCCACTTCTCCGCTTCCGCAGTTAATGAATGTGGTAGTTTGGTCCAGTGGCTTAGAGCCCACGTTTTGAAAAGAACCGAAAATAAAAACGGATCAGTACAAGCTGGAATATGCAAGACGCTTGAAGACAGCCTGTCGCAATGGAAATGAACTGCTCTAATGTGGTAAGTCGGGTCAGTTCATAATTTTCATCCCCTTTTGAAAGGCTCCGAACAAACAAGGAACCAGGACGAGCTCTGATTGTCCCGGTTTTTTATGTCCTTTCGGCGCTCCTCAAAACGCACAGGGTTCGGTTTCTAAACGCTGTTTTTATTTTGGCACGGAACTAAGACAAACATACGTAATAATTCTTCACACCAGTGCAATGCAACAGAGACTTCTATTTTCAGCAAGCTGCTTTCCGCCATGCTTCCATGTCATTCTCCAGGCCGCGAATGTTTGTGCACAGTGATTAAACTATTTACATCTAAATTGACATGCACTATAAATCTGGTAATTTCTTTTAGAAGCAGCATGTTAGCGCACACAAATTCTCCCAGCGTCTTGCCTTCGAATCGCGTGGAAGCAAATTGGAAATATCCCGGGCATGATTTGTGCAGAAGGCTAGGTTCAATGGTCGCCCATCATTTCTACAAACTCCCTGGCAGATTCACGACCATATAGCCTACTGTCCTTTCTCCAAGAAGCGAGGTATTGATAGAATTTTGTTGCTCGGCCGCTATCTTTTGTAGTGGCGCGAAAAAAAAAAGGGAGAAAGAGAGAGGAAAGCAACGGTTTCCGCAAGCTGATTTTTTTTAGTATTTTTTTTTTAGCCATTGCGATATTTTGTTGTCTTTCGGTATGCTTTTGTGGTGTAAACAATTTTACGCACTTCCCACAAATATTTCATCGTCAACGACAGTTTTAAAGTATTACGCACTGCCTCGGGTGCGTTGACCTTGCGCACTAGAGCGTCACAGGAGCGCGCATTTCCGCAAAATAAATACGAGGACCTATTTCTCCCTTTGAATCGACCATTTTTGTGGCATCACGGCGAACACACTTTCACCATGAAATCGTCACGAATAATGATTGATGATTAAATTGATTGGGTCAAAACAGTATAGAGCCACATTACTTAGGTTGCAAATAAACTGGGCGTCGTTCATGCGATGTGTTTACTTCCACGTTCGAATGTGTTGGAAATGAGTAGCCGAAAAGCGCAGACTGCAGGCTGCTTCCCTGGAGTGGCCTGATATCTCCCCAACTCGAGAAAGGGAGGGGGGAGAAAGGGGTGGATGTTGTGGGAAGGTGATAATATTTATTCTCACTCAGGAGAGTCGCCGGTCGTTAAAAAGTCGACTCGCTCATAACGGGAAAGCCTATGGGGCCACATCTATAGTAACCATGAGTAAAATGTGGTATACAGCTATGTCACTGAGAAGTTGCGATAGTGCAAACGATGGGGCGCTGTGGAGGCAAGTGAAGCATAAACCGATCATACGATTGTGGCATCTTCATTAGAAGCAAGAATTACGGTTTGCTTCTTCAACCCCTCCTGACGCCAATCTTTCCAATTTTGAATAAATCCGGGACAGCGTTGATCGCGCAAGCCCGCGCCAATATTTAAAGGTCTTTATCAAGTTATAAAACAGTCATCACGTAGAGGTAAGGACAAATAAATACGCAAAAGAGTCCAAAATGGGATGAACAACCTATGAGAGGAGATGTGTTTCAAACAGTAATGAAGAGATTAGGGAAAGCCACTTGATTTATAAGTTTAGAAAATAAAAGTATTATCGACGACCTGAACCCTTTATTGCGCAAGCCAATCCTTGTGCAGACACGGGAATGGTTCCAGCAGCCGCGCGATGCCAGAAAGCGGCTGCTGGAACGAACCCAGCATACCAAGACCCCTCGATCTCCACCGACCGAGCGGCCTCGGACCTGCAGCTCATGGGAAAAAGAGTTCGGTCGCGCTGGGTTCCTCAATCTCGCGGATTGAGCGAGCCCGCGTCAACGAGGGAAGACACCTGGACGTCTCAAGGTCGTCTTTGCGCTCACAGCTAGCCGCTCATTTCGCGGTTTTTGAGGACTATCCCTACAGAAAAAGCCGACACAAAACGAGCACCTGCCGTCACGTGATTTTTGGGAGAGGGTGAAAAGAGGAGGGCGCGAGGGCCTTTCTCCTACCTTGCGGAAAATGGTTTCGTTGGTCGGTCTTTAAGTGAGAGTCGCATGTCACGAACGCATGAAGTAATGCATTTAAGAAGTTAAGCTACTTGAGAAGAAAATTAAAAAAAGAAACAACAACTTTACGCCTGCAAATAAACTGTCAGCAAACAAGGCACTGGTCAGACCAGTGCTGGAATATGCCAGTATGATCTGGAGTCCGCATCAGGATTACCTTGTCAATAAGCTGGAAAAAGTTCAAAGGATTGCAGTAAGGTTCATCTATTCTGGTTACTCATGGAGGGCTAAGTTGGACACCTTATAAGATAGAAGAACGCAAAGTTGGACACCCCGAAAAGATAGAAGAAAAATTGCTAGCTTGAAGTTTTTGTACGCACTGCATCAACAACAAATAAATATTGCACAAGAAATATACCTCAAGGCCCCCTTCGTGCACTCAAAGCGAACCAATCATAACAAGACAGTCAGGCCGTGTTCAGCCCAAAACAACACAATTAAATATTCCTCTTCCTCCGCGTTATTTATGAATGGAATAAGTTACAAGAAGAAATCGCAAATAGTACATCAGCGCAGTCTTTTGACCAGACTCTCACTTCTATGCACCAGCATAACATTCCGCTTATGCGTTTTGTTATTCTTTATTTTTATTGCGGATGTTTTATACCACTGTATTGCTTCTTGTCTGTACAAATTCCCACTTCTGTATCAATACTGTAGGTCATTGTAGACCCTTCAATGACCTACAGTATTGATAAATAATAAAAAAATAATGTCATCTCTGCAAGGAACATAGGGGACACGCGAGTTCTTCCTTGAAGAGAGGAAATGCTACTCTTTTTTTTTTTTTTACGGTGTGGACGCTCGCGGCCTTAATGACTGCTAACAAAAACATGCGTTTTATTCCAATATTAGATCAGCATCCTTTAGAGCCTTCCGCGTAAACAAGCTCACTGCACTCACAAGAAACGAAAGTATGGAGGCGAGGAGGAAACATCATAATCAAAAACCTTGAGATACGGAGAAATAAACTAACGGACAGCGCAACACGTAATCTTATTTTGTGTTGTGCTGTCCGTTGTTTTATTTCGCCGTATCTCAAGGTTTTAAATGATGAGGTCACTACGCTCGTTGCGGATCTATTTTGTTCTGCTTCGAAAGCAGATAACTCGACGTGGCAGCAGCCTATTCAATCTTCGGCGCCTATATTTAAAAGTTATCAACCCAGCACGCAACCTTTAAACATAAATGTCCTCCGAGGTCTGCACTTCTTATCGCAATTACCGGGTCAACGATTGGTCTACGGGCCGCTGTCGTTTGAACGAGCAGACGACAAGCAGAAACGTTTGAGGGAGCAGACGACAACTCGAACGATGAGGCGGCCGCGTTCATGTATGAACAAAACAAATCTGACGATCACAAGTATCTGTGAATTCAATCCAAAGTGCTTTCCGCCCAAGCAATCGTAGTCCGACGGCGTCTGTTTTTCCTTTTTAACGGCCCCTGTTCACGTTCTCGGACGAACCGAGCAGGCAGAAAACGCATGAAAACTGACCTTCACTGCCTTTCACGACTTTTTTGGTAAAGCCCCAGTCGCGGCGTTTCGACGAGAAGGCAGGTTTTTGTCCGGTTTCTTCCGGAGTAACACAAGAATGCACGTGCCCCATGGCCGCTTCCGCCCACAGCCCCAGACCGGAAGTGCGCCCGACGCGCCACCACCGCGCCGTGACGTAACAGAGATGAGTTCGACCGACTTCAGGGCGCTGCCATCTTGCTTGGCTGTGGTGCGCTTGGACGAGTCATAATCCGATTACGAAGCCTTGCTAAGGCGTCGTAATCGGATTATGGCTGCGCCCAAGAGCGCACCCCACTGAGGAAGATGGCGGCGCCCTGGGCCCGGACTTGCAAACGTGTATAGACCTTTTCTGCAAGTGCGCCGCCATCTTGAATTGACGTCACTTCCAGTATGGGCGAAAACATTGTTTTGCCTTTGCCACGCCAATAGAAGGCATTTAGGATATAAGCGTAACCGTCACACTTTCTCGTTTTGCCTCCCCTTTATTTTTTTACTATTTGCAGGTTGAAACGTTGGATTATTTTTTCGTCGCCCATACCGGATACGCCTATTAGGTGGCTGGAGACGAGAGTACACAGAAAAGGTCTATAGGCTGGGGATATCGCACGCTGGGCTGTGAATTTGTAAACACGACTGAGAAGAGGTTTCCCTCGCCCGTTTTTCGTTCTGCGTAACGACGACGTTTTCAGCTTTTGACCCACCGTATACCGATGCATGGCATACAATTTTTTCTTCGAACGCCAAACATATTGACCAAATGAAGGAGGATATTTTATGCATGGGTGTTCTTGCGTAGAAGGCTTGCGGTTACCATTATAGGGCACGCAGCAGGTACGTTTCGACAAGAGCCACTAAATGAGCTACGCTTAGGTTATCGACACTCCGTGCGACTTCTTCAGCTCTGTACACGGCGTTGGGAAGCCCAGGTGATATTGTTTTGCCCTGTCGCGAACTGCTTTAACATTCCTGGAAGGCAAAGAGGCGTTTCCTGGGATTTCATATAAAGCTTCCAATGACTGGCAACCATGATTTTAAGCATCAAGATGGCTGAAGTGTTACTCTGAAGCGTAGCTTGTTTAGCGAATCTTGTTTCGACCTTGGTCTTGAGCTGTTTTTCTCGCAGGCTGTGTGCACGACGCCGGCTCCTTCTACATGAAGGGGCAGCAGGCGGCCGAAGATGCTGCCGTGGTGTCCCTTATGCTCAGGGCCGGCGCCATTCCCGTGGCCATCAGCAACGTGCCCGAACTTTGCATGTCGTCCGATTGCCGGAACATGCTCTATGGAGTCACGTCGAATCCGTACGACACAAACCGGTCTCCAGGCGGAAGCTCAGGTACGACTGCTAACCGATGGGGGTTCCTTCATGTGCGTCACGCAGGGTATTACCTGAGCGTATGCCCCGGTACAAATTCATGAATGTTGTCATGAGCAGGGACGGCGACTGAGCCTATAGACAATTTCAAGCAGAGCGACTGGCCGCCGCCATGCTTCTGCTATTCCATAGGAGGAATAGTGAGATCGGGCACCGAAACGCGCCATGCATGCATTGCTGTGAGGTAGCGAGCGAGGAAAGGTACCGGATGTACGCCGCGGCGCTGCAGTAGCATGGCTGGAAGATTCTAGCGTTCCGAGGGCATTTGGCAAGCAGGTTTGGCTTGGCGCTTTGGCAGAGCGAATGGGCTCCCATTTAGATCTTTTCCCGTGTTTTCTGTCGCTTATGTCGATTGAAGTGCAATGCCAAATTGTCAACGACGACGACAACAACGCCAGTAGTGCAGCGAATGCTATGCGATGCTTGCACTCCAGCCTGCGTTTTAGTGGCGCCCTCTCGTGCTGTCGACACGAAGTGCGGCAGCGCCATGAGCGCTCGCTGAGCTCAATATCCCTCCTCTAGTTCACTTCAGCCGAGACTAGAACACGGTGGATTAGAACCAAAGCTACAAGCGCGAGTCAGCCCGCGTTCCTGCTTTCTAGCGCGAGCGCTCGTTTTTGCGGACCTTCGTTAAGGTTTCAAAGCCAAGGTCTACAGTGTTCAAGGTCTCACGCTCTCGTGCTTACGGCATTGGTCCACTGGATCTGTGACGTTTAGAGCATCATCATTCTAAACCGTTCCTTGCTTGTTTTCTGGCGAAGCGCTTGAACGGCCAGTCAGAGCGGTCTACGGGAAAGAGAGCCTGAAAGTCGTTTTGACCGGGAAATAAATGAAGATATGTGACACTGAGCCTATGACGCTTGCTAACGTGCTTAAAGTCACACCGCAGACTTCAGTCTTTGGTTGAATCATTTTTCACCGAGCTTTTCCTCTAGATCACAGTGGTTGACTATTCCGGTGGACAGCAGGAAATCGGACGCACGTGCATTTAAAACTTGAGGTGTAGGTTTGCACTCGCAGGAGGCCGTGAGGTGAGAGTGTAGCGCATCAAAGTGTACTTTAAAACATCAATTATTATTCTTCACTTATTCAGCGTTTGTCAATGAGATGGGCGATCGGTATTGTGTCCCGCTGGTAACCTTGTTTCAGGGGCCAAAGCGACAGATGCCTTCTGTGTCACCTGCGTGATTACTGGGGTATGATACCGATAGCCATCTCATTCGATAGAGCTAACCAAGAGAAGACCTGCAATTGGGGCTTCGAGTGCATTGTAGTATATTGCGGGGCATGCAGGAACTTCAGGGAGTGTGGGAGGCGCCTTTGTAATTGAACTTGTCTCAATGTGCCTGACATAATTTGAAGCTCATGTTGACGCAGGAGGCGAGGGCAGCTTGCTCGGCTCGGCAGCGTCCGTGGTCGGCGTTGGCACCGACTTCGCCGGCAGCATCCGGCTTCCTGCATACCGCTGCGGAATCTTTGGACACAAGCCGACCCACGGTGCGTGCCGCGGTCACTGTTGTCGCAAACAAGCTGCCAGCTGGTGGTGGTCTACAAATGTCTGCGCGTATACCTTACACTCTCAAGAAAAAAGGGTGTATCGTTACACCCTTTGTCCCATATAATACACCCCAAAACTTCCATTCGACGTACAGCGCCCTACAGTCGAAAAGACGGCCCGAAATTTTACGAGGGGCTTGATAGCCGTGCGGTACAACTTATTGAAATAGCTAATGTACGTTTTACTGACAAAAAAAAAAAAAAAAAAAATAATCGGGGTTTGCTTGGCCCTACTGTAAAAACTCGGTTTTCTCTATGTGGCCTTTGATACATACTTTAGCTATTTAAAAAGTTATATCCCACCGTTATCAAGCCCCTCGTAAAATTTGGGGCCGTTTGTTCGACTATACACTCCGTGCGGGAACTATAGGGGGCGCTTTGAAAAACGCGCGCAGCGCCGCTAGCGGAGGAGCTGGCGTTCGACTGTGAGGCGCGTTCAGCAGCCTGCGGCGCCTTTTCGCGTGCCAAGCTGTGGCGGCGGAAGCGCGCACGGACGAAACTTTTGCATTTTGAGCCGATAAGTTGAGGGTGACGGTTGCATGAGTGCTGGGGCAGAAGGGCATTTAGCTGTTCTCCACTTCTTATATATTGAGTTCGAGTCGTAATTAGGGGTAATTTCTCTAGTTGCGGCCGAAAAAGGAGGTGGAGTAATTTTCCGAAAAACAAAGACGGCCGCCACCTTAATTGCTCCGAGTGGGAAATTTATTTCGCTCGTCGCTGTAAACCTAGGACTGCTGCAAAGATGATATTTGGAGGCGAGTGAGATGTTCACTAAGTTTGTGCACGAAGAGTGCCAAGTTTCTTTAAGACAGCAGTTGTGAAAGTTATGTTTCTAACGAATAAAGAAATAAAGCTGTACGGGATATCCAATATTGGACCCAAAATGTTGCGTTATAGCGGGCTGTGCAAAGTGCAGATTTCGGCACACAGGTGCTGGGACTTGACAGTAACATGACACAGCACTTATTATGCAAAAAAAAAAAAAAAAGGTGGCATAGGGAAATTAGGTGAAAATTTGGTTTGAGCGGCGTAACTCAAAGGGAACCGGTTTTGATCATGAAAAGGCTGTCAAGAGGATACCACTGGTGGGGGGAGGTGGAGACGTTAGAGGTAGGAAGGGACTAGTGGGCTGTACTTCCAATTGAAACAACTTTACGAAAGGTGATTCCAAAGCCGAGAAAACAAAGTTGTCGGCCAACACACGGTTTGGCCGCCAAGGGCTTTTGCGGTCAGCTGTTGTGTAATAACCTGTTGTGCGAGGTGCTGATTTTCGGCGCACAGGTACTTTGACATGACCGTCACTTGGCACAACACTTATTATAACAAACAGAGTTTTCATAGCGAAACCAGGTGGAAATTTAGTTTGGGCGGCGTAACTAAATGGGAACTGGCTTTGACCGTCAAAGGCTGTCAGGTAATACCACTCATCGTGGGAGGTGCACACTTTACAGGGAGGGGACCAGTGGACGGTACTTCCAGTTCGAACCACTTTGCGATAGGTGGCTCTAAAGCCGAGAAAAAAAATGTTGTCTACAGAACTCGGGGTATCAGCGTTTCCACATCCAAAAGGAGGCTGGTCAAGAAAGAAAGCACACCACATAAACTTTCATACTTAAACGTCGATTCTCCAGTGATTCCGAGTTTCATGGTTGTATTTTTTTAGATTTATATTTGTCACTTTTTTTACCTTTCGAATCTTTCTTCATAAAGTACAGATTTCGTGCCATACTTGTCCGGAAATATCATCGACACGTACGATGGGGACGAAACTTCTTTGGAGGGCATTCCTCCAACAAAATTGGCAGTGCATACCTGCGAGTGTGGGTTCGTCCTATCGGCGCTGACACATGTAGGCGTTACTGGTACGAAAACAAACGCAGAGCGCAAAGCGGCAGTGTAGAATATGTCAGCCGTGCCGACACAGTGGCAGACATGATCGGGAGACCAAATTTCTCGCTTCGTACGGCACGGTTCCATCGTTGTCGCTGTCCCACAAAACATCGGCGAGGTGAAAAACTGTGAAACTTTGTCTCCACGAGATACGACGCATAACTATTGAAGCACTTAATGACGCAGCACAGCTTCATGCTGTGAACCCAGCGCTACCGCACCACTCCGACTTCAATGCGTACCAACGTACGCGGCGTGGTTTCGATTTCGTTTTCTCTGGGGTTCTCGCTGCCTACCTTAGGTACCGGCCGCGCGGCGGCGCGCCAGTCGCGTCGCACGGAGTGTATACGGCTCTGTACGTCGAAATGTAGTTTTGGGGTGTATTATGGTGGGACAAAGGGTGTAACGATACACCCTTTTACACCCTTTTTTCTTGAGAGTGTATTTACTCGAGTAATAGCCGCACTGTTTATGAAGAAAACCTGAGGGTTTGCTTTTCCGCGGAGCATGCAGATTGCCAATCACCGCGATCAGCAGCATGATTCCAGCGGTTTACAGGACAGAGATAACGTCTTCGTTCGAAGATACCATCTTTGAAGATTGCATTTGTAAGGGGAATCGTGTTCTCGATCTAGTTATTCGCTGTGTTATTTATGCGCAACGGAATGATTGGCTGTATATGTGTTCTGGGGGAAAGTAGACGCAAGGGCCTTGTTCATAAATAGTGCGGGTATTACTCGAGTAAGTACGGTACTTACCTTTTGAGCACGCGGTAAGCGAATCACTGAATGAGAGCCCACAGCGATTGATGGGCCACAAAGGACGGGTTGGCTCGGAGTCGCAGGGTGTTTCATTTTATTTATTTCGTTTATTTTCACCTTAAGGGCCCCGTTAGGGCATTACATAAGGAAGGGATATATACATGTTATATAAATCAAGACAAACAAGAAAAGAAAAAATACACAGGCTAATTAATACATCCCAGTCAAGCTCGTTAATCGTACATAATACCAACAAAATACTAATAAAAAAAAAAGAATCCGTAAGCTTGATAGAAATGCTTCTGGGCCTACGATGGTGACGATGGAAGATGGTAGGCTGTTTCAGTCGCAGATGGCTCAAGGAAGGAAAGACTGATTGAATGCGTTTGAGGAACCGGAAATACATTTGATTGTGCAGGAGTTGCTAAGGCGAAAAGATGTTCTGTCAGGGGTGCATGATAACAAAGAGTTCTTGAGGTCGGGGCAATGAAAGTATGTGACTTTATGAAGAAGACATAGGCGAGAGAGTTTTTTGCGGAGCTGCCAAGAAAACAGGGTTAGTTGACTTTTTAACGCGAATACGCTCGCAGAAAAATCATAGGTGGACAAGATGAAACGAGCGGCTCGGTTTTGTACTGCCTCCAGGTGGTTGATGAGGTATGTTTGATGGGAACTCCAGATGGAAGCTGCATATTCGAATTTTGGTTTGATGGTACGCTAGTTTGCGGACGAGTGGAGGAGCACTGCGTAGGTTACGTCAGATCAAGCCTAGAGTTCTCAATGAGTCCGGATGTATGGCTTCAATGTGGTTATTTCATGAGAGGTCTGATGTTAGTCTTACACCAAGATATTTATACGTTGAAACAGTTTCGAATAGGTCAGAATCGAGGAAGTACTGATGACATAGGATGGATTTATTTCTGGTGAAGCGGATTAATTTACATTTAGATTTCCTTAGTGACATCAACCAGGTGTTGCACCATTGGTTAAAATTTTTAGGAGGTCATCTTGTAGCTGGTTGTGATCACGCACACATGTTACTTTGTTATAGACGACGCAGTGGTCTGACAAGAGGCGTATTTTTCGGCGACAACGGGCCACCACACAGAAGTCTCTCAGTGTACACTGCGGCGCGGTGTGCTAGCTACACCGATTCCTGGTACCCCTTTGGTCAGTTCACCCAATGGGAAGCTAGGTGGGCATTGTGCTCCAATAACACGCAGTTTCAGTTTTAATGGGGAACACGCCTTCTTGTTGCTGTGACAGTGACTGCATGACGCGTCGGACCATGACAGCCTTCTTCCTTCTCGTTGGTTGGATTGGCTAAAGAGATAACAATAATTAGTGCTCCCAGTCCATCGCGGTGCTGCATAAATGCAGGAGGTTCTGATAGCGTACACTTTCCATCAATGGGAAAAACCTTTGCGCCGAGGCAGTCTATGCGGCGGACACGTCTACCTGGGGAACATACTTTTTTTAATATGAACATATAACTTATGTTATTTCCTTACCCCCGCAATGTGGGCCCATCAAGTCAAAAGAAATCAGTTACCAGAAACTGCCACCTCGAATGGGTCTTTCACATTGTTGGAGACTGTACGTGCTCGCAATTTTCGTTTCACGCCTTTTTGCTATTTTTAGTGAAAAAAAGTGAAAGCCGTTTACAACTCCCTGCAATGCCGAATTGAGCGCAGCTCTTGAGGAGGGGGAGGGAAGGGTACTGGGGGGGGGGGGGGGGTCAACTGACCGGAGGGGGGGGGGTCATGTGACCTTGGGGGATCACGTGACGATGACAATGCCGATGACGTCATCAGTGACGATGACGATACCGATGACATCATTAGTGACGTCACTGATTACGTCACCAGTGAGGATGACAATGACAATGCGGATGTCGGTGATGTCACCATTGACGTATCAGTGATGATGACTATGCGGATGCCCGTGACGACATCAGTGACGTAACTGATGAAGTCATCAGTGACGATGACGTCACCGATGCCGGTGACGTCATCAGTGTTGATGACGTCATCGGGGGGTCACGTGACCTCGGCGGGGGGTACATGACCTCGGGGGTCACGTAACCTCAGGGGAGTCACGTGACCTTGGGAGGGGTCACGTGACCTTGGGAGGGGTCACGTGGCCTGGGGGGTCACGTGACCTTGGGGTGACCTTGGTTACGCCGACGGCGAGGGCGACGCCGCTCAAGCCGGAAACGGGCGCCTAAGAGCTGCGCTCTAAGAAGTCTTTTATGACATTATAACCTGTTACAATAAAGCTAAAAAAAATAAACATTTACTCTGACAGGTGTCGTGCCCTGCGACGGCATCATTCCAAAATCAGGCGAGGCTCAGATGAGGTTGATCACACCGGGACCCATGTGCCGCTACGCCGAGGACCTGTTGCCCGTGCTTCGAGTGATCGCCGGAGAGAACGCTGCCGCCCTCGGCTTAGACAAACCCGTAAGAACCGGAGTAGCTGACTCGTGAAAAACATCCGAGCAGTATCGAAGCACATGATCGAAGACCGTGCACGCAGTCCTTCACTGACCTATCGCCGAAAAGAGGCCTGTTGCAATTCGCGGCCATCCTAGTATCACAGGAGCAACAGACCAATTCCATGCAACGACCAACCTCAAACACATGCGGCATGCAAGCGAATGTATTACGACTCCTGCTTACTTCATAAACGCGCGCACACACTCAGACATGCGCGCGCACACGCACACGCACGCTCCCACAGATACACACACACACAGATAGAGATAGATAGAAAGAGAGAGGCAGAGAAGGAAAAAGAGAGAGTCTTTATTGTCAAATTGACGAAAGAACACATTGTGTGGCTACGAGCACTGAGACTGCAGGCCTGCCAAAGATACCTGCATGCATGCTGCAGGTGCTTGAGGTTGGTCGCTACAGGTATTCGTTTGTTTCTCATGTGACACTAGGGTGCCGCGAATTGGCCGCTGCCAACGTTCGCTGCTCGTTGTTGCATGTGACGAAATGCGCGTGCATTTCGAAGCGTGCATCTCGAAGCGTAGAACTCGCTCTTGTGGCTTCTCGTTCAGTTTCAGTTATATGAAACGGAGCCAAAACATTGCCGTGTGTAACCGATATTATTTCTAACCTAAGAGGGAACGACAGCTCTCTAAAGCGTTTCTCGTTTGAGTCTGCGCTAGAATCTGCGCTCGAAACGTCTTTGCGCAGGTGGACTTGAAGAAACTGAAGATCTACTACGTCGTGGACAATGGCAACAAGTACTTCACTAGCCTTTGCAAGGAACAGAGTCAGGCCGTTCTGAAGGCAAGTGCACTTTCCGTATATATATTCTTTTGCTGCTTTTATTTGTAAATTAACATATAGCCATGCACTGTATGTAACCTTGTCTGCTCGAAGCGTAGCATATCTGCATATACAGTCAGTGCTATGATTATACCGATAACATGGATATTTTGGTCAATGAGATCCAATTGTGAACATCTCTTTCGAATTCCATTACGACGCTATGATCTATTTTAGTGTTGTGTGTGTTCTCCCATTCTTGAGTTTTATAAAAATAAATTCATGTCAGCCTTTGTCATAATGAAAAGGAAGCTCCAAAAAGCTTCAGAAAATCAGCCGATGTTTTGCTCATGTACTTAGCCTCTTTATTAAAAAAAAAAAAACAAGAAAACAACGCAAAAGGACGGGGCAAAAGTAGGAGCGCACGGGACAGACGCTGGCTGATAACTTATTTAGTTGTCAGTCAGGGTCTGTCCTGCGTGCTTATACTTTTGTCCCGTCCTTTTCCGCTGTTTTTTAATCGTGTCGTTCTACAACCAACTAACCCGGCAATCTACCGCTTTTACTTAGCCTCTACAGAGAAAGTGTCCCTTTAACGGGCAGATATTGTTGTTGCCTTTTCGGCGTTTCGCCCTTAGTCGCGTGTTTTGCCTTCGGGTGTGTGTTTGACTTCGGGCGTGCTTTTGTCTTCGGGCATGCTGTTGCCTTTGAACGTGCTTTTGTCTTCGGGCATGCATTGGCCTTCGGCCGTGCTGTAGCCTTCGGGTGTGTTTTTGCCTGCGGGCGGTGTGTCTTTCCCGTTTCGGGAGTGCGGTGTTGCATCGGCCCGCCGAGCAACGAGACGGCGACGACCTTCCCGACTCGTCATCTACCCAGCATCGGTGAGCCTGCGAACGTTCTCCTGGGCCGGCTTGCTAGAAACAGCGTCTCAGCTGAGACTGGGTGAAAGAAAGCACTGCCAAAGCCAGCGCACGAGCTGCGCGGGTCTCAAGCTGCGTCTCAAGACGCTCGCGCGCCCCAGCCTTTGCAGTGCTTTCTTTCTCCTGCAGTCTCAGCTCAGACGCTGTTCTAGCAAGCCGGCCCTGGACTTTTGGTCCAGCAGTTAAGACTTTTATTTTTCGGAACTTTTTTTGTCTGCACCAGTGATCCCTCGTTCCCGGCTGCCTTTGTGCCGCGAGGGGCGTGTTGTTCTGCTCTGTTTTGAAGCTTGGAGCGTTTACTTTTTGGTGCTTCGTTGCTGCGGTGCCCGAAGTTTCATTGAGCCTGATATCGAGGTAAAACGCGTGTACGCGTTTCCATTATTGAGTTTGTGTCACCGTGCGCGGCTGTTTAACGCCCCAAATAAGCTTTTTTTTTACCTCTTTTTTTTTTATCGTCTTCTTCGGTCGACTTCACACCGGACGTGGGCCGATCGATGTCACCGGTCTGAACCTAGCATTTCTTTTCTTTTTATTAGTTCATCGCTTTTCCAGTGGAGTTAGTATTTTATTTTTATTATTTTTCCCCCACTTCGTGACAGACCGCGGCTTTAGCGAAACGTCGACTGCCGCTCGTGGCTCTCAGCAGGCTCTTTTAAGCAAGATTTTGTTTGAACTTTGTCTACGATGCCCACGAAGATAGTTGGAATAAAAATTAAATCGCAAAAACAAACTCGTTGTGTGAAAACAGGTGTGGGCAGCCGGATGACGTGAACGGTAGTATTATGATTTGCTCTCGATGATTAAGAGTTGTGAGATGATACGTTTGGCGTTAGGATGACAAATGTCGAGCCTGGCCCAGGAGACAGAAGGCGTTTCTTTTTCGGGGCATGCGCAGGCGGTGAAGTGCCTGGAGAATCTGTGCGAAGCCAAGTCCCAGAGGGTGACCTTCGAGGAAATGCGTCGAGGGGTCTTCATCTGGATAGCCTCTTTCGGACCCAGCGCCATGCCGTTCGCTTCCCTGTTCAAGAACTTCACGGGCTCGATGAACCCACTCAGCGAGCTTCTGCTCAAACTCGTGGGTCGGTCTCATCACACCATGAGCGCCATCTGGATCGCTCTCGGAGAGCGCCTGGGCAAAGGCGCTTCCCCGGTCGCCGTGGAAGACCTGGTCGGACAGGGACGGGAGTTCGTCCGCAAGCTGGAGGACCTCCTGGGCGACGACGGCGTCCTTATCTTCCCGTGCAGCGGCACAAAAGTGCCGTACCACAACCAGCTGTTCTCGGTGTACAAGAACCTGCCTTTCACGTGTCTCTTCAACACGGCGAGGATGCCCGTGACGGCGTGTCCCCTGTACCTGGACCAGGAGGGGATGCCCGTCGGGGTACAGGTGGTGGCTGCTCGCTTCAAGGACAGGCTCTGCCTCGCCGTGGCCAGGGAACTCGAGAAAGAGTTTGGGGGATGGAGACCAGCGGGTACACGCTCGTGTTCTTAAAAAAAAAAACTGTGTTTTTTTTACCGATTAATGTTTTTTTACCGATCCACCTGACGGGCAACGGTACAAAAAAATCATCGTCCTGAATATTTCGAAACTTGTATCGGAAACGCCAGGAGAGTATACAAACAGGCTGCATTTTTTCGTCTTTCGGCGAATATTTTTATAGTTATATAGCACTTGGCATCATGTGCGTGTATGAAACATGTACGGGGAGCATTGCAGGAAGTGCACTCCTATGAACTGCGGTGTTCTGAAGGTGGTTTTGTGCTGTATATACTTATAAAAGCTTGTGGGTCATTACCTACGACCTGATCTGCTTGTTCAGTCTTGTGCATTACAAAATATAACGCGGAGGTTGTTCCTACTTAATTCATAAACGAACATAAGCCTCGCGGTATTCGCCTGATTTTCAAGTGAGGTGCAGCTCGGTTGTTTGTATATTGTAGTCAATGAGTGGGAACACTTGAAAGTTAAGTTGTTTTGAAAGCTAGTCATTTAGCTTTGGGTATCTACCTTTTTTAATTCCTTTTTCAAGGATAACCTTTACAAGAGCTGTAGCTGTGTTTTTCAAGCCGTTAGTTATTACGAAGTCTGTTAAGCGAATACACTCTCAGAAAAAAAGGTGTATTATTACACCCCTTGTCCCATATAATACACCCGAAAACTTCAATTCGACGTACAGCGCCCCATAATCGAACAGGCGGCCCTAAAGTTTACGAGGGGCTTGATAGCCGTGTGGTACAACTTATTAAGATAGCTGATGTACGTATTATTGATTACAAAAAAGATTATCGGAGTTTTCTTGGCCGTACTGCAAAAGCTCCGTCTTTTTCTTCTTTGCTCTTTGATACGTACTTTAGCAATTTAATAAGTTATATCGCACCGTTATCAAGCCCCTGGTAAAATTTGGTGCCGCCCGTTCGACTATAGGGCGCTGTACGTCGAAATGAAGTTTTGGGGTGTATTATATGGGACAAAAGGGTGTACGGTGATACCCTTTTTTTTTAGAGTGTATCAAAGTTTGTTACTGCTTAGTAAACGAGAAAGTTTCAACTCTTTCCCTGCATTGTATGTGCCAGAACAGTACGGCCGGCTTTGGTGTTGGGGAAGCACGGCGACGGCAACTCTTGGGCTCTTTCTCTCTCTTTTTTTTTATACCGTGTATATATATATATATTTTTTTTTAGTGGAACCGTACCTTTGGCGGCCGGGAAGCCTCGATGAGTCAAAAATCAACTAGCGCGGCTAAAGTATCCATTCCTCTGCTTTCCTTTTTACTTGTTTATTCAGAAAAACTGCATATTATTTCGAAGTGACAAATACAAGTGTCGTACCTGAAAGTAATATATTGTAGACAAAGATATATTACGTGCATTATGAAAATTAAAATACTAATAATGATCAGTGTTCTTTTAAGCATTAAAAACCAGCCGAAGGATTTTCCGTTCTCTTTTTGGTACCCAATAAAACAAACATGGATGCTCACAAAAAAGAACATAAAGAAACAACACTGTAAAAAAAAACAAAAAACATGCACCTAGCAGATTGAAACAAAGAAAAATTCGCCGCAGACATTTAAGACTGTTTACGTGTAGGAATGCGAAAGTATTCCTACACGTAGCGCATTCCTACAAGCAACGCGCCAAGTCTTCCTTTTTCGCATGGCGCCCCGGTGGTGACGTCACCCTCACCCACTGCGCAGGCGCGGCGAACCCCGCCGGCTCCACGGCTTTCGTGACGATGCATCCGCGTTGCTGTGCTTTTGGCCAAGGGGAATTTAGGTGCCTTTTCGCTCAGCCAATATTAGGTCCCGCTTTTCGCTGCTACAGACAACGCCGGCTTCGCTGTATATGGAACAGTTAATGCTTTCGCATTAATACTAAAATATTAAAACGCTCAACTATATGGCTCTTCTCGATCCACCCGAAGCACTAGTACTTTGATATATCGGTAGCAGAGATAACAGCCTCGTCCTTCGCACTGTTTGGATAATAGAGCTATTGCGTAGCTGCCTTGAAGGTTGTGTGCCGCGCGTTATCGAGGAGCTGCGCTGGCACTCCACAGAAGCGTCGCACTCGTTCCGCTCGCCATGACCTTGCAGTCGGTAAAGAAAGAATTGTGTGTGTTTTTGGAAGAACTGCTGGGCTTCGTTCTGACCCAAGGTTCGGTGCTGCTCTTCGGCTTCTGGTTTCGGTGGACACGTCGGGACGGGGTTCCCGCAACCGCGGACCCCACGCTACTGCAGCCTGCCACAGTGTTGGCCAGAAGGATACGCGCTGGGGATGTAAGTCGGTTCCTTCTTCAGCTAAGCAACTTGGCAGAACGGAAACATCGCCTATCAAAACAACTTAATACACTAGAGACTATATATTTCAGACTGGGATTATTGGCTACTTCAGGGAATTGTTTTCGCGACTTGCTTCCAAAGTTGCCGAATGTTCGAACGGTCAGATGCTGTGGAGTTTTAGTACAGTCGCCAATGAGAAACTGCCTACGCTCCGATCTTGACCCGAAGTTGTGCCAGTTGTGCCAGCACTGAGTAACGGAAGCACGGTGTTGTCGGAACAGACGCAGCCTGTTCGCTGCCGCATTTAAAACGTTCGCCTTAAAGGGGTGTCCAAACAGGACACCGCAAAACGCATGACTCCGACAAATCGTGAAAATTGAAGCAGGCGCGTCCGCTTTAATTTTCACGATTTGTCGGAGTCGTACGTTTTGTAGTGTCCTCTTTGGACACCCCCCCTAGCTGGTAGTGAAAGTATGGAGCGGTGGAAGCAGGTTAGGAAAAGGTTTGCCGGAGATGCTAATCTTAGACGGCCAACCAGCGTATATGCCACGCGCATGGGTGAGATTTCAAGCTGATCATTTATTAGCCCCGAGAATATGGAGTGGCGCCACCTGGCGGCTTCTTGTCGTGACGTAGTACAAAGTATCTCGTGACCGCTTTTGCGCTTCGTTGGTAGCATGTAGGTTGAGGTGTATCGCTCACAATTAATGTTGGATTGGTTAATTCGAACCAGAGTTCGGGGTAGCGTGTGACCTGATTCTTTCGCTTATACCTCTCGTGAAAATTAAGCTCAGGCAGCGCGAGAACAGTGGCGTCGCGACCTGCGGGACAGGACCTAGTGACCCAGTTTCGTGTTATAGTACTGATCACGACCAAATCCGTCGTCGTCGTGGCTTTGGAGGCTTGTCAAGTGACCAGAGCATTTGCGTCTCGGACAACATAATTTCCGGATCGATTTTTTTTTTTTTGCCTGTGGGAAACAGGCAGGCAAAGAAAATAGAAACCAATCGCGACGAGGGCCGAGCACAAGTTGAAATTATCAATCCGATCACCGGTTCCTTTCGCAGTTTGCTCGCGCTGTTTTAAAGAGACGCGAAAAATAAAGTGTACGTACCTCATCCTACGAGGGCAATCCATAGCGTGTTTATTTGGGCTTTACATCAAATAAAGCGGAAACAAAATTGGGGTGTGTGTATGTTTATTACAGCCAAGAACTTAGCCTGCCTCAAGGGGCGACTTGTCTCCCAGCTGTAAATGAGAAACTTAGCCAGTGCAGTACAAACAGCTAGCCTGGGGTTTTTAACGTGCACCACGAAGAAAGCAGCGAATAGAATTGGCGAGTCTGTCACTGCGACGAGAACATCCGCCACCACCGCCGCACAACACTGTGAAAATGACAAGGTGACGATGAAGAGATAAGACTCACCTTCTAGCCGAAAGATCTAGGTCAAGGTTCAAACCATAGGCCGCGTGCCGTAGGCAGCGAGTGATGACTCACTGATTCACGAATGACGAGCACCCTGCTAGGCCTTCCGACCCACCCGGCTTGGCCTTTCCCATCGACTTGAGCTGCCGCTGAAGTCGTTGGGATTGTTGTCGTTGCTTCCGGAACCCGTTAATCGAGCGTTTCCTTTCGTTTGCTGCTTGAAGTCGGGAAGCGCGTGAAAAGCACGTAGAAGTACGCTCGTTGGTTTTCACAGCGAAGCATCCGGGCGGTGTTGGCTGCCATGAAGCTATCGTAGGATTCCATTGTAACTTACACAAAAACTTCCGATCGTTTCGCTTCGCGTATTTGAATATGTTGCTAGGTTTCGTCCTACGCTTTAGCGCGACAGCAAAAGCAAAATATACTTAGCGAACAGTTTCTACTGTTACGCGCTGAAGTACACCACAAACACACAACCAAAGCAAAGCAAAGCGAGAAAATACCTGGCCTCCTCACGTCATACTTGTCACTTCGTCACAATCGAACGATCGCAGCGCTCCCAGCGGTCCCGCTTGGGGCTAAGAAGCCTCAGTGTGGCAACAAGAACAAAAGCTGGAAGTGTCAAAAGTCAAAAAGAAAAACATCTTTTTGTGTGTGCACTGTCCCTGTGAGTGTAGTGACAGCTTGATAGTCGAATGAGGTGGGAGTTCTGCCGACTGACGACGCTCGCCAAATTTATATATCTAGGAAGAAGGAAGAGCAATTATGGAGATTTAAAAAAAAATTAAGACTTAAAAAAAACTTTCATAGGGCACTCACTAAACCAGGAGCCCTGGACAATGTTGTGATATAAGGAAAACAAAAAAGGCATTGTCAGTAAGTGTCAATAGATAAGCTTAACGGCTGCGTTTTGACTGATGTTGCTAGTTTATTTAGGCCACATAGTTTTCCAGAGTATAAGTTGTCGGGTTGTACAGAAAGCGACAGAGCTGACAAAAACCACAGATCGCCGAACTGTTTTGTTGGTTTGTTTGTTTTAAGGTCTAAGACCCTGTCATCAACACTAATGACATGGTGGAACGTGTTCGTGATGGGTACGAACTTAGGTTGCAAAGTTCAGTGCTCCTAAGTACCCTGTCATAAAAATAAAATAAAAAAGCGCTGATATCGGGCCCACGCTGACACACAACGAACCTATAAGCTGATCATATCCTAAAAAAATCATAGTCTTCTTTATGCTCAAACTGAAACAAATTATATAGTGCTCGAACAAGGCGTATATATTTGGAGTAAACGGCAGGTGATCTTCCTTATCTCGTCGGTGAAGCAATACCGTGGCTGGCACTGAAATAGAAGCGTGATCAGCATTTCAAGGTGACCATACTGAATGAACAACAAATGCAAAAGGAAAAACGATGAATGCATCGCGAAAAAAAAAAAAAGAAAACGTGGCCTAAAGTTGCGACTTTTTACATGCTTTGCATTGCTTCATCACGTGTGCTTCTTCCGAACGTGGTAGCAGATGCTCATGCGATTTATGCTTCGATTTCAGTGTGTTTGGAACATACACGCCAATGTGGGTTTGTGTTTGTTTGTCTGTTTTGTTCTAGCTGAAAAGTGTGGACGTGATTAAGGCATATGTGAAAAGGATCCGTGAAGTGAACCCCACCCTGAACGCCGTTGTCGATGCGAGGTTCGAAGACGCCCTTGCTGAAGCCGAGGACATCGACAGGCGGATATCTCGGGGCTCCATCAATTGGACCGCACAACCGTTGCTGGGCGTGCCTTTCACTGTGAAAAACAACGTCGCAGTCAAAGGTCTGTTACTTATGGTTGAAGCCAGCTTCTAATTAATTAATGTCTAATAACGAACCTGAAAACAATTAAGGTGCTCCTTTGATCTACCCCTTAAACGTACACGCAGAACGCATTATGGTAAATTCCTTCGGTGTATTTGGAGCGATCCAAAAACGGGGGGGGGGGGGGGTTTCCATGCTGGCGCCTATAAAGCGGGACAAGGTAGCGCGCGCTTGCACGAGCAAGAAGATACGAACAAATAAACGTTCTAAACTCGCTATGTAAACCTGGGTGCGAGGCAGGGGCAGCTATTTTGCTTATATGATTGCCACAACATGGACTTCCCTCTTGCGGAAAAGCCGCTACATCGAAACTGGCGGCACAAGCGATGGCAGGTCACGATGTCTCGTGACGCCACGACTTCGCGCCGTGAATAACGTGACCTGACGTCACGTGACGGGGAATGGCCTGACGCAGGTCAACTGATCACGAGCCCACATGTGGCCCGTTGTGGCACCAGCCACGTCACCCATAGTGGCGCCAACCGCTTGACAACGTGCGCGACGTTGCCTCCTCTGAAACGGCTACGCAATGGAAGAACTACGTTTCTTTGAATGCGTTCTGCATTATAAGCCTAGGGGAAGGAGTGATCTGCACCCTTTGAACTACATACGCTATAAGATGAAGGTGTTGCGACCATTCAGAGAAAATTTCAGCTGATGGATTTAAAACTTTCCGTAGTCGCCCCGTACATTCGTGCTTTTAATCCAAATTGCAATATAGCTTGCGCGTGTACACGCATCAAAATACCAACACTCTCAAGAAAAAAGGGTGTCAAAAGGTGTATCGTTACACCCTTTGTCCCATATAATGCACCCCCAAACTTCAATTCGACGTACAGCGCCCTACAGTCAAACAGACGGCCCGAAAATTTACGATGGGCTTGATAGCCGTGTGGTACAACATTTTCAATAGCTAAAGTACGTATCAAACACCACATAAAGAAAACACCGAGTTTTTACAGTACGGCCAACAAAACCCCGATTATTTTTTCTGTAGTCAATAAAACGTACATTAGCTAGTTTAATAAGTTGTACCACACGGCTATCAAGCCCCTCGCAAAATTTAGGGCCGTTTGTTCGACTGTAGGGCGCAGTACGTCGAATTGAAGTTTGGGGGTGTATTATATGGGACAAAGGGTGTAACGATACACCTTTTGACGCCTTTTTTTCTTGAGAGTGAACATTACGTGACTCCGATCAACAAGTACTATTCCCTACAGAGCTACCACGAATACACAAGTTGCAATAACTTGTCAATATCTTAAAACCCCAAACACATGGGGCGTTTTTCCACGCGCCTTGCCCGCGAAAGCGTCGGCGCGCGTCACTCGAGCTCACCCACAACAATGCGACGCGCGGGCCGACGCTGAAATCTTAGCGGGACTGATATCGGCACGAGGCGCCGCGCGCTGACGCGAGGTGACGCTGACGTGGACGAAGCGCGTGAAAAACGTCCATTGTGGTTGGGCCTTAACACCTGAAAATGAGCTTCAATCACGAAAACGTCATCTTTTCACGTTACGAGGCTAACTGACTGTGGGAATAGTTTGCAAGAAAGTATCGCGGAAACTTCATTGTAAATGAAAACGCTCTGGTGACAAAAAGCCATAAAGAGAATCCGTGGCGAGGACTGCGTGGGAGAGCTGCCTTCTCTCCTGAACAAAGGCTGTGGGTGTCGCTGTCGCAGGGTGCGTGTTCGACGCGGGCTCCCTGTACTGGAAAGGCCAGCGAGCGGACGAAGATGCCGCCGTAGTGTCGCTGATGCGGAGGGCGGGCGCCATTCCGCTAGCCATCAGCAACGTGCCCGAGCTGTGCCTGTCGTCCGACTGCAGCAACATGGTGTACGGAACCACGCGCAACCCGTACGACACCAACCGGTCTCCGGGCGGAAGCTCGGGTAAAGACAGAAGCCGCAGTAACACTGCTCTATACATGATAAAAAACAACATGGTGTTCGCCGAGGACATGACAGAATGATCAGCGGTTTCAAGCATGTTGGGAGCACGTTTGCTTCATGCATGCATGTCTGCAGACAGTGTTTGTATGTAGTGTTTCCGCCATACAAGGAAGGCCTCAGAAGACTGTATGATGCATTAGCAGGGTGACTGCCAATACGCCATGCACTCCACCGCTAATACGGTGCAATGAACCGGCAGTTCATTGTGCGCTGGTGGCGCTTCTGAGGAGCTTCGTCATTGGCCCTAGCCGTGGCCCTTGTCGGTGGCCTATAGAGACCATATAGTACAATGTCAGAGGTCCCCGCGTATGCATTGCACTGCGCAGACCTCCGAACACCAATAATTACCCTCACCCTAACTGGCATAGGCAATGGGATGACCGAGCAGTCATGCTTCGAAGGTTCACGGATTCATTGGACACCGGGATTAGAACAAGGCAAGATCACTGTAGTGGTGCAGTGTGCACTCGGCGACCTCTGGCTTGTGATTGGTTCAGCGATGTATAGAACACGTACAAAAACATGACGAACACCATGACGGTGCGCTTTTGACGCTGTCTGATCGGTTCCATTCAAGTTTTAGTTCAAGTTTTATTCGCCTCAAAGACGTTCGTTCTAACGTATTACATGAGGGGGGCGGGGGTAGAAAAATACAAACAAATGCAATGATACAATGGCAATCAAAGAAATAACTAAGGTTAAAAATTAACAAAAAACAAAAACTAAAAACGAACTATACAGAATTCAGAACAAAGTTTACACAAACCGGGCACGACAAAACTGGGGACCCAGTGCGCAATTTATAGCAAACACAAGCAGACATGGCGCTGAAAACATATCATAGTACCAAAGCCGAAGATTTTTCGCGGAATATTATTTCGTTCTCTTCAGTGACTATGTCGTTTGGGAGAAAATTCTAATTTTTAATTGACAGAGCAAGATGAGAGTATTTTTTTCTATTAGTGCGACCGAATATAGGTGCAATTTTTAAGGAATGATCATGACGTAAAGAAATCTATAAGGCAGGCTTACAGTGAGTGAGCATGAATGATGGCATGTTGTAATAAAACTTATGAAAAAGAGTAAGGCGAGCGACTGTTCAACGTGATTCGAGAGAAGTTAAATTAGAAAGAACCTTCAGTTGAAAATTAGTGAAAATAGCGTCCGTAATATAAGAGTCGTTAAAGTCATCGTGGAGATCTGCTACGGATTAAAAAAACTGAGTATCACAAGAAAGATGTTTGCGAAAGCCGTGTTGGTGAGGGTGAAGATATCTAAAGTCCATCGGCTCGTAACGTCGATTGCATAACATAGCGTGCTTTTGGTGCTCACTTGACTGCGCTAATGTCGCGCCTTTTATAGGCCTTTCCAACTATTATCACCGAGGTGAAAAAAAAAATGACGGGTCACTGGGCTGTGGAGGCCTGCGCGGCGTCTGATATTTCGTGGAAGAAAGCTACTGCGCAAGCTTAGCGGAACGCGTTCCACAGCCCAGCAGACAAAAAGATGACAGCACACGGAAGGCGATTATTGGAAAGGTCTACACCTCGGATACACCGCAGTGAATCGCGGGCTGGATATTCCGCGCAGAAATAAATGATTGCATGTCGGAGTTTTATATTTTCCCGTCCGTCCGCAGGAGGTGAGGGCAGCCTGCTGGCCTCGGCAGCTTCCGTGATAGGCATTGGCACCGACATGGCTGGCAGCATTCGGATTCCCGCTTACCGCTGCGGAATTTTCGGACACAAGGCGACCCACTGTGCGTGCTGACTCCTGAGGTCTCTGAATTGCGTCCTCATACACCAACAACAAAGAAGTATAGGCAAGAATATTGGGTTGCATCCTTTACACACGTCACGCACACGATTAGCAAATGTGTTTGAACTTTATTGAAAAGTCATGTTGATATTTCCTTAGGGTAGAGGCGTGCAGAAGGGGGGGGGGGGGTTGTTTGACGGGGTCATGCTTAGACATATCCATCTAAACCAAAGAATGCCGACAGAACCAGCAGACGCTTAGCCCTATCCTTAAAAGAAGAAAGCAATCCCACCTTTTTCAGTTTTCTTTCTTCAGACGTTCCCTATAATGTTCATTACCGCCGAGACCCGTTCTTGTGTCACTCGTTGCTAGCAAGCAGAAAGGTCTCACTATTTTCAAGGAAGGAACAAGTGGAGCAACAAACAATTGGCATGAAACGAAGTTTCTACCGAAAGAAAATGCCCTCCTCTAATCCTCCTTTCTTCTTTCTCTTTCAACGTTTTGGGTCGCCGCCCACTTAGCGCACTGGTTCATTCTAGGGTGCCTACATGTTCATTCTGTTCTGTTTTCAGTGAACGCGCCTACGTTCCTTTGTTGTCTCTTCCATCTTTTCTATTTCAACCTTCCACAGCGACATCAGGACACCGACTGGTGCCACCGCGTCGCCGGAGTCAAGTTCAATCTAAAGTCCCTAGATAAGCATCGACTGCGTGACGGCGCAGGTTCTATAGAAGCGAATGGCGGCGCACAGCAGAGGCTTGAACTGAATGCCGCCATTTGCTTCCAGCGGAATGTGCTTTGTCATTTGTATTAGTTGTCGTTACTTGTAAAATAAGTATCAACTGTTTGAGGCGGAGTACCGCTCTGCCTTCGTTTTGTATCTATCTGGCCACATTGGGCCGCCCCTCTACTGCGTGGGGCAGTGAGTGCGATACGTTGCTTTTGTGCGTCGCGTGTGTATTCGTGCTGCCCGTGACGAGACAGAGGGGAGGTGGAGAAAAGCTCACCGGAGAAAAGCTCGCCGGAGAAATGCTTACCGCGAAACTGGCCGATACGGAGAAAAGCTCACCTACGAATCTAATAGAGCGCTCAACTGAAATAGGCCGGGATGCCTAATGCAAAAGCGGTCATTCTGCTCTTGACTAGCAGAATTTATTTCTAAAATATAAAAACACCCCGGAATACGTCAGGCGTCGACCGACAAACATAAAATAAATGATTTGATTAGAGTGCTAATTAAAAAATAACAAGGGGAAATACAACCAGTGTAGAGGACTGCAGCTTGACTAGTTTCTGGATATATAATTATTTACACAAAACCTTAATGGCCCGAATGTGCCCTTATCGATTAAATTTGTACGCACAACCTCATCGTTGGTAAGCAAGCGCGTTCTCATAAAGAAGATTTGTGCACTGAACGTACACACCACGACACTGTTATCACGCGAAGAAGCCGTCGCCAGTTTTCTGGTTTTCTCTCAGTAATGAAGGATCGTCATCTCAAAACTACTGTAATGGTGGAAAGTGCACAGCCGAGGTACTAGGTATACCCTACCAAAATAAATGAAAAAAAAGCAGCCAGACGTGTTCGCGCTAAAAGTGTCACGCAGTGTACATACAAACAAACTCGTTTTCTTCTTTTTTTTTTTCTTTACAAAGTTAAGTTTAAGAGGGAGCGCTCCTCCAAGCCCCATAGTGAATACACGCGATTTTCTGTAATTTTACAAAACTTCTCACTTAATAATTGTTACTCCAATTTTTTCAAACTTTTTTGCTATAAAAAGATTGATTCTTCGTCCAACTATCCCTCCAAGCATATTTTTCATAAAAAAATGTATTATATTTTATATTAAATCGTGAAATCGGTCGGAATCGGCTGTTTTGACATGTTTACGTTAGAACGCGTTTTTAAAAACCTGTGAATTTTGAACTAGAAATGTGTCTAATGGAAAATCTGCAGAATTTAACACGAAATTCAATTATATTAGAATTATAGCTGTAAGTACATCCGTTCTGTAACTACATCGAAAAAAGTGAACCAAGGTGTTGTGGCGTGTTTTCCTCGTTTGGACGGTCAAGACTAGTTCGACGAGCGCCGCGTGAGGGCGCCACCGTTCCACCAAGCACGCTGCTCTGATTTTGTATTACTCCGCGCGCATGCGCTCTTCAGTAACACGCTTGTGGTGGTGCAGAGACGGCAAGACCCGTCCAGACAGAGTGGTTTTGTTTTTCGGGGTGGGGGCGTCAGGCGGATAGCTCTGCGTGTTTTCATACTTGAAAAGGCCGTTCTCGCAGCTATGGGTCCAAAGAGGTATACATATGGCAAGCGAAAGGTCTCGAAGGTCACAAATAGAGTTTGCACGTAAGTGACCCTCTGCTGAAACTACGGATGGTGAGGTTTCAGGTCCATCACCACGGCCTGGCGTCGAAGCTTTGTGTGCGCTTCAATGTTTCGCGGACAATACGAAAGTAAAACCGAAACCTGGACAGGCGTTGTGTCCAGCGCTGGAATGTTTCCGGACCTCGGAGAGAACCAGCGGCGCCTCGGAAGCCCCGGCCCCATGTGTCGCTACGCCCGGGACCTGGACGTGGCGCTGAGCGTGATGGCCGGGGAGAACGCCCCCAGACTCCGCTTGGACAGCCCTGTGAGGAGTGCTGCGCCGTTTATATTTCCATTTTAAATGGGGTTTATTAAAGCCGCCAACTCTACATTCAGCATATCGCATACGTGGCAGAGTCCAGAGCCAAGGTATTCATTTACATACGGTTAGCTTGAACTTCCACGGTGCTGCGGCCTCGCACTGCTACGAGAGCTTTTGAGTATTGAGCAAGGAACGCTATTGTCGTGTCTGTGTGGCAATAGCGACATAACGCGTTTAAAAGTAAAGTATGTGCGTTTATCCACCATACATTTCGTTTTGAATTTTTTTGCCCTGGTTTATATTTTTCGCCTATGTATGTTCATTTATTTAGTATTAAATTTCTTTATTTCCGGTCCTTGAGGGTGCGACAGGTCCCCAATCTGGCGCCAAAACGTTTAGGGACCTCTGGAGTAGGCAAACAGCACGGCTAGTCTCCTTTCGGGAGATTGGGGACCGACAATAACAACGGAGGACTTGACGACAGCCAGCAGAGCGTGCGAGTGGCTGTCCGGCCGCAGGTGATCAGCACGCTCCAAGCCTTTGTCCAAGGACACAATCGGAAAAAAATATGTTTTCCTTCCGATAAAGAAAACAACGTGCCAAAGCAGACTAGAACCCGAGGAAAACCTTCACTTCCGGTACAGCAAATGCTCTGACTGCAGAAACCGTGTCCCGTATCCACACAAAACACGAATCCGTCCACTCGAATCCGCGTAGCGGACGGAAGCGAAGCCCTCTCCCCGTAAGTGCCTATGGACAGGTGCAACGCTTCCTCGGTAGCAAGGCCGTAGGGCTGAAGTTTCGGCGTCACCTGAAAAGAGAATTTCGGTAGATCGCTTTCATACATCCGATAACGGTACTCGATAACGACAGGATGCGCGCGCAAAGGCGTCGGCGGTTTATCGTTATCGGGACATTGAACGATCAACTAAAGTCCCTAATGCGGCCAATAAAGCGCAGAAACGGGACACGAGTGCTGGGTCAATGTTCGACCGGGGATCATGTTCCCACTGAATGAGCTCTATTTAGAAGCTCCGCCTTCAGCGCGAGCTTTCTGCCCTCGCTAACGCAAGTGTGAACGCGCAGGCACGCGCAACCAAAGCACTGCGGAAGGCCAGCGGGCTCGCGCTGAAGGCGGAGCTTCCAGGGGTGAACGGAGTATAGTCGCAGCCGAACGCTGAACGAGGAGCTTTTCTCTACTCTGCGCCGCATGTTGGCCTCATTTTGCTGACGCCGTAAATTCAGCACTATGGCTTTACTATCGACAAGGTGTTGGCAAGAAAAACATAAAACGGTTTTTAAAATATTAGCAGCAATGCTGGCACACCAGATGTGTCCGGTCCTGGAAAGTAGATGGCGAAGGTGCTTCAATTTGAATTTATTCAATTCCTTCCCGTGAGTGTTTCCGGAAGGGAGGCAGGTTAAAAATGCCACGAAGCCTGACGAGGGCTCTGACCCCTTACCTGCACTTTTCTGTTTTTGTGTCATATTATGAATTCGGGCTTTGTAGACCGATGTCGATACTTCGAAGATGTGCACTGAAAAAATCTCTTTGCGCAGGTCAACTTGAAGAAATTAAAGGTCTCCTACAGCGTGGACAACGGGAACAAATACTTCACAAGCATCGATAAGAGCCTCAGCCGAGCAGTTTTAGATGCAAGTAATGCTCCCACGGAGCTTTTATTGCCTTGCTCAATATTATTTTAATTTCGTTCAATATTTGTTAATGGGGGTGGCTGTGCTCCTCGCACGAGCAAAAGACTGGTATCTGTCTTTTTCCAGCATGCCAAATGTCCAAATGTTTTATCGGCAACGCTTTTGCATTGGCAGGAATATACTCATGCTTTACCGACCGTGTGCCCATGACCTTGAACTGAACGTTTCCGACATAATTTGCAGGTGGTGAGGTCCCTGGAAATGGTCTGCGAGGCCAGGCCCCAAAGAGTGACCTTCCCCGAGACACGGCGCGGCTTCTCCATGTGGATGGCGTGCTTGGAGCCAGGCACAGTTTCTTTCGCAGCAATGTTCAAGAGGTTCACGGAAACGCTGAACCCGTTCAGGGAGCTTCTACTCAAACTGGTGGGCAGGTCTAACCACACCATGGCCTCCATATGGGCGACACTCGGAGGGTCTCTGAGCAAGGACACGTCATCGGCCACTGCGGCGGCGGACCTGTCCAGGGCACGAGACTTCGCTCGGAAACTGGAGGACCTCTTGGGCGACGACGGCGTGCTCATATTTCCATGCAGCGGTATGAAGGTGCCGTACCAGAACCAGCTGTTTTCGGTGTACACCAACCACGGCTTCACGTGCATCTTTAACGTGGCCATGGTGCCCGTGACGGCGTGCCCGCTGTACCTGGACGACGAGGGGCTGCCCGTCGGAGTGCAGGTGGTGGCCGCTCGCTACCAGGACAGGATCTGCCTCGCTGTGGCCAGAGAACTTGAGAGCAGGTTCAAATTTGGCTGGAAGGCTCCAGGAACAACACCGCGCCTTTAAAGCACAGAAGACGCGGCGTTTGCTGCAGACATGATGGCCCGCAGAAGTATCTGCGGGCACGTCTCGAGCATGTCAAAAGCAGTGTTGGAAAGTACTTTAAAGGCCGACGACTTCGTCGGCCTTTAGCTCGACCTTTGACTTGAGATTCTGCAAGGCAGAAGATTCTCCTCATCTCTGGGGAGGAGGAAACAGGCAACGGTGGACAAGGTAGAAGGGGGAGAGGAGAAAGCGAGGGAAAAGTGGTTTAGAAAACTTTTACTTGGTATGTATTTGTATTTTCCTTTAAGTATTTTTCTGGTACTTTGCGAACAAAGTACAGCTCCCGACTTCAAAGACTATTCCCGAAATTCGATATTCTTAATATTGTATCACTAGATAATGATATGTGTCAAGACTTAAGTGCCTTATAGGTTGATTGTGTTAAATTGTTCGTCTGCGAGAGTAAAACAACTACTTGGTGGCCATTTGAGTTTATCCAGCTTATTTGCAACCATTCCCTTAAAATACTGATGCACCTCCCAATTACACCTGGAACAAAGCATACCAGTGAAAAAAAATATAGGGTACTGAAAGGGAATTTTGAAAGTTTGTGTTAACAAGCACTTGTATACTTTATTCTGAAAGTACACTGCATTTATAGTACTTTACTTCAAGCACATCGCGCCCGGGGCAGTTAATACTTTACTACAAGTAGATAACCTCTCATTTACTTTGGACTTTACTTGAAGTATTTTTAGATACACTTTACCTAACACTAATTCCAAGCATGTTTGCTTTTTCAAACATGTCTACTAACTGTTTTTTTTTTGTACGACCGACGGGAGGGGACCGTCCTAAAAGGAAAAAAAAAACACGTCTGAAACATCAGTGTATTCTGTTTGATGTAATTGTGATCAAGGCTTTAGAAAGCGGGCCGTTCATAAATGATTGGAAGTGGGTGAACCCTGTGCAGGGACAATTGTTATTTTGTGTCATTCACTGTCGAAACGAGTGACTGCATCCTGGATGCGACTTTCCTGGATAAAACACGTGTTTGGAACTCTCATTTTATTACAGGGAATGAATTGCCATTTATAAGATAGTCATTTTAGCCATGACCAGTGATATACGGTCATACAGTCATATATAGGGTGTCCCCCTCCCCTTTTTACCTTTAAAATTTTTTTTTTTTTTTTTTTTTTTAAATGTAGCGCTAGAGGTCCGAACCAAACGTGAAAGTATCAGCACCACCCGTTATCTTATTCAAAAGTTATAAGCGATTCTCTGAAATATTTAATAGGAAAATGGCGGCCCGATGGACCTCTTATCATACAAGGGCGAAAATGAACCCGATTTTCCGATAGAAAATTTCAGAAAATCACTTATGACCTTCGAAGAAGATAACTGCTAGTGCGTAAACTTCAACATCTCGTTCGGACCTCTAGCGCTACATTTGGGCGAAGAATGGTCGTTCAATGATGAATAGTTTATTACTGCGCTAATATATATATATATATATATATATATATATATATATATATATATATATATATATTAGCATCTTACTTTGTTGTAATACGCAAGTCATAACACCAGCTTGGAACACGTGGAGCGAAAGATCGCGCTGCAGAACCCAGGGATCCTCGGTTCGAGCCCCACCCCTGCCCGTTTCGATCTGGATGAGCATCGTACCGGCGTGCGGTCGTGTACCACTACTGCGTGGTGCAAGTTAAAGACCCCAGGCTAGCGGCGTGACCACTTTTTTTGGACGATTGGACGGGGCAAATGGTTCTAACAGCACATAAACGAGCAATGCTAGAGTGCTCTTCCCATGACGTCGCAGGGAGAATTGAGGGAATTTCCAGTAAGTCTGACGTCGCACTAATAGAATTTTATTGCAAACAGCAACAGTAACAACTTTTTTTTTTTATCTTTTAGAACCCGAACTATTAGATTTTTTTTTTATTAATCTCAAATATAGGGTTATGCAATAATTGTGACGAAATGCAATAACAAGTGATCTGTATCAGTCCCGCAGCCAGGATTTTCTTTTAGGGGGGAGGCACTAACTAAAGGTAGAATGCAGTACATCATCTAACCCGTTTCTTTCTTCTTCTTTTTTCCCCCATCTTAATTACGCATTAGCGATTTCTCGACCGTGTGCTAGTACGGGGTTAAAGAGCCTGGGCCGGTCATTTAAGCCAGGACCCCTGGCCCCTGGCTACCCGTGATCCGAACCCTCGCGTTCCAACACACCAGACAGAGGGCTAATATTCGCCGCTCGTTACCAACCTGCAAATACGAAGTGTCCTCCTACGACCCTGAGGCTGGGCCAGAACGACTCACAGCTGGGCGGTGACGCGGGTGGCCGCTAGAAGCGCACATGAAGGCACCCTAGTGGCCGCGTAGCTCTCGCCGCTCGGCCTTCCCTTCCCGTCTGCCCGGAGAAAGCGCGCGCGTTTCACGGTCAGCTGATCGCGTCGGCCGTTTGTTCGGGCCTGCCTATCTTCCTCCTCCGCAGCTCCATCTCGCGCCGAGACGAGCCGGTCTTGGGCGAGAAGGGAGACTCCGCAGGAGGAGGGGAGGGCCAGTGGCGATTAGGCGACAAGGCCACCGCCCGGAACACAAAGCCCCCCGCCTTTTGCTTCGTCGAGACGTCGCCGTACACGACTCCCCGCCGAGCGCAATCTCGCGCCCCTTTTGTCAGAATGCGAGCTCCGTAGAACTACGCTCTCGGAACGTCCGCATAGAACGCCACCACGAATTGGACGCGGGCCGCTGTTTTGCGTCCAGCACCGTGCGACCCAAGGATCCGGAAACATCGCCCGTCCACCGAATAATCAGGTTGGTCAGCCTTGACTCGTTGACATGCATTGTTTCTCCCCATACGATTAGACACAAAAAATACCATCCTACGAAAGACAGTCTGTAGGCAAAGTCTGAGGCATGTTCCTTCCGTGTTTAACGCTATTGTCACATTGGTCACACAAAGACTGTTTTTACGCGCGATCTATGCATTTATATTATATGTATGAATATGAAGCAAATATTCTTCGAACATCCTCGAGGCGTGTTCGCATATAATTACGTCGTCACGTTTGCTGTAGCGAACGCCGTGATTTTTGTTTGATGTATGAGCAGTCTGGTTGCGGCTGTTTACGAACACGCTGTATGCCAATGTGTATATACGCCGGCCACGTGCGGCGTGAGCGCGATAGCAGCTGGCATGTGAAGTTCCTTAATAGCGGGGACAATAAGAGAGAAGCACGTAAGGATATGTGACAAACACAACAAGGACGGCTGCCTTCTTGTAACACTCAAGACGCGGGCGAGTTTCCTCGCACACTCGAGGTTGCTACGTACTATTACCAGAACGTTTTTGTATATCGTGTTCTCAGGCCACGCTATATCTAGCGGGAGCTCGCGCTGCGCACTTCGACGCACGCTCGGAAGCGCGCGCCCTTAGCGGTAGCGGGCCTTTGAAAACGATCTATTGAAACTCCCTACTGACTACACTCCATGCTACGCACTCAATTAAAGGGGCGACGCAACAATCTTTGTACTTTGCGCAAATACCGTTTAGAACGGATCCCTGACGTTAATGACCTATGAAACGCGTTCGTTTTTCACCCCACGCAATAGAAGTTCTATAAAAGAATCAGAGAAAAACGAGCAGCGTTCGCTGTCTCAACTCGCAGCCAGAACAAGCGGCCACGTGATCTGGAGCCGATTATATGCCACTAATGTCGATCATAGCCACGCGCTGGGGTTGGCAAAGCATAGGACACGCGCTGAGATCCAGACATTGTTATTGCTCGGCTATTGTCGTCGTTGCAGCGATTGGACACGGGCCACTACCCGAATGCTTCTCGAGCTTGTAATTATCACGAGCCCAAATCGAGTGCCCACGCAATGCTCGGGTCCAGTCTAGGAACCGCATTCAAATATCGTCACTGGGAAGACTGCTATCGCCACGTTACGTCATCAAATTTTGCAAAGGAGAGATTGAATGGAAATGATCGCTTTTGTCTTTGAAATTACACCGCAACCAAGGAGTTTAGTGGCCAGTGGCGTTGCGTGCGAGTATCCTTGAGTTTAGCTAGGGTCAGTAAGCTCGTGTAAAGTGAAAAACATTCCAATTGAATATCGTTTCACCGCTCCTTTAAGGTGTGTCGAAGAACTTCAACGTGAGTGTGGGTCAATCGTCTCTATACGCCACACAATGATTTACTCTGCATGCATGTGTACATGCACTACATGCTGTATTAGTTGAGCAACAATATGCTAAGCTCTACTATAAGTTTATAATGCTGCTAGTTTGTATTTGTCTCGAGGGTTTTCGCGGGATGACAATAAACGCGTGTCAAGGACCGGTTCCATGTCTCGCAGGTGGTGGTGGCCTGTGAGGAAAAAAGGCCTTTCGAGCCGGTCGCGAGCACCGCTGGTTCTTCGAAAGGCCGACAAATCGAATCGCCATGATCCTGTGCTCGCTGAAGACCGAGCTGTTGGTCCTCGTCCGCGAACTGGCCGTCTTCTTGTTCATCCGCCTGGCGGACTTGCTGTTCACGCTCTGGTTCTGGAGGACACCCAAAGCCAAGCTTCCGGAGGTCACGGACCCGCTGCTCCTGGAATCCGCCACGCTGGTCGCCTCCAGGATACGCGCGGGAAAGGTAACGAAGGCACTCTTCCTCGGCTCGCTAAAAGAAGGAAGTCTCGAGGATGGCGGATGGGCCGTCGCAGGTCACGCAGAGCGGCGGCCCTGAAGGCCACCGAGGCCCCATTGTGTTTTCTTGGAAGTGTGCGGTTTAGATCTGGTGGTGCCCGCAAGGAACGTTTGTCTGACGGATTTTAGCCACATCACAATGGGAGCGCGAAACAATGACGCGGCCGGACTAGTGGACGGAAACTTCAGGAGTCGTAGGTTGGGTCGCCGTGACGATAGCGACGCTTGCGTCCGCTCTTCTTTTCTACCGGCTCTTCTTCAACCAGATTGCGACAGCCCGTAGCGTTACCCATCGGCTTCTGTGACATGTTTTGTGGTGACTTCGTCGATGCATGGGCGGTGTAAGAAAAAAGTCGGAGATATTTTTTAAACGTCACAGTTGATGTGCACACCACAGAGGCAGGCATACATCGCTGATTAACAATACACGTATTATCTGAGACGTCTATCGTTGGAATGTGAAGCAACTCTTTTCATTGGCGCTAGTCAAGGACGGCCGACCTCAGATAGGCAACGTGTCTTTGCCCTTATCGTCCTGTTGCCCTTGTGGTCGAAGATTTATCTCTGTAGGTGTAGCTCCCGGACGAATGTGCATTGCCGATTCCCTGACCATTTATAAGCAGGACAGTCTCCATTTGATTTTACCCAAGTAGCACCAACGTTTCTGTGGCTCGATGCTTGCCTTTGAAAGCCTAATTCAGGGATCGAGTAATTCATCCCCTCTACATTCATTCTCGGAATGGCTTACAGCAAGTATACGTCGGATAGTTTGTCAAAGCAGCCATCCTATTTCCGCCCTTTGTTGCCCTGTCAAAACTGCGCGATCGGTATTGATGTACCGTGTTGACTCTGCGTACCTATTTCTTGTTCCACAATTGTTTAGCGCGATAAATATTGAAATCGAGGCAGTTTTTAAGGAAGGTTGTGGCTTAGTAGATATTTTTTTTTTTGTTCGGGGTGTATCGAGATTGCTAATTTTACACCAAATTTAGCTGGAAAATATTTCGTACCAAATTTAGAGATGCTAACAGAGTTTTACAATAGCGTACGCAAAATCTTTACGTACGCAAAGACTAACATTAGGGAGTTTTCGTAGATCGCTTTCGCCGTCCCGCAAAGCTCTCCGCAACACTCTACGCTACGCGGAACTCTACAGTGAAGGCCACCGGCGCGCAGGCGCATTAGTGGCTCCTTCGTTGCGGAGGGCTTAGCGGAGTGGGAAACGCGGTCTACGAAAACTCCCTATTGTCGTAACTACGCATGCGCCGAACGCTAACCGTGTTTTGTGCTTTGTGTGCGATTTTTTTTGGCATACGCTATTCTACGGTAATTTCGTGCGTACACAAAAAGTTAGAAATCAAAACGAGCGCAAATACACGTGTCTTTGCGCTGTTTTTATTTTTGAACAACGAGATACCAACTAACCCAAACGCCAACGTTAGTCTACGCAAAGAGTCTTTGCGTTCCTCCAAATAGGATTCGTGACGTGCGACAAGTTTGCTAAAGCCAAGGCGAGCACAATTAGAAAATGGCGGCTCTCAGGACCCCGGCTGGAGCCGCCTTGTGCGTGGTCGTCACGAGCAGGACACCGGCGGCATCCTCGCGACTGCGACTTTTAGAGTACAGGACGGCATCGCACTCCTGCGGGAGGTGCGCACCACAAACTGCTTGGAAGACCCATCAATGTGGGCAACGATCGCCGGCAACCTGCTGCTTGCGACGCGCAAATATTTCTCGACGAAGGTACGGTGTGCGAAGATTAGTATACTACAGTCATTTCCTTCTACAGGGGTGTAAACGCCCCTGGTTTTTCTGAAGGCACCCCTTTAATTCGCAACGACTCCTATATTCTCAATGCCCCCCCTAACTTGCACCAAAGAAGAGGAGTTTCGGAAATGTTCACTCCACGGAAAAGGGTTGCTTCGTTATATATAACCGCTGCACGAAATGCGGATGCATTTCTTTGAGAATCAGCGTAGCGGCAGCAGCGATTGTTTTTAATGTAAAAGAAAGAACACGTTTATGAACCTTTGACACAGGGGTAGTAATAGAACAACCAAAAGCAGACAAGTGAGCCGAACGAAGTAAAGTTCTCATTCTTTCTATGGTAGGCTAGAAGTGCAGATGTGACGATCGCTGGAGCAAGGGTGGCCCCGCGATTCAGCTTGCAGCGCGGAGTACCATCAGTGAGTCGACACTAGCGCCACCCTGCATTCCCAATGAGGGGGCGGGAGTATGCGATGCATAGTGGAAGGGGGAGAGGAGCTCCATATCGCGGATTGCTGCGCTGCTGTCGACTGCTACTCCACAATGCATACACTAAAAAAAGAAAAGTGTGTCGTCTTGCATTTTAAAGCTTTGTTTCGACGTACAGAGCACTGACATCGAACAGACGGCCCCAACTTTTGCGAGGGTTTTGAGAACGGTCAGATATTCATCATTAAACAGCCAAAGTATCTATCGAAAACTACAGAAAAAAGGAAACACTGAGGTTTTTCAGCAGTGCCAAGAAAATTCCGATTATTTTTTTTCTGCAGTCATGTAACACGTACATTAGCTATTTTAACAAGTTTTACCACTCGGCCATCAAGCCGCTCGTAAAAGTTGGTACCGTCGGTTCGATGTCGGCGCGTTGTACGTCGAACTGAAGTTTTGGGGTGGGTTATACAGGAAAAGGGGTGTAAAGGCTCGTTCACACACCTGCGACCGAGTACGACCGAGAGAGACCAGACCGGTTTTTAAGCCTCTTACGACGTCTTAGGACCAGCTCCTCTGCAGCGCATCCGGTCCTAAGACGTCGCAAGAGGCTTAAAAACCGGTCTCGTCTCTCTCAGTCTTAAGGCCCGTTCACACTCTTGCCACTGAGTAAGACCGAGAGAAGCCAGACCGGTTTTTAAGTCTCTTGCGATCTCTTAGGACCAGCTCCTCTGCATCGCATCCGGTCCTAAGAAGTCGAAAAGGCTTAAAAACCGGTCTCGTTTCACTGGTCACAAGAGTGTGAACGGGCCTTTACTCGGTTGCATATATGTGAACGGACCCTTTAAGGCCGGTTCCCACATGCAGCGGAGCGCTAAGTTAGCGCTACGTGAGCGCTCCAAGGAGCGCTCATGTGGCGCTTCCTACCGCGTGATGTAGCGCTCTGTTAGCGCTTCAGAAGCGCTTTGTTAGCGCTCTGTTAGCGCTACAGAAGCGCTTTGTTAGCGCGTGCACGGCGATTCCTTTGTTGTTATTTTTCCTTTGGCACTGAAAGAAGAGGAAGCAAAAGAGCCCCTCTCCAAGCAAAGAGTCGGGCAGGCGATCCAGAGTTATGGACTCTGAGCAACTAATCGATTGGGTACGACCTTATCGCTTTCTATTCCATATGCGTGACTTTGGTTTCAAAGACACGCAGTTAAAAATAATCGCCTTCGTAAGAGCTCTGTGTCTCGGTCCCTCAGCCTAGGAACAACGTTCGCCGGGTACCCGTCGGTATCTTAGTGGTGAAAGATTTCGCACACCCAGAAGCCACACACATATTCACTAATCGCGTATGTAAGATCATTTGTCGCATTTCTATTTCAGCATCCGACATGTGCGCATTGGTGCTGCTGGTGCACACCCAACCACAGGAACCGGAACCGTTGTGCACGCGCTAATCCGCAGCACCGCGGTACAAGAAGCGCTACTGAAGCGCTACTGGAGCGCTACTGAAGCGCTGCTGGAGCGCTACTGAAGCGCTAATCACGCGCTATATTTGAACAAATCACGCGCTATGGAGCGCCACATGAGCTCTCCTTGGAGTGCTCACGTAGCGCTAACTTAGCGCTCCGCTGTATGTGTGAACAGGCCTTTATTCTGAGAGTGCAGGCTCAATACATGGCTTGCACGTGACGTCATCCACCCCTCTTTCTGGTGGCCAGAAGCGTGTCGTTAACGCAGCGAAAGCTACCCTCTCACGCGCCCTTTCCTCCACTACGTCTGACCTAGTGACATCGGTGCAAGCTATGTATTGCAGGACCATCCTCACCCGTAGGGCAGAGCGAGCGATCCTCACAGCTCTCCTTCGAGCCCCCACAGTCCACCGCTTATGCTACCTCCCTTTCAAGTCGAAAGCGACAAATGCGTTTGTCGCCTTCACTTTTCCATCGAAATTTTTAATTGGAACAGACTGTTTGGAGCAAAAGAAGACTACACCACTAGAACTGCACTCTCTTTTTTTTTTATTTGGCTACCATCGATTTGACAACGGCCAAATCGATCGTCAGCCGTCGGCGACGAAGAGATAGCGTAAATCAATATAAAGCAACACATTTTTCTGGAGTTCAAGTAGTGGTGTGGGCGAAGTGCTCCGAGTAGCCTGAGGTAAAAACACCGTGTTTTTACGCGTATGATTTTAGCCCCCCCCCCCCCCCCCCCTCCCTCACAGTTTTTTTACCGCACCACCACCTGAAGAACACTATCGATGCTAAAACTACTGGCTTTATTTACGGCATGGACACGAAATAAAATGAAGAATGAATTGCCAAGAGACCTGCACATGGCAGCAAGGGACTTGCAACGCTTATCAACCACAAGCTTGGAAGCTACGTATCTTCCCAGCCATGCAATTTTTACGTCTTTCATACACCTGGTTTTTAAGGCTTTTTGCTTTCAAGTTCGTCATTTGTTTGAATTGTTTTATTTAAACGTGTTCAATTGAGCAGGCGAGTCTACGTTTCGTTGCATTGTGTTTCTCGTGTCAGCGCCATTTGGCTTTACAGTTTTCGTTCTTCTGATTTCGTGCTTATGGTTCGTCTTTTTTTTTTTTTTTCATCTGGACTGCAGCATTATGCACGCAAGTATGTTTTATGGTTTAATTTTGCCGACAGATAACTCCGTGCAATGGGCAACGAGTCCCCCAGCTGTAGATGAGCAATTTAGCTTGTGCAGTACAACCGATAGCCTGGGGTCTTTAACGTGCACCACCCAGTAGGGATACACGACCGCACTCCGGTACGTACCTTTCCAATGTCTGCGTGTTCTGTTTGTTGCGGATACTTTCGACGAAGGCCGAGGCCTGACGAGGCTGCTGTCGTTTTGCCTTTAGCATCTTCTGAGGAATTCGTTCCGCAGAAAATTGATAACAAAATATAAAGGCACAAGAAAGTAAGGAAGCAAGAGAGAGGTTTATTAGGGAAGAACAGAGAGGCTAAGCTGAACGGGGGTTTGTGGATGCTTGAGGACAAAAGAAAAATATAGACGCTTTGAGGCCGCTATGACTGCCCGCCAATGCTTCGTTAATTCTTATTTTGTCCAATCCACTTTTCGAGAAGCAAAAAAGTTTATAAATTTTTAAAATAGAAAAAGAAGATGTTTGTATGGTCCGCGAAGTAGTCGTGCACAGATTCGCTGTCAATTTTAGTCGCTGAATAGTTCTCAGGGATTACGCGAAAGGGTTTCTGATATTTAGGTGCTCAGCTGCTGAATATACCGACTCTTGAGCGGCGTGTATGGAAGGATTAGAAGCCATCGTTGTTTGTCTAGCTGAAGAGCGTGGACGTGGTGAGGGCGTACGTGAAGCGGCTGGAGGAGGTGAACCCGGCACTGAATGCCGTGACGGACACCAGGTACGAGGAGGCGCTCACCGAGGCCCAAGAGGTGGACCGGCAAGTGGCCGAAGGGGCCGCAGCCTCGGAGCGAGACCAGCCGCTGCTGGGCGTGCCTTTCACCGTCAAGAACACCATAGGCGTCCGAGGTGAGCTCCCCGCCGGAGCAGCTCCAAACAGTCGTTGCTCTGGCATGGATCAGTCTTAATGGCGCTTTCCAACGGGTGGTGCTCAGCCAGGTGTCTCCACTCTTCTCCACCCCATTGACTCCACCTGCCCCTTTCCATCCCATTGACCCATTGACTTTCCCCGTTGTGTCGGCCTGTGTTCAGAGACGAGGCCGACGAGACATGTGACGTCACGATTCTCATTTCCTCTCCTCTTCGCTTCGTCGTTGCTTTATCGAACTTCGTCTTCTCGAGCGGGTGAACCGAAGCGAGCAGGAGAGGAGCAAGGCCACTTTCCCTCATTCTCAACTGTTCCAGCCTCCAGGAGAATCCTGACGACACTGCTTGATCGCACCCTTGTTTTCCGAAAATGTGGCCATCCGTTTGAAATATTGATGTATACGGTCGATGTTTTGGAGTTTGCAGCGTCCCGTTCAACGCTTCTGCGGCCTTACTTTGCGAAATGCAAATTTCGGTTCAGCACCCCTTTAAAGTCGGCCTACCTCATTGTGAAACGTCAGGATGCATCGACTCCATCGTACCAAGAACATGATCCGATTCGAATCGCCTTCCGGCACCTCCGGTAAACGTACCATTCATTGAACTATTTAAAGAGGTTGTTGAAAACGGTTTTATTTAGGTATAGGAGGCGCATCGTCATATTTAGACGAAAAATAGCGCATCGCCATATTTGGATGAAAAATAGCGCATCGTCATATATTTGTATGAAAAATAGAGCGGAGTAATATTTATATAAAAATAGCGCAATGTGATATTTGTGTAAGACATAGCGCATCCTCATATTTGGATTCAAAATAACGCAATGTCATAAAGAGACGTTAACTGATCTCTACACTCCGATATCTACATTCTGCAATGAGGCGTGGACGTGCAACGCCTCGACGTCTACAATCAGTTTCATCGTCATAGTTCTATTTTCGATACATGCTATCTACACGACAGCTCCCGAACACCTGACGGACAGCTTCCGAGATATTTGTTCCGAGCCGTCGGGCCATCGCGATGTGCCCTTTTGCAAAGTCGCCTCAATCAGCAGCCAAATACACGCACACGCATGGCGCGTCCATCTTGGAATGGCGCACGTAACGCTGATGGCGCGTTAGTTAGGCGCGCTCATTCACACACCCCTCACTCTAAAAAAAGCCCGTGCGTCTGCTTTCCCGCACAACACTCGGAGAGCCAATCACCGCAACTTACGGAGGCAGGTTAGCGAATGACAATGCCGAAACATATGTGTAGACCGAAAAACGCAGTCTGAGTTGTGACATTAAGCAATGCAAGCGTGACGTTTTGCATTGCTTAATGTCACAACTCAGACTGCGTTTTTCGGTCTAAACATATGCTTCGGCATCGCCATTCGCTGAGCTGCCTCTGTAAGTTGCGCTGATTGAAACTCCGAGTGTTGCGCGTGAAAGTAGATGCACAAACATTTTTTAGAGTGTATAGTCAGGTTGCGTCGGAAGTAGCTTGGTATTGCTGCGCCAATAAGAAAGCCGAAGAACGAATCATGGATCGGGAACATAATAAGCTGTCGGCGAGTCTCTAAGAAAGCTGGTGCCAAACACTTGGTGGAGCCAGTATAGTCTTCGGAGAGCGGCTGGAAATGTTTTTCGACCTAAGAAAGCGCCGTGGTACCGAGCGTATAACGTTCACCGAGTGACACAGCGCGGTCTTCTTTTCGAACGCGTCCTTCACCAAGCTCCGTCCATACAATGCGGTCATTGGCTCTCCCTGTCCCATGCGCTTTGTGGGAAAGCACACGTTCCAAAGTTTGTTTTAGAGTGAGAGTGGCAACTTCAGAGCATGGCGTTTTACGCTTCCTTCTTCGTGATTGGTTCTTTGGCGAATACCGCAACTTAAATGGCAGCCACGAGGAGATACTACCCTCGGCGCCCGGTGTTTCTTAAGCGTGGAAGTGGAAAAGAAAGCGTCGAAGAGCCCCATGACAGTTGTTATGAATCCCGACGTGAATTTTTTAGATTGCCGCGTTACGCCTTCCCTAACTCCGGCCTTCCCAATCGTTTATTACCTTTGGTCCGGGTCGTTTGACCGACTGGCCAGGAAGGAAAAGGTTAGATCCGTAGATCGTGCAATCGACATAAGTGGGATTGTTCGTGCACGGTACCTTCTACCGCGTTGCCTAGATGATAATAATAACAATAAAGAAAACGACCCCAGGACTCTCAAGTTTCGTCCTCCGCGTGTGGCCAGGTTGCGTGCAGGACTGCGGCTCCTTCTACTCGAAGGGACGGCGGGCCCCCGAAGACGCCCAGGTGGTGGCGCTGATGCGCAAGGCCGGCGCCATTCCCGTGGTCATCAGCAGCGTTCCTGAGCTCTGCCTCTCCGTGGAGTGCAACAGCGTCCTCCACGGGACCACCTGCAACCCGTACGACTCCAACAGGAGCCCCGGTGGAAGCTCAGGTCAGGGCGTCGCGCACTTCCGGCCCAAGTGATCTCGAGGTGATCCGTACTGGCGAACCATCGCGATAGGCTTTCCTGTGCGACAGCGGTGTAAGAAGAGAGCCAAAATGGCGAGAGCTTGCTCGGGCTTCGCGCATCTCCCGGCAGGGGCACTGTCGGTTAGGGGCCTTTGCGCAGGCGTGAGCGCGCGCCGCGCAGTCATGTAAACATGTGCGCGAATAAGGACGGCTCTTCTGTCGGTCCTCATGAGTCCCTTACATGTAACGCTAGTCAGTAACGCTAGCGGACCTTCGCCACATTTGCTATGTGGTGAGGCCGCACCTTTCAGACGCCCGTGTTTTCTTCCACCATGGTGGAGACAATTCTCGTCAGCTCACTCGAAATATTTTGCCTCACGATCTTCGCCGCGTGTTAAAGTAGCCGGCGAAGCAAGCGAGCGTCTGCCTGTGCTCCATTTTCACGAAGTTCCGACGAGCCAGCACTTGAACAAGTCGACTCGTTGTCGGTGGTTTCGTAGTGATGTGCAATCAACAACACTATTACCAGCCTTGAGCAAAAATATGTCACGCATCATGGTCTATTGCGGCCGCAAAGAGTGTAAGCCAGTCAGTTTAGATATTTTCTCGGAGTCATAAAACACCTTAAATTGTAAGTAACAAGAAAGAAACAAAAACGTATACATTTTTTTTAAACTCGTTCAATACTGGAAGTGCTAGTCTCTCTAATGTTGTTCCATAAAACTGAAGGAAACTCAAGACGGCTCTGCACAAGAAAGCGAATTAACATTAAAAAAACATAGTGTATTTTTCAAATTCCTCTATATACGCGTTATGGCGCCAAAAACACTTCGAAACGAGTTGACAATATTTGTAACATGACGACTAAAATAAATTTCAGTGTCGAAATGTGCACCCACATTCCTAAACAGGGACACGCGGCAGATAACAGTAGCATCTAAACTCTAAAGCATAGGAGAATTGTAAAACGCCACGTTTCCCGCTGAGAGAAATAACGTTTGTTTTCTATTCGTTTAAGAAAATACTGCCGCGCGCGCAGCTGGCCAAGTAGGCAGCGCGCGCGTGGCCTAACGGTTATCGCGCGTGCTTTCCACGCTGAAAGCCAGGGTTCGATTCCTGGCCGCGGAGGCGCATTTTTGTTGACTCTGTAAAGTAATGTTCTGGTAAATTCGAGAACCATGTTGCTTGTTCGAGGTCAGAATGTTCTACGCGCCGAACCTTCTACGCCGAACGATCCAGAAACCCACGAGGGTACATAAGAGATTCCGCAAGGCGAACGGAGTCAGTTTCGCACCAGCGTTCGACTCTGCTGCTACGCCGACTTCGGCGCCCGCGACGCTCTATTATTATCTTTTGTACTCGTTTATTTTTGGCACAAGTTTGCCACATTAAACGTTTATTTCTTTCTGTTTATTTCCTGTTTTTTTTGGTCACCACCCGTGACATTTTGGTGGAGGTGCTGGGTACCGCGTGCCCCTGCCGCGTACCCCTCCGAGGGCCCGCAGTGCAAGTCCGACGCCTAGCCCACGAAGAACCGACGAAAGCACTTCTGAGATCCGGTTCAGTCGTCGCACCCAAGGTCTACACCCGGAATTCGGACCTCTACCGCCCAAGACTAAGCAGCCAACGAGGCCAACGATGGACAGCCAGTCGTCCCAGAACCCGTCCACCGCCAGCGTCGTATACCTGCCCGTCGCCCCACGCAACCCGACGCCGTTCCATGGTGAGGCCCATGAGGATGTGGAGGATTGGCTACAGCATTACGAACGAGTGGCACGCCATAACCAGTGGACACCAGAGCAGTGCCTTCAGAACGTCTACTTCGCTCTGGAAGGCACGGCGCGCACCTGGTTCGAGAACCACGAAGCGTCGATTTCTACGTGGGAAGAGTTCCAGGCCGAGCTGCGACGCACCTTTGCCAACCAGCATCGACGACAGCGTGCCGAAGAACTCCTCCAAGCAAGACACCAAGGGCCAAACGAGAGCGTCACAAGCTTCGTCGAAGACGTTCTCCGCCTCATGAACCGCGCCGACCCAAACGCTCCCGAAGAGAAAACGTTGCGGGTCCTAATGCGCGGCGTCAAAGAAGACATCTTCGGGGGCCTCGTGCGGAGCCCGCCTACGACTGTCCAGGGTTTCATTACTGAGGCCACCAACATCGAACGTGCCCTTCACGCACGGGCCTCACACTACCAGAGACTTCCCGGCTTCGCTGCCCTCTCGCCGTCCAGCTGCAGCATCCCGGACATCCGCGACATTATCCGGGACGTCGTCCGGGAAGAACTCAGGAAGCTGCTGCCTGCTGCCAACCAGCCGGCTTCGCTGTCGATAGCCGAAGTGGTGCGCGAAGAAGTTCAGCGCGCAATTCAACCGGAGACTCCTGCCAGCGTGGCCGCAGCCGATGAGCCGGCGCTGACCTACGCCGCAGTGGCCCGAGGACCGTCGCCAACTGCTCAAAACTACCCGGTGGTGCCACGACGAGACCCATCAACGCAGGCGTACCCCCGACGCAACGACGAAGTACGTCAGTACGACCGCCGAGAACAGCAGGCGCCAAGGAAAACCGACGTGTGGAGGACAGCGGATCGACGACCCATCTGCTACCATGCACTGCGGGGAGGCCGACCATATCTACCGTCGTTGTCCCTACCGGCAATTGGGCCTGCGTGGGTTCCACCCGAACGACCCACGCCCGAGGTACGGCGAACGCCCTCGCGACATCGAGGAGTACCTCCGACGTTCGCCCTCCCTGCAGTGTCGTCTCTCCGCCGTGAAGCCCGCTCCCCATCGCCACGACGTTCAGCCTCCCCAGCGCCACGATCCCGCCGAGAGAGCCTGTCTCCCCTGCGTCGTCGGGAAAACTGAGTGCGGCAACGCCTGGAGGTGACGTTGCCGAAAACGACGGAAGCAAACAGCCTCCAAGAACGCCGGAGCGCTCCCGCTCTCTCGACGCCCCGCATTGCACCGACGCGCCTGCAACGGTGTCCAACAACCTAAACGTTGTTATTGATGGCCAAAACGCATCGGCACTCGTTGACACCGGGGCAGACTACTCAGTATTGAGTGGGAGGCTCTCTCGCCACCTTCGAAAAGTCACGACGCCGTGGGATGGACCGCAGATACGAACCGCCGGAGGACACCTCATCACGCCTGTCGGAAGGTGCACTGCTCGCGTCGAAATTCACGGCGAGACGTGTCCTGTGAAATTCGTCATTCTACAAGACTGTTCCAGAGACGTCATTCTCGGCATGGACTTTTTGTGTGAATACGGCGCCGTCATCGACCTTGGAGAAAACAGAAAGAAATGAACGTTTAATGTGGCGAACTTGTGCCAAAAATAAACGAGTACAAAAGATAATAATAGAGCGTCGCGGGCGTCGAAGTCGGCGTAGCAGCAGAGTCGAACGCTGGTGCGAAACTGACTCCGTTCGCCTTGCGGAATCCCTTATGTACCCTCGTGGGTTTCTGGATCGTTCGGCGTAGAAGGTTCGGCGCGTAGAACATTCTGACCTCGAACAAGCAACATGGTTCTCGAATTTACCAGAACATTACTTTACAGAGTCAACAAAAATGCGCCTCCGCGGCCAGGAATCGAGCCCTGGCTTTCAGCGTGGAAAGCACGCGCGATAACCGTTAGGCCACGCGCGCGCTGCCTACTTGGCCAGCTGCGCGCGCGGCATTAATTTGTGTGATTAATTCCGGCAGCAACGACGACGATGATGACGAGTGCTTTCTAGGGGCAGTGAACACCGATGACATGGCACGACGTCAACGAGACGATCCGGAGCTGCGAGCCTTAATCGAGCACCTGGAAGGGCGCGGCGGTACCGTACCCCGTGTTTTCTCACGAGCCATGCCGACCTTCGCCATTCGACAAGGTGTACTCTACAAAGAGAACTTCGGGGACAACAACTCGCCGTGGCTGCTGGTAATCCCAACCGACCTTCGAGGGGAGATCTTTCAAGCATGTCACGACGACCCGACGTCCGGACACCTTGGATACAGCCGGACACTGGCCCGTATTCGTGAAAAGTATTACTGGCCCAAGCTCCTCAAGACCGTCCACCTGTACACACGATCATGCCACGAGTGCCAGCGACGCAAGAAACCTCCGACGAGGCCGGCCGGACTCCTGCAGCCTATTTCTCCTCCAACTGCACCCTTCCAGCAGATCGGAATGGATCTACTTGGTCCTTTTCCGCCTTCGACGTCGGGGAACCGCTGGATCATCGTCGCCACAGATTATCTCACGCGGTACGCCGAAACGAAAGCTCTTCCTTCGGGGACTGCTGTGGAAGTTGCCAAGTTTTTCATTGAGTCCATCGTCCTCCGGCACGGCGCTCCAGAAGTTCTGATTACAGATCGCGGATCATCGTTCATGGCACAACTGACCCAAGAAATCTTCTGACTCAGTCACACCAGCCATCGTCGTACAACTGCGTACCACCCGCAGACCAACGGGCTGACGGAGCGACCCAACAAGACAATCGCCGATATGATCTCTATGTACGTCGACGTAGAGCACAAGACGTGGGACGAGGTGCTGCCCTACGTCACGTTCGCCTACAATACGGCGGTTCAAGAGACCACTGGATTCACCCCTTTCCAGCTGGTACATGGTCGGAAGGTAACGACCATGCTGGACGCCATGCTGCCCCATGAGCCATCTGGCAACGAGAGCGACGACGCCCAGGTGGTTGCTCAACGCGCCGAAGAAGTTCGCCAGCTCGCCCGACTCCTGATTCAAGACCAGCAACGCGTCGACGCCGGCCGCTACAACCTTCGTCGCAGGGACGTCCACTTCCAGCCCGGAGATAGGGTGTGGGTATGGACGCCTATCCGTCGCCGCGGCCTCAGTGAGAAATCTGAAACGATACTTTGGACCCTACAAAGTGCTTCGTCGACTCGGGGATCTGAACTACGAGGTGATGCCCGACGGAACAAGGACTTCGTCACGCCGCCCTCCACGACCGGAAGTCGTCCACGTCGTGCGACTGAAGCCGTACTACGCTCGATAGAACTGTGGACCTTATGTGACTCTTTAGTTTACCGTTCTGTTTTATTTGCTTCATTTTGTTTTTGGGTTGCATCGGGACGATGCACTTTTTTGAAGGGGGGAGTAATGCCGCGCGCGTAGCTGGCCAAGTAGGCAGCGCGCGCGTGGCCTAACGGTTATCGCGCGTGCTTTCCACGCTGAAAGCCAGGGTTCGATTCCTGGCCGTGGAGGCGCATTTTTGTTGACTCTGTAAAGTAATGTTCTGGTAAATTCGAGAACCATGTTGCTTGTTCGAGGTCAGAATGTTCTACGCGCCGAACCTTCTACGCCGAACGATCCAGAAACCCACGAGGGTACATAAGGGATTCCGCAAGGCGAACGGAGTCAGTTTCGCACCAGCGTTCGACTCTGCTGCAACGCCGACTTCAATGCCCGCGACGCTCTATTATTATCTTTTGTACTCGTTTATTTTTGGCACAAGTTCGCCACATTAAACGTTTATTTCTTTCTGTTTATTTCCTGTTTTTTTTGGTCACCACCCGTGACAATACCACTAGACGAGCACCACAGAGAACTAGAGCAAACCTTACGCTGAAAATAAACGCAGTCCCTCAACTTCATTTGTAGTCGATACAATTTTATGTCGTTCACAAATAAGAGCTTTATTTTTTTTTTGCTTTTGTTTTTTTTGTATTTTACGCACGAAGTAAGGCCATTGACAAAAATGAAACAGAAGAGGGCGAAGGTTGCTTCCTGTGGAAGGACCGACGTAGCCAAGATTCTGTATAATGATCTTTGAAACGACTTGTATTGCCCACATCCTCGCAGGAGGTGAGGCCAGCCTTCTCGGTGCGGCCGCGTCAGTCATCGGCCTGGGCACGGACCTGGCCGGCAGCATCCGCCAACCTGCGGGCAACTGCGGCGTCTTCGGCCACAAGCCAACTCACGGTGCGTAATACGCGCCACCACCTCTCAGAGGCATGCCGTGGACACTATCATCTGAAACAGCCCTCCATGCCTCTTCGGTTTACTTCGTGCAAACGTGTGTTGGAACGCAAAGCTTAGGTCTCCATCTTTGAACACTCACAATTTGAGATGTAATAAGAGTTTTTGGGAACTTTAGGAGTAGGAAAGGTCCAGACTCTGTTTCAGCTTATATTGTCGTTCGGGGGTGCTGCGGAAATATGAAGTTTAAACGCGATTGTGGACCGCTCAGGGGCCTTACCAACACCACCTAGACAGGAGGCCTTCGCATGGTTTCCTCTTCCTCTATGAAACGTCATCACAGTCGGATCGCGCTCGGTCGGCTATTGGACCCGAGTCTGACCTTCGACGCGCTGATTGGCCACGAGCCGCAGCCGAACACTGACGCAGCACTCGTGCCCAATCTCTCGCCTCGATCGATCTGACTATGATGACGCGTGTGGAGGCCTTCTGTCTAGGTGGTGTTGGCCTTACTCTGGAAACTTGGCGAAAAAGTCGGCGAGGAATCCAGAAATCCAATGCCGCACTTGACCTCGGCGCCAGCCAATCATAGCCGACGAAAATAATCCCTGGAGAAGGGTAACAAGGGGGACAAAGGACAAACACAAATCTCCAAACGGAACTAGGGGACTGGTGCGCGACCGAAAAAAATCCGCCTGGTCCTGGTATCGAACCAGGGACCCCTCCATTTCCAGTAGAGTGTTCTACTAATTGCGCCAACCAGGAGTTAGACGCCAGTAGAGCAAACGGGTTTTATCAACTGCCACCAGTCTAACACCAACAAGGGTGAGCGGCCTGCATTTTAAGGTTATAATGATAATTCAATTACTGCGAAGGTGCAAGCGAGCTGGACAAGAACGCTTGCACCTTTGCATTAATTGCATTGCTATCATAGCCGCCGGGTATCTCGCCGACTTTTTCGCCAAGTGTCGAGATTAGAGCCGCTTGTCCGGCAGCGTTAGAAGCGGCAGCTTCATGACGCCGCCAGTACGGATAAGGCAAGATAAGGAGCCCAAGATGGCAGCTTGCGTGCCTTATCTCGCATTTTGCCACACTTGGTTCGTAAATCGCTGACGCCGACACGGCCGCCGCTTCATGACGCTGCGAGTTCGTGACGATCGCGCGTTCACTTTAAAGGCCGATGTACAAGCTCGGTTTTCTGCAGGGAAGAGAATCCTGTTAGCGCTCCCCCTCCTAAGGTGCGAGGGGAGCCAAGTTGGGACAATTAAGCTGAAAAGTGGAGAGGATAAAGGAAAGGAGGGGAGGGAAAAAGTGGAAAGCGCGAAGTGTACGTCGGCCTTTAATGGCCCGTTCACACTCTTGCAACCGAGTAAGACCGAGAGAGACCAGACCGGTTTTTAAGCCTCTTGCGACGTCTTAGAACCAGATGCGCCGCTGCGTAGCTGGTTCTAAAACGTTGTAAGAGGCTTAAAAAGAGGTCTGGTCTCTCTCGGTCGTACTCGGTTGCAAGAGTGTGAACCGGCCATTATATATGAAACGCGACTGCGCATGTTGGTAAAAAAAAAAAGGCTACAGGTAAAAAAGGTTTGCTGTAGAAGTTCCAGCGAGAGCTATGCACCTTCGATAACACTTCGACACCATATTTTGCCTCAGTTTAAGTCTATACGTTACGATGTAACGGGGTCAGTGAAGCAGCGTCAAAAGCTCAAGGGACCTTTACTGTTTATGATGGATTCAGCGATGAAAGAACACGTCCAGAAACCTGATGAACACCATGACGGTGCACTTTTCCCGTTGTCTCATTGGTCCAGTCAGCTCGTATAGAGCCGGCTGCATAGTGCCGCCCAAGCACGCTGGAAGGCAACGAACGCGTACCGGAGGCGGAGGTTCATCTGCAGATCCAATGTAGCAAAAGGCCGTAAACATTATATTAAATGATACCCAATATCGAACGACAGAAGACGATCGAAATACTTCTCTCTAGTTATGTATATTCGATTGATTTATTAGTGTAAATAAAGTTTGTGTTTTGTTTTTACGTTAATTGCCTGATTTAAATACGACGCCCACACGACCTCTTCGATTATGAGACGTTATAGTGCCTAAACCTGGGAACGAGAATGATTAAGGTGAGCGGATTTTCCACCTTTGTGGAACACCTGCCTGGAACGCTGTTTCCGAGAGCTGTGTGGGAGATCGTCAAGCATGGAACGTCTCAAGGCAAAACGTGCAGTGAAGCGGTCGCAAAACACGAAAACTATCTACGAGGCGACAGCGGGGATGGAGACGGCGGACCTGACATCGTTGACTGCATGGCTAGAAAGGCTGAAGGCCAATAACAGGGCTCTTCAAGAGTTGAACGTGGAGAAAGAAGATCATGTATCAGAACAAGACCTCGTCGCAGAATACACTACGGTCACGGAGTACGACGACGAGACCATCCGAATGATGGCGCTCTTGGACTGCAAGGCATACTCACTGAGACGTAAAAAACAACAGGCACAGGCCACCCAGATGACCACATCCGCGACAACATCTGCGACTGCCACTACAGACCTGGGAAGAACTCGCACCAACATGACTAGCGGCGTGAAGCTTCCCAAGTTACGACTTCAAACTTGCAACGGCGAGGTCAGCGCGTAGCAGAGCTTCTGGGAGCAGTTCGGTCGTGCTATCCACGAAAACGATAGCATTCCACGAGCGGACAAGTTTCAGTACTTGCGCAACCATGTCACCGGACCAGCGGCGACGGCCATCGCTGGGCTCCAGGCAACTGAGGCCTGCTACGACGATGCCATTGAAATCCTGACACTGCGCTACGGTGATAAAATAAGGATTGAGCAAAATCATCTGGCGAAGCTCCGAGCACTGCCTCCTGTTGCCTCCGCGGAAGACACGAAAGGCCTCCGAAAGATATACGATCACGTCCAGACGAACATCCGCGGTCTGAAGGGGCTCGGCGTGGGATCGGCAACGTACTGCACGATGATGTCCGATATCCTCCTCAAGGCCTTGCGAGCGAAGTCGTCGTAAATTATCACCGGCAGCAGGCAAGCAGCACTGCGTACAGGTCGTCGGGAGAAACGCAAAACAGTCCGACTTCACTGACTTCATGTGCGGCGCCGGACACCGGACAGGCTGTCAACGGACCACTTTCCACCCGGAGCGCTTCAAGGCCACCCTCTTTCGCCGATGCCAAAGACGAGCTCGCGGATATTCTAAGCTTCCTTCGGATTGAGGTTGAGAGTAGGGAGGGAGCCGGAGTAGTAGGAGAACGGCAAGAGACGCAGAAGAAAAGGACTGAAAGACCCAGAATGCGAGCAGCCTCTGTGCTACATGCATATATCACAAGCCCCTGCTTCTTTTGCCGGTCCACAAAGCGCCCAACAGAAGTATGTGCTGGCGACCTCACGTTAGAGGTGAAGAAAAGGAGGCTGGCGGAAGAAAACCGCTGCTTCAGATGCACAATCGGAGGGCACCGGGCGATGGAGTGTCGGTGGAAGGTGACATACGCGTCGTGCTCCGGTTGACATGCCACATCCATTTGCTACCCGAACTGGAAACCTAACGTGAAGAAATCGGATAGAGGTGCCCCTGCGACAAGCGTCCAGAAAGCAATCTCCGACAGTGCTGATTCCGAAGTGCTTCTTCAAACGTTCCGAGCCTGGGCTGAGAAAGCCAACCAAAGACTTTACGTGCGAGCCATTATCGATGGAGGTAGCCAATGGACGTTCATTCGTGAAGATCTTTCTCGCATGGTATGCGTGCTAAGAACGGAATGCTCCACGAACGAGGACGTCGGAGACATCCTGCGGCATTTTTGGGAGCTCGAGAGCATCGGCATTTCTGACCAGCCCTCTAACAAGATGGAAAAACAGAACGAACTGCTGAACGAGTTCAACCGAACAATACGTAAAGTGAATGGACGGTACGAAGTGGGTCTACCGTTCACGGTCGGCGTGGGAGAACTAAAGGATAACCACACGCTGGCATTGAAACGTGTTGAGAGTTTGAAGAAGAGATTGTCACGCGACGAGTCCTTCGCAAAAGATTACGACAACGTCATATGCAGCTACATCACCTCAGGACACGCAGAAAAGGTTTCAACGAGCCCAATTTGTGCCGAGTCGACGAACCCACGGATTTATTATATGCCCCATCAGCCCGTAATCCGGAATGTATCCGAGACTACCAGGCTGAGAGTCGTCTTCGACGCTTCTTCTCATCTCCCAGGAGTTGCCTCACTAAACGAACACCTGGAAAAGGGGCCGAATTCGAACGCTGATCTGGTCGGAATCTTGGTGCGCTTCCGTCTACACTCAATCGCCCTAACAGCGGACATAGAAAAGGCGTTTCTGCAGGTCAGCGTTCGACCTGAAGATCGAGACGTCCTACGCTTCCTGTGGTTTCAAAGAGATTCGTCGTCAGCAAGCTCAGAACCAACCGTTGAAGAGTGGAGGATGACGAGAGTGCCCTTAGGGACATCGGCCAGCCCATTTCTATTAACGGCCACTCTTACTCATCATCTGACCAACGTCAACGGAGAATTGAGATCAACTGCGGAACTGCTTCAACGGGGATTCTACGTCGACGACCTCCTGATCGGAGCCCCCACTATCGAAGAAGCGGCGCGAATACAGGAACAAGCCAACCAGATTTTAGAAGATGCAGGAATGAGACTCCGAAAGTGGTCTACCAACGCGACAGAACTGCAAAGATCGTTCGATAAAGCTGCATCAACGTCTGCACACTCTCTGAGCCTAGAGCTGTACTTGGACTGCTTTGGCGACGTGACGCTGACACGCTGGCCATTCCTGCGGAAAGGATCCTGAACTTCGTCACGTGCAGCGGGACGACGAAGCGCTATGTACTCCGTGCATCAGCTAGGGTTTTCGATCCGTTAGGACTCCTTGCTCCGTTCGTCATACGAATCAAGGTTTTGTTTCAGCGAATCTGGGAACGAGGAATTGGTTGGGACGACAATTTAACGGACGACCTACTGGTGCAATGGCGGCGATGGTGCGCAGAACTTCCACAATTAGAAGAGATAGTGATTCCTCGCTTCATCGTGAAGACGCCAAGAGAAGTCATATGTTCTGTCCAACTTCATGTCTTCTGCGACGCAAGTCCGGTGACCTATGGCACTTGTGCCTACCTGAGAGCTGAAGGAGAAGATGGGAGGGTAGAGGTGAACTCGATATTTTCGAAATCACGTGTGGCGCCCATAAAGCGGATAACACTACCTCGACTAGAACTGATGGCTGCAGTGATTGGAAGACGGATGGGCCAGTATCTTGGAGAGATCATGAACATTCAAGAGACATTCTACTAGACAGATAGCGCTATCACAATTCACTGGATCCGCGGGTCAGCAACTCAGTGGTAGCCCTTTGTGGCAAATCGAGTGGCAGAGCTCCAATCTGGAGGGTCACCTTCTACATGGAAGCATTGCCCCGGACAAGGAAATCCGGCAGATTTGATGACACGGGGAATATCTGCGGAAACTCTAAAATGTATGCAACTGTGGTGGAAGCGTTCAAAGTGGCTTGGTAAAACCGAAGACGTATGGCCGAACCTCGTCATGGGCGACGACGTTCCAGTAGCAGTTATTGCAGAAGAGGGAAAGCTGGAACATCAGGTATTGCAGACGGCAACGGAGGGGATTGCACCTCTATTGGAACTTGAACGGTACGGGGCGCTGGTACGGATCCTCAGGATTACTGCATGAATTAGGCGGTTTGTAAAGAACTGCCGAACGCGGCAAAACCGACGTGAGGGCCCGCTAGCGTCCGAAGAACTTGAACCAGCCAAGACTTGGTGGATCGCACGAACGCAACAGGAAGCTTTTACACAAGAATTCAACGATCTAAAGGCAGATAAGAATCTGGAAAGGCGATCCAGCATAGTCTCGCGCACCCCCTTCATTGACCCCTGGAACCGGCAAGTGAATAAACCAAGGCAACTCTCACGCGAAAAGAAAAAGAAAGGGGGGGGGGGGATGGTTGCAGATTGGAAAGAATGTGAAGCTCACGATAAAACGAGAAGAAAGAAGAAGTTTGGAGTCACGAGCGGAACAGGCGAAACGACAGAAGCCGATCGAAACAATTCTCTGTAATGATGTATATTCGATTGATTCGTTAGTGTAAATACAGTTTGTGATTTGTTTTTGCGTTAATTGCCTGATTTAAATACGAGGCCCACACGACCTCTTCGATTATGAGACAAGGTCTTTGATCATGCACGAGCCACGGTCGTTTACAAGCGTTTTAGTGTCCCATCAAAACGATGGAAACGTTTTTTGTTTTGTTTTTTTATCTTTAGCTTTTGCTTTTTGTTTTTTACAAATTTATGTCCATCAATAAAATTATGCCAGCTTAGCGTTCGCGATCAAATTAAAAAAAAAAAAAACGGAATTACGCACAATTGAGATGCGACCAAAAAGGGAAATAGGCCTGTACGATGCTGCGCAGCATCGTATGGCCTATTTTCTTTTTTGGCAATAGGCATTCAGCAATAAACAGGACAATATACTTGGGAGCCAAATGCAGAACGAATTGGGGTTCAGGTGAGGGTTGGCGTTTTACGTCCTCATTTGGTGAGCTCATTGTCACCAAACGGGATGGCTCGCCCGATAAACTTAAAACCACGCGTAATCTCGTTTGATTTATATTCAGTGTGTTTAGAAAATAGCTGGGAAAAGGCTCCGCTGTAAGACAAATCTGTTCTAAATGGGTTGTTGTGAGTTTTTATCTAATTCTCTGTTTTGTTTTTGTTTCATATTTTACTGGGAATTCACTCCGTGTCATTTCAAATATACCCGTGGAGCAACTGTGTTGCTGTACAATCTGAAAACTTGTGTTTGACGCGCGTAGGGTTGCGCCATTTTGAATTATTGCACCGTCAAACATGAACGGCCCTGTGCGTACTTCAGAAATCATCGTTCATCGCCACAAATAGGTCAACGTTTCTGTCTAAATATTCTGATTCTTTCCGGTTAGGCATCGTCTCTCGACACGGCTTGTACCCCGACAGGGGTGAGGCCGTGGGCAAGTTCTCGACGCCCGGTCCCATGTGCCGCTACGCCGACGATCTCCTTCCCATGCTGCGGGTCATGGCCGGAGAGAACGCTCCCCGGCTGGCCCTGGACAGCCCGGTGAGTAGGCGTGAATTCCCGAAATAAAAATTTCTTACGACTGGTTGCAGGCCCCGAGGCACCTTTTAAATATATTCACCTTGAATGCTAGAGAATCGTTTTACGTATGTTCATAGCCTCCTTTATACTCACAAATCCTGGCAGTTCGACGAAGGAGCCATAGATTGCCCGGTCGCTGATTTGGAGCGCGAGGATCTGGCAGCACATAGCATCAAAGAGCCATTTCCCAGGGAACCTGGACGTCAGCGCACAGCTTTTGCAGCGGCGAGGACCCGAAACACACTTTTTCGCTCGGGAGAAGTGTGTTTCGGCGCTTCGCCGAAGCGGGGCGCCAGTCACGTGGCTCCTCTCTCATCCGTTGTCTGCCGCTCCACCTTTTCGATTTCGGCGGCCGCTTCTCGTGGCGATCTGTCAGGCTGTGTCAGTATATAGGAAACTATGGTATGTTGAGAGTTTTTTCTGGGTGAGAAATGCCTGTGTGACTTCGTACGGTCGTCATCATCATCCCTCACCTTTTCCCAGTTCCAGTGATTGTGTCTCTGGCCCGACGTATGCACGCTTCTTTCGAAAACCAGCAGCGCCCGAAATGGCATTTTAGGCCAATTCACACGTGGCGATTTTTCGAAGGAAACGCCCGTTGAATGCTGCACAGGCACTATCATGATCATCAATTTTTCCTGATGTCAATGTGGAGCGCAAGTTCGTCTGCTTCTTTTTGCAGGGGTTGTGGTGATGTGAGAACGCTGATGTCTGGTTGGCTCTGGCTGAAGAATAAGGGGTAGACCTCAAGAGAGCTGGCTTCAAGGTCTATCCTTCAATCAGAGCCAATCAGAGCTCGGCGTTCTGACGTCACCACAACCCCCGCAAAAGAAGCAGACGAACTTGCGCTCCGTATAAAGGCGATACCTGAGCGGCTTCGCAGCCACGTGTTTGGAAGATATTGCCACGCTCGTCGGCGAGCGACCGCGCGCGTGGCCGAGTGGTTACCGTGCTTGACTTTCGCGCAGAAAGTCTGGGTTCGAGTCCAGTTAGTGGAATGCTCTTTTATTTCTCGTGAGTTCGAGAACATTCTCGTCAGATCGAGTTACGAATGTTCCAGTCGCCGAACAATCTAGGCCGATTGTTCCAGAACCCAACGCGCGTACATAAGGGACTCCGCGTGCTGATCTGCAGTCAGTTTTCGCCCAGCGTTCGACTCTGCTGCTACGCCGACTCCGACGCCCGCGACGCTCCGTTATTATCTTTTGTACCCTGTTATTTCTGGCACAAGTTCGCCACATTAAACGTTTATTTCTTTCTGTTTATTATTGTTTATTGGTCACTACCCGTGACATTTTGGTGGAGGTGCGGGGTACCGCATGCCCGTGCAGCGTTCCCCTCCCAGGACCCGCAGCGCGAGCCCGACTCCAAGCTCGCTGAGAAGACCACTCAGCGCGGAACCTGAAACTCGGACCAGCCGCCGCACCAAGGGAGAGGATCCGGAGTACGGTTTGCTGCTGGACAAACCCAAGCCGAAGAAGACGACGATGGACAACCAGTCGCAGGCCCCCACCGCTCCTGCCGTCGTCTACCTACCCGTCGCTCCACGGACACCGGCTCCCTTCCACGGCGAAAGCCACGAAGACATCGACGACTGGGTCCAACAGTACGAACGAGTGGCCCGTCATAACGGATGGACACCGGAACAGTGTCTGCAAAACGCTTACTTCGCCTTGGAAGCCACCGCCCGGAACTGGTTCGAGAACCACGAAGCTTCGATCACTTCCTGGGAGCAACTCAAGGCTGAGTTGCGAAGAACGTTCACGAACCAACACCGAAGAGAACGCGCGGAAGAGCTTCTTCAAGCGAGGATTCAAGGCCCTAACGAGAGCATCGTTAGCTTCGTGGAAGATGTCCTGCGACTGAGCAACCGCGCCGATCCCGAAGCATCCGAAGCAAAGAAGCTCAGAGTCTTGATGCGTGGCGTCAAGGAAAGCATTTTCGGTGGTCTTGTGCGGAGCCCGCCTACCACCGTCGAAGGCTTCATGACGGAGGCCACCAACATCGAACGTGCCCTTCTAGCACGAGCCACCCACTATCACCGAGTTCCCGGCGTCGGTTCCTTTTCGCCTTCCGGCTGCAACACCACGGACATCCGCGAGATGATCCGAGACGTCGTCCGGGAAGAGATCAAGAAACTTCTACCTGCCGCCGCAAGCCCAGCTTCGCCCTCAATCGCCGAGATTGTCAGGGAAGAAGTCCAGCAAGCGCTGCAGCCTGAGGTTCTCGTCAGCACCGCTCCGGAACCACCGACGTTGAGTTACGCCGCAGTGGCCCGACGGCCACCGCCTCCTCGTCGCACCTATGTCACGCCGCCCCGACGTCAGTCTCCTGCGCCGCAGCACGACCGACGCCACAACGACCAGGTCCAGTACGCCTGCCCGGAGCCTCGCGCACCCCGCAAGACCGACGTGTGGCGAACGCCCGACCGACGCCCTCTGTGCTTTCATTGCGGGGAAGCGGACCACACCTACCGCCGATGCCCATACCGACGACTCGGGCTACGCGGGTTCCACCCGAACGACCCGCGCCCCCGTCATGGTGAACGCCCTATCGAGATCGACGAGTACCTGCGACGACCTCAGTCCCCCGAGCCTGCGTCCCGCCGAGAGTTCCGGTCGCCGTCACCGCGACGTCCAGCTTCGCCGATGCACCGACCACGACGTGAAAGCCTGTCTCCCCTTGCTCCTCGCCGGGGAAACTAGGCGCGGCAACCCCTGGAGGTGGAGTTGCCGAAGACGACCGACGCCAAGATCCTCCACGAACGTCGGGGGACCCCCACTCGAACGCTACCAGAGACCAAAACGACGCCGCTGCAGTGGTGTCCAATAACCTAAACGTCGTCATCGACGGCCACGACGCATCTGCACTCGTGGACACCGGAGCAGACTACTCAGTCTTGAGTGATAGGCTCTCCCGCCGCCTTCGAAAAGTCACGACGCCGTGGGATGGACCTCAAATACGAACCGCCGGAGGGCACCTCATCACACCCATTGGGAGATGCACTGCTCGCGTCGAAATCCGCGGTGAAACGTGCCCTGTGAAGTTCATCGTTCTACAAGACTGTTCCAGAGACGTTATTCTCGGCATTGACTTTCTGTGTGAATACGGCGCCGTCATCGACCTTGGTGAGAACAGATTGACGCTGCGCAAGCCTGTTCCGTCTTCAGAGAAACCTCAAACAGCGTCAGCCGCCGTCCGAGTCGCTGCCGACCACGTGAACCTGCCGCCGCGATCAAGTGTTGTCGTACCCGTAGTGGCCGATGTAGCTACCTGTGGTGAAGTTGTTCTTGAAGGCAAGCTTCAATTACTCCTAGAAAGAGGAATAGGCGTCGCAAGAGGAGTGGCTGAACTTCAGAATGGGCGGACTGTGGCCCTCGTGACGAACTTCCGAAACGAAACGCAACACCTCACGAAAGGTGCAGCCGTGGGCCACGTCGAGGAACTCCGAAACCCCGCCGAAATCACCGCTATTACTGACGAATCCTCGCCGCCTCAGCAACACATTACGGCGCCAGCGCAGCTCGACATTGACCCGAGCTTCCAGGCCCGAAACGACGGCAGCTAAGTGACCTTCTCGCCGAATACAGTGACTGCTTCGCGACGTCGTCGAGGGTGCGCCAAACCACCATTGCGAAACACCGCATCGTTACCGAGGACGACGCGCGCCCTGTGCATCGATCGCCGTACAGAGTCTCCGTTAAAGAAAGGGAGGTGATCCAGGAGCAAGTGCAAGAGATGCTGAATGACGACATAATCCAACCCTCAAGCAGTCCGTGGGCCTCTCCAGTTGTACTGGTTAAGAAGAAGGACGGAACGCTTAGATTCTGCGTGGACTACCGGCAGCTGAACGCAGTGACGAAGAAAGACGTCTATCCACTCCCCCGCATCGACGACACGTTAGACCGGCTGCGCCACTCCCGATACTTTTCATCCATGGACCTGAAGAGCGGCTACTGGCAGATCGAAGTCGACGAACGGGACCGAGAGAAAACAGCTTTCGTCACGCCAGATGGGCTGTACGAGTTCAAGGTGATGCCCTTCGGACTGTGCACGGCTCCAGCAACTTTCCAGCGTGTCATGGACACCGTACTGGCAGGACTGAAGTGGCAGAGCTGTCTCGTCTACCTCGATGACGTCGTAGTGTTTTCCAGCGACTTCGACGAGCACTTGCGACGACTCCGAGCAGTTCTCCAAGCCATACGGACCGCCGGACTCTCCCTGAAGCCGTCAAAGTGTCGGTTCGCCTATGACGAACTGAAGTTCCTAGGTCACGTGGTTAGTAACAAAGGCGTTCGCCCCGACCCAGAGAAGACTCGCGCCGTCGCAGCATTTCCAGTACCGACAGACAAGAAGGCCGTGCGAAGGTTTCTTGGACTATGTGCCTACTATCGGCGCTTCATCCGGGATTTTGCAAGGATTTCCGCACCACTCACAAACCTCACAAAGGACGCCGAGAAGTTCGAATGGGCCGAGAAGCAGCAGCAGGCATTCGACGAGCTGAAGCGACGACTGCAGACTCCTCCTGTTCTAGGACATTTCGATCAAGATGCGGAAACCGAAATTCACACGGACGCACGTAACGCTGGACTTGGCGCGGTACTGGTTCAAGTGCAAGACGGCACCGAGCGAGTTATCGCCTACGCAAGTCGGACATTGTCCAAGGCGAGAAAAATTACTCCACGACTGAGAAAGAATGCCTTGCTGTCGTCTGGGCAATCACGAAGTTTCGTCCGTATTTGTACGGGAGCCCGTTCCGTGTAGTCACGGACCACCACTCGCTCTGCTGGCTTGCGAACCTCAAGGACCCGTCAGGACGCCTCGCTCGATGGAGTCTACGACTACAAGAGTTCAACATGACTGTGGTCTACAAGTCAGGCCGCAAGCACAGCGACGCCGACTGCCTGTCCAGAGCCCCCATCGAAACACCTTCCGGCAGTAGCAACGACGAAGACGACGAGTGCTTCCTAGGTGCAGTGAACACCGACGACATGTCACGACGTCAAAGAGACGATCCTGAGTTGCGCGCACTAATCGAGCACCTCGAAGGACGAGGGGGTACTGTCCCCCGTGTCTTTTCGAGAGCCCTGCCGACTTTCGTCCTCCGACAAGGTGAACTTTACAAGGAGAACTTCGGAGACAACAGCACACCATGGCTGCTGGTAATCCCCACCGACCTTAGAGCGGAGATCTTTCAAGCCTGTCACGACGACCCGACGTCCGGACATCTTGGTTACAGCCGTACGCTTGCCCGAATTCGTGAAAGGTATTACTGGCCCAAGCTGCCGAAGACCGTTCACTTCTACACACGGTCGTGCCACGAGTGCCAGCGACGCAAGAAACCACCGACGAAGCCGGCAGGTCTCCTGCATCCGATCGCTCCCCCGACCGTACCGTTCCAGCAGATCGGAATGGATCTACTTGGTCCTTTCCCACCATCGACGCAAGGAAACAGATGGATTATTGTCGCCACAGATTATCTCACACGGTACGCCGAAACGAAAGCCCTTCCTGTAGGGACTGCTGTGGAAGTCGCCAAGTTCTTTATCGAATCCATCGTGTTCCGGCACGGCGCTCCCGAAGTTTTAATCTCAGACCGTGGATCATCGTTCATGGCCCAGCTGACGCAAGAAATCCTTCGTCTCAGCCACACCAGCCATCGGCGCACAACGGCGTACCACCCGCAGACCAACGGGCTGACGGAGAGACTCAACAAGACCATCGCCGACATGATCTCCATGTACGTCGACGTGGAGCACAAGACCTGGAACGAGGTGTTGCCATACGTCACATTTGCCTACAACACGGCCGTGCAAGAGACCACCGGGGTGACACCCTTCCAACTGGTTCATGGTCGTAATGTAACGACAATGCTGGACGCGATGTTACCCCACGAACCGGCTGTCGACGGAAGCGACGACGCCCAGGTGGTTGCCCAACGGGCAGAAGAAGTCCGCCAGCTCGCCAGACACCGTATTCAAGCCCAACAACGTGTCGACACTGGCCGCTACAACCTTCGTCGTCGGGACGTCCACTTCCAGCCCGGAGACAGGGTGTGGGTGTGGACACCGATCCGCCGCCGTGGTCTCAGTGAGAAACTCCTGAAGCGCTACTTCGGACCCTACAAAGTACTTCGTCGACTCGGGGATCTGAACTACGAGGTGATGCCCGACGGAATACGGACTTCATCACGCCGCGCTCCACGACCGGAAGTCGTCCACGTCGTGCGCCTCAAGCCTTACTACGCGCGATAAGACTGCGAACTGTGATCTTGTGCACCACTTGATACGATTGTGTTTCGCGAGCCTCCGTATGTTCCCATTTTTTGTTTGTTTCGCTCTGTTTTGTTGCCTTTTACGTGGCATCGAGACGATGCCTTTTTAAAGGGGGGAGTAATGCCACGCTCGTCGGCGAGCGACCGCGCGCGTGGCCGAGTGGTTACCGTGCTTGACTGTCGCGCAGAAAGTCTGGGTTCGAGTCCAGTTAGTGGAATGCTCTTTTATTTCTCGTGAGTTCGAGATCATTCTCGTCAGGTCGAGTTCCGAATGTTCCAGTCGCCGAACAATCTAGGCCGATTGTTCCAGAACCCAACGCGCGTACATAAGGGACTCCGCGTGCTGATCTGCAGTCAGTTTTCGCCCAGCGTTCGACTCTGCTGCTACGCCGACTCCGACGCCCGCGACGCTCCGTTATTATCTTTTGTACCCTGTTATTTTTGGCACAAGTTCGCCACATTAAACGTTTATTTCTTTCTGTTTATTATTGTTTATTGGTCACTACCCGTGACAATATCGCGTCACGTTTCAACGGCCTCTTGGCCGTCTCTTGTGGATCGGCGTTTCGAAAGGAAAGAAAACGCGAAGAGAATTAGGCGACTGCTCGTGTGAGCTCTTCAGAGTGGGGTGTAACTGAAATCCAAGCGTTCGTTTTCTTACAATGAAAACGAATATTGCGCGATTGACGATGATTTAGGCCAACAGCTGCAGGTGCTTTTTACACGAGAGACGTTGGTTTATTTTGCGTTTACTTGGACAAAACGGTATAGCTGAAATAGTGTAACTTCTCTGGGTGTTTATGAATAGTTAGGGTGTCTGTGTGGTGTCATGCACGTACTATACATAGTCCTCAATGGCAGCATTTTGTGCTGTCGCCTATAACCGTAAATAGCCGCCGCTCCAAACCTTATGCCTTAAAACCAAACCTATGCGTGAAAAGAAAAAGGCGCTGGCTTATTTGCAGAGAAATATACGGACTTAAATTACGTGTTGCGGCACTCTGTGTTTTATGCACGCAACAAGAAAAAAAAAAAGAGAAACATATACTGAACTGGAATAATATATATGGAAACGGGGTACTTTACATTATTGTGTGAGTGATAATACAGTCACGAAAAATGTTTCGCTTTATTCTCTATAACTTGCTGCCTCCCAACTAAGTTGTTTTTTTTCTTTCCAGGTTGATTTGAAAAAATTAAAAGTGTTCTACCTTGTTGACGATGGTAACAAGTACATCGGGCGCCTGCAAAAAAAATTCAGCCAAGCCGTCCTTGATGTAAGTTTCAACTTTTATGGGCTTGGGGAAGCTTAATAAAATGGTTAACCTTTCGCACGCTTCTGCAGAATATTTGTGAGGGTTACATCCCCACTCATTCGTAAGGTTGTGTTGTTCGTTTGAAACGTGAACTTCCCCATTATTTATCCCTCTGGTTTGGCGCGTATCCTTTAGGGTAAAACAAAATAATGTTCAATTAGCCGCGACGCAACCTCCGTGTTGCCTCAAAATTTACATACCGAGTTTGTTCTCTTCTGTTCACTGAAACCCCCATTCCAAATAATGGCCTGTGTTGGCAGCTGTGGAATCCCTGCACAATGGCGGACTAGAACCGCAACGTGTTGGAGCAGGAGAAAAAACACACCCACAGAGAAAGGTGACGACAGCAGTGACGTTGCACTTTCGACGTTGTTTGATTAGCGAGTTTTAGTTGACCGTGTTTCCCCCTCCGCTAAGCCCCTCCGCTACCCGGACCTCTACAGCCAAGGCCATCGGCACGCAGGCGCAGTGGCGGTTTCTTCGTTGCGAAGGGTTAGCGGAGGGGGAAGTAACACGGTTTTCTAAAACTCCCTATTGACTCTTTGGCTCCTATAGCATTGGCCGCGCTCCGACCTCTCGCTATCATACGGAATTACTGGCACGTTCCACGATGTCAGTTATTCCGCCATCGTGCGGTTGTTCGGACCTGATAATCGGCACGCGAATTTCGAAAGGGGTCTATTCCGATCAAGCCATAAGGTCAATAGCACCTATTCATTTGTTTTCACCTCAAGAAAAAAAGGTTTTGTGCATTGTTCTTGCGCCGCGCGAATGTAGTTCTTACGATATTTGGTTGGCGGAAGAGGAGGCGAGACCTTTGGCATTTGAAACCGTGTACGTCTTGATAACATAACACATACCTAATCTGAAATGCACCGGCATATATCTTAATTATCCACATAAAGGGGAAAATTAGTACTGCTCCGCGAGGAGCCACACTTTTTGTTTTCTTATTACGGTTTTTATTGTGAAAACGAGTATAGAGGTTAAGGCCTGCGCCTTTCTCTCCCAGACGTCATCACTTGTGGATCCACGCAGCGCCGCCTAGCTGGCGTCAGCGTCGCCGCCAGCACGTCTTGCAGCGCGTCTCACAACAATCGCGACGATAGCACGCGGTGACGTCAAGGCACACGCGTTCGTCGTTCTTCGCCGAACTCTCGTTAAGCTTCGGGGGGTCTTGTCTTGGGGCAGGTAGGTAATCCACCACAAACGATGACGTAATGAGCGGGCCTTGTCCACTGGGTAGTCTTGCCCTGGCGGGCCTCAGCAGTTAAAGCACTTTCAAACTATAATGCATTTGTTATTTCTAGTCTAAAAGTACGTAAAAAAAAAAAAATATAGAAACAACTTTTTTTATTATTTATTACGGGACGCAGGCTGTCGCTTGTCTGGAACCTCTTTGCGAGGCCCGGCCCCGGCAGGTGTCGTTCGAAGAGCTGCCGCGGGCCTCGCGTATCTGGATGGCAACTGTGAGGTCCGGCGCTCCACCTCCCTTCGCCGAAGTCATCAAGAACTACACGGGCAAGCTGAACCCGCTGACGGAGCTGGCGCTCAAGCTGGTCGGCCGGTCCCACCACACGGTGGCCGCCATCGTGGTGGCCCTCTGGGAACGGGAAAAGGACTTCACGGACCCCGCCCGCGTCGCGGACCTCACCGCGCAGGGACAGCGCTTCGTGTGCAAGCTGGAAGAGCTCCTCCAGGTAGGACTTCTACCTAACGCGCTACAAAGCCATTTTATTTAAAAGTCAACATGCTACAGGTATGATCCCAAACCCACTGCTTTTGAACAATGAAGAAATTGGATTTGTCGACACTATTAAGTCTTTGGGCGTCTGGTTTACAAATAGTATGTCTTGGAATAGACATGTTGATTATCTTTCGTCTAAACTGTCGAAAACAGTGGGGTTGCTAACCAAATTTAAATCATTGTTACCTCGTTGTGTTAAGATCCAACTTTACAATGCTTTGGTATATTCCCAACTTAATCCTTGTCATCTAGTTTGGGGAAATACAACAATAAGATATCTAAATAAACTACATATTTTACTGAAGAAAGCTGTGCCTGCTATTACCAATGTTTCATACTATGATAATGCTAAACACTTGTTCTCATTGTTTAACATAAAACCAATTTCAAATATCTACAGGTCCCGACTTCTTGTGGCGTACAAGAAGTCTACGCAGTTTAAAAATCAAGTTTTTGAGGAATTATGTAATCTAGTCCTTTTCACTTCCTCATATCTCCGCCCTAAGGAAAAATGGTTTGTTTCACCATTACGTACATTATACATTATTACACGTACATTATAGGAGAGGTGCGAATCTCATAATGCAACGCGCGGGACGCTTGTGACGTCACGAGTGAGGCCCGCGCGTTACATTATGGGACGTTTTCCATAATGCATTGCGCGGTAACGGCGACGCCGCTCAAGCCGAAAACAGGCGCCCAAGAGCTGCGCTCTAAAAGCAAGAAATTATAGATGATAGGATATATCGGACGACTAATGCTTAAAAGAAAACAAGGAAACTACACATTTAAAGTAATGAAGGAGTATCGCGTTACTTTCGAGCTGAAGTAAGGCGGTCAAATTTCAATAACGAATGACGCACTTGGTTACTTCTTAAGCGAGTAACGAATAATTCCGTATTAGCTACTTTATTTCATTACCGCGTACATGTCTGTTCCAGGACGGCGACGCAGTGCTCGTGATGCCGGCCGCGGGGTTCGGCGCTCCCGGCTACCACGGCCAGTGGCTGACGAACATGGACAACACGAACTACACGTGCCTCTTCAACACGGCCATGGTTCCCGCGACCGCGTGTCCGCTCTACCTGGACAAGAGGGGCCTGCCCGTAGGGGTGCAGGTGGTGGCGGCCCGCTACAAGGACAGGCTCTGCCTCGCCGTGGCCAGGGAACTCGCCAGCAAGTTCGGCGGATGGAGGGCTCCGGGGACGCGGACCTCCGCTTGAGCGGCCATTTCGGGCATGGCATCTGGAGGGGCCGATAGCTGATTTCGATGTTCCGTGATATTCGGGAAGAGATCGAACAGTCACGCCTCTGGCGGCACGCTTCAGCTGTCGGGACAACAAACCGAACTTTCTTGTTTGTTTTTGATCAGCGATATCGATGGTGACGATTCGAACGGCCGCTCCTCGTGGAACCAAAGCACTGGTAAGAGTGAAGCGCTCGTGTCCAGACCGTGCATGGCGAGGTTCAATTTCTTTGTTATTCTGTGTTAGTAAACACCGGGCTGTAAAGATATCAAGCTCGATAAAGCTCCCCCTATAGTTCGATCTCCTGGCCAATAGTCATCATCGCGTATTAGCACCAACAAGATAAATCCTTAAGAGCGGTCGCGGCGCTAATGTGGAGACCTGGACCTGCTTGCTAGAGACGGAGTATCAGTTGAGAGTCCTGTGTGAAAGAGATCAATGGCGAAGATAGCGCACGAGCCAGTAGCAGCTAGGAGACATGGCCCGCGCCTCGTCTGCCTCCCCCCACTTTATCAATTGAGAAGCTCCACGGAAAAGTGTGGTTCAAAAACCGCCGCAAGCGAGCAGGTATGCGGGCGCGGATAGCGTTCCTTGCGCCACCAGCAGCACCGCTCCCATGGCCAATGGAGAGAGACTGTTCTTGAACGATGTCCTTTTTGCGCAGACTTTACGTTGACCATGTAAAAACCACAATCGAATCCCCTACAACCCCTGGAAATGTGCATCTAACGTTCCGCCGGCTCCGTCGTTTCTTGCCAAATAGGCTGGTAGCGCGAGCGCCGCTGATTAGACGCACCACGGAAAGGCGCGAGACATTCTAGGAATCTTATCCCCTGACTTTGATCAAGGTTACTTTTTTTATTATAGTAACGTTAATCACTAGTGGATTCAAGCAGCGCGCCGCGTATAGGCGATTGCAAGCTGGGCGACTGGCCGCCGCCATGTCTCTGCTCGAGGAGGCACGCCCGTGCGATTACGAGCTTGCCAAAGCTACGTTCACCCGCGCGTTGCACGCGCTTGCACGCATGGGGCACCACTTGTGGCGCCAAGCTTGCAATTGTCTATACCTTCCGGCAGCATCGTTCACAGCGTTTGGTGCAGCGTTTCCCAACGAGCGCGAGATTAGCACGCGGCAACGCCTAGACGAACGCGTATGCCGGATTGCGGCAACTCTTGTCGAGCTTCTGCTGCTTGGGGCGGGTCGGGGGTCCACTAACGATGACGTCATGCGCAGGACCAGTCTTCTAGCTGGTGTTGGCCCAGCGCCTTTTTTCATTTTTTTTTTTTTTTTTTTTTTGTGCCCAATTGAAGAAAATGTGGCGAACTCCCCTGGTCGTTTTGGAGCGCGCCGGGATCGACTTTTCGGGAGCGAGCCTATTTCACTGGGCGATCGGGGTCGAGACCAAGGTGTTCCACTGGTCGTTTTGGATTAGCCCCCGCTCCAGATCTCGATCTGGATCCGAGAAACGTCGCTCCCACGATTTCGGGGGATTTAACCGGAAGTCAGCCGGGCCAGCCCTCGGCGCACACAGGTGACTTCCTTTCTCGCGGGGCATCTCGCCTGATCTCGCCCATCTCGCCTCAAAAGAAGAAGCACGTCGCGGGCTGGGCTCCTAGATTGTCTCGACATCAGAAGAATTCGTAATGGCCGCTTGCTTACCCCTTGGCTCGACAGCCGGTTCGTTTTCCAGGAAGGAGAAGGGAAGGTATTTGCCGGCGCTACGGGCATTCCGGCAATCTTTGCTAGAAGCGCCCGAGCCATTCCTGCCGCTCGTGCGTCGAACACGTGTTAGCGCCGCGATTGCGAAAACGGCTTCGAAACGACCGCGGCGGCCGCGGAAAGGGGATTCCCGGGCAGTTGAATGATGGGAAGGAATCCGCCGATCCAGGAGCAGTGGTCATGTTCCACTGGGGATCCGTAGGCGGCGCGACCCCGTTCGAATCGTGTGCTCCGGTCCGGATCTGGTCAACTGATCCCGGTGCGCTCCAAAACGCCCCGTGGAATTCGCCAATAGTCGGAATTCCGTAGTGAGGATCGGAGTGACGGCATCTTGATTGGTTTTGCTCTGTGTGACAGTGACGTCAAAGATTTAAGATTATCGTGTTAGTAATGGTGCTATGAAACTGAGACACTGTCATTCTGCAAGTTCTCAATCGGTGCATAAACGTCGCTCCGCGGGCACATCTGTCTTTTTGGTAATATTCTGCCTGTCTGCATTCAATTATCAGCCAGTCGTCACTGCAGGACCTCTAAAGTTGTGAATTGTTAGTTAATTACGTCATACCTCGACGTGTATGACGAAATTCGCAAGAACAAAATCGAAGACGATATGTTTCGATATCTAAAACAAATCAATAATATTCGTCAGGTAAACTTTTTTTTTTGGCATCGCGTGCTCCTTTCGCTGCTGTCTTCGCCACTGTTAGAAATGCCGTGTTTCTGGGGATGCATATTTTAACTGCCAGTGTTTTCGTTGCGAAAGGTAAATAACTGAAAGCTACATTTAAGAGTTTTGTGAGACATTAAGGGGAGGGTGAATATTACCGAATTATGAGATTAACCATCTTATTTTTATTCTAATAAAGAAAGGTTGTGAACGGGACGGTGACAAGCGTTCATCAGAGCCCCCAGGTTTGTTGTGTTTTTTTTTCTGCTGTGATAAAATATTAGGATATGAAGAAAAGTCGATTTATCTTTTATGGGCGGTGAATTAAACTTGTTAATAAAATAATGTCAGAAAAAAACGAGGCTGTGTTTTTCAGGGGTTAGAAAAAACGTCCTCCGGGCCGTTGTTGCATGAACATGAGCCTAGCAGGTGAGGTACATACCAAGGCTTCCGCTGGGATTAGTATTGGACAATTGTTTTTAGATGCGGAGCATCTCTTGCTCGGGTCTATGTCCCGCGGCGTCGTAGTCCGCACTCACACTACGCATGCGCAACTCTCTCCCTTCCCTCTCTCCAACAGCTGCGCGTTACTCTCTCCGCTCTCTCTCTCTACCAGGGGCCCTAAGCTGGACGCGTGGCGAAAACGACGGCGAGAAATTTGGGGGCCGCGATTGGCCAACGCCACACTTGACCTTGGCGCCGGCCAATCATAGCCGCCGAATTTCTCGCCGACTTTTCCGCCAAGTGTCCAGATTAGGGCCCCAGCTGCGTGCACTTCGCGTGCGTTCGCTTCTACTCACACCGCGCGCGCATGCGCAACTCTCCTCCTCTAGTCTCCTCTCCTTCAAGTGTGAATATAAGCAGCGGTAGCGCGCTGCGCGCGTTCAAGCTTCAAGGGGAGGAAGTGGCCGAGTGGGCTAACGCGCCTCAGCTCGGAGCGTGGAGCGAAAGCTTGCGCTGGGAACCTCCTGGGTTCGAGTCCCCGCCGCCCCCGCCCGTTTCGATCTGGCAGTGTTGTACGGAACGGCGTTCCAAGGAACGGCGTTCCTTTTCGGAGGAACGAAGGAACGCCACCGTTCCATTTTTCATTGGTGGAACTGGAACGGGAACTCGTTACATTTTTACTGGAACGGAAAAAGGAACGACGTTCCTTTTTTTGTTCCAATGAGGTAATTTGTATTTTATTTCTAAGAGGTAAATTCTAAAAGCATAAAAACCATACCTTTACAAAGAGCAGGGTCTCGTTCAATTTTTGGTTACTTAGGGTTTATTTTGGGTAGTCCTTGCTTGGTAACAGTTAGGTGTTGGAGAGATAGTGGACATTTATTATTTTTGTGGTGCCCGAAAGTGTGGCACGAAACGCAAAACGTTTAGTCAAAGGAAACGACACAGAAAGAGGGACGTTTCAAACTTAGCCACCTTATTTTCTTCCACGAATGCTCATACACCCAGAAATTTAGGGCCAACTACAGCCATCAGTGAACTTCCACAAACAGGCCTACAGTTACAACAAAAGGACAGGTTACCTGACATCGAACGCACCCTTGTATCCCGAATATTGGTAATTTAAATGATACAGTACATTATTCTTTACTTCTCCCCTTGTCGTCAACCTTCAAACAGAACAACGAATCTACACTTCACGGAGAAGGACATGCAGTTTTCAAGACTCACCTTCAAAAGCCGTACCCTCTTCTTTACTTGCTCGTCTTGCGGACGTCAACATCGAGAAACAACCGTTGTTAAGTTTGAACAAGGGACTTTGTTAGATTGAAACGTGTGAGGCTGTTGGAAAAAGCTCGTGCAATGTGGGGTAACAGTACATTTGGCTCGTCTGAATCGCCCATCCCAAACAGGAATATGGTAAAACGCAGAGATTTTTAAAGGTGAATATATCAACAAAAAGAACCTTGCTGTTGTGTGTCTTCTTCCCCTGTTGCCCAGCCATCACTGCATTCAAATTCGTATGTTGCAATTTAATGAGATAGATTAAAAAAAACTTTGCTTGATCTAACTAGTTATGGTAATAAAGAAATGCGAATTAACGTATATGTAACGATACGTTCCATTTTTTTTTAACTGTAACGGGAACGAGTTCCTTTCTCACAAATGGAACTTGTAATGGGAACGCGTTCCAAATATCAGAAGGAACGAGGAACGAGCTTTCGTTCCTTTTTTTGAGGAACGTGTACAACACTGCGATCTGGACGTGTTTCGTACCGGCACGCGTTCGTGTGATGACTACTGCGTGATGCACGTTAAGAATCCCAGGTTAGCGGTTGTACCGCACTGGCTAAATTTCTCATCTACAGCTAAGAGACCGATTACCCGTTGAGGCGCATCTCCATCAAGGCTGTATAAACATAAAGAGCAAACCAATTTCTGCGCGCGTTCAGTTCACCGCTGTTGACTCCACTTCACTCCGTTCTTCCGATGAAGTGTGATGGAACGATGCTCCGCATCACCCCATGTTCCCCTCGGGAAGATGGTGTAATTTTTGAACAATGTAAGGTTTTGAATATTTTCAACGACGTCGATTTTTGTTTCCAAACTTTGTTCTTGAACAGAATAAAAGAAGTCAACATTATCAACATTAGCTTTACATATATGTCTGGTGTGCCATTGAGCTAAACGTTGACCCAAGGAGATTTTTTTTATGTGTTTAGTGCATATTAGTTAGTGCATATGTTAATTGACCCCGTAAGTGATGACATCACAACATTGCGCTTCGCTCCAAACAAACAGTTGCTAGAGCCGTTGTTATGGACAAATGCATAGGCTCTCGACGTGAGATTAGAAATTGTTGGATAAAAAAAGTAAATTTGTGTAGGCATTGTGTTTTCTCAGTATCTAATTATGAAGACTTTTTCTGTCGTCTAAGTGCCCTAAAGCCATGACAAAAGCGCGTAATTAAGTTTCACTGCCGGTTTCTCCCTGCAAGCAGACGACACAATGGCTTCGCGGTTTCAGTGATTCTTTCTGAGAGAGTACACGACCGCATTGAATGAGGTTGATGACGATCGGCGACATTTGTATTCTCGGGGTCAACTTTCTGTGAGATTTCAGAGCGCCCGTGCACAGCTTTGATCGGCGCTCGAAGTGCGTGAACGCGCGAACGCCTTCCCGTAAAACTCGCTTCCGCAATATATATATATATATATATATATATATATATATATATATATATATATATACACATGGGTGGTTTCTGTAGTATTCGTAGCCGGTGAGGAAAGAAAGCACAGCCGTCCATGTTAGTAACTCCTTCTTCTTCTTCCCCTAAGCCCAGGGCTTATACCGCATATCCCCCCTTTATTTTTCCATCTTTTCATTCGTATCTATAAGTTCAGTCTCTGAACGGGTCTTACCACACGTCCGCTTCGTGTGAGTGGAAGTTGGGAAGTCGACGGCACCGGGCACGGCAATTCTTGACTGCGGACGGTCTCGTCAGCTGCTTGGGCGTTCCCTACGGGCATTTCCATTGGTATCAAGTGGAATCTGTTCCGTCGCACTTCCCCTCTTGGCGTCTTTACTATGTAGGACCGGGGTGGTCCTGCAGTTGTCTTCACGAGTCCATCGGTCTTCTGGTCAGTGATCCACACTTTTTCCCCTTCCTCAATTGGCTTCAAGGGGCGTGCACCGTGTCTTTTGTCGAAGTTGGTTTTCTGTGTGAGTTTGTTCTTTTTCTCCCATTCCCGGAGCTCTGAGTGATCGGGAGTTTTGGGCCCTCAGAAGGTGGTTTGCTATTGGAAGGGACGTGCGAATGCGACGGCCCATCAGAAGTTCTGCAGGGCTGAAGCCATTCCCCAGTGGCGTTGCTCGGTATGCCTGCAGTGCCCGATAGGCATCATCAGTTTTTTTTTTTTTTTCAACTGGCCTTAATTATTTCACGGTAGCTTCCACAAACCCATTGCTCTGCGCGAACTTGGGGCTGGATGTAATATGATGAAACTTCCAGTCTCTCGCAAACTGTGAAAACTCGTTCACCAGTTGTTGAAACTGAGGTCCGTTGTCACTGTACACTATCTCTGGTGTGCCATGTCTGGCGAAGATAGACTTCAGGTGATTAATTACTAAGCTCGCTGACAAACTGCTCAAAGGAGCCACCTCTGGGTACCTGGAGTAGTAGTCCGTTACAAGTAGATACCACTTCCCTTGCAAGTAGAAGACATCCATCCCGACACGCTGCCATGGTCTGTCTGGATATGTAGAAGGGATGAGAGGTTCAGGGCGATTGCTTCTTTCTGGAATACAGCATGTGCATCGTCTCACATACGCTTATATTTGTGTAGACAGTCCTGGCCACCAGACAGACTCTCTCGCTCGAGCCCGACATTTGGTGGTACCTTGATGACCTTCATGTATAGTCTCCATGATCTCTTTTTGCAGTGAGGCTGGAATGATGATACGGGACCCTCTCATGAGGAGTCCTTCTTCCACGGCAATCTCATTTCTGTGTTGCCAGTAATTCACGCATTTGGTGTCCACAGAGCTCTTAGAAGGCCAGCCATGCATGCTGTAGTTCCTTAGCAGCTCATTCATTCATTTCATTTATTTACACCTTAAGGGCCCGTGAAGGGCATTACATAAAGGGGGGGGGGGGGTATTCAAGTTTTATACAACAGAGAAACGCAAGTACAAAAAAAAACAGAAAAGGAAACTAAAACACACTTAACACACTCAACACACTCAGGTCTGCTCAAAGTTACAGAACTCATAGCACTAGTAGGACGATAAATGAAGTTTAATACACGATAGAAAATTAATCGGATCCACAATGGTGACAATGGACGATGGGAGGTTGTTCCAGTCGCTGATGGCCTGAGGGAGGAATGATCGATTGAATGCGTTTGTAGAGCCTGAAATACGCTTGATCGTACATGTGTTGTTAAGGCGTGAAGATGTTCGGTCGGGGGGTGATAGCAACTCATTTTTAAGGACTGGAATGTGGTAGTAGATCTTATGAAGAAGGCAGAGCTGAGAGACTTTCCTGCGGAGCTGCAAAGAGGACATAGTTGACTTTTCAAGGCGGAAAAACTAAATGAGTGATCATAAGTAGGCAGGATGAAACGAGCAGCCCTGTTTTGAACTGCTTCGAGGTTGTTAATTAGGTAAATTTGATGGGGATTCCAGATGGTAGCGGCGTATTCTAATTTAGGTCTGACGTACGTGTCGTACGCCAGTTTTCGAACCAGGGGAGGTGCGGATCGTAGGTTACGTCTTATTAGTCCAAGGGTCCTTGATGAGTCAGCAGTAATGGCTTCAATGTGATTATTCCAGGAGAGGTCGGGTGTTAGTCTTACACCAAGATATTTATACATAGAAACATTCTCAATTAAGTCGGAGTCCAGGTAGTATTGGTAGGACAGTACAGATTTTTTCCTAGTGAAGCGAATTAGTTTGCATTTAGATTTATTTAACGACATCAACCAGTCATCGCACCGTTTGTTAATTTTAGATAAGTCACTTTGAAGTTGGTCGTTATCTTGCACACATGTTACTTTGTTATAGACGACGCAGTCATCTGCAAATAGACGTATTTTAGAGGAAATATTGCTAGGGAGGTCATTTATATATATTAAGAATAACAGAGGCCTAAAACGGACCCCTGCGGAACACCAGAAGTCACGTTTGTTAGGGATGATTCTTGGTCATTAATTGACGTTAGTTGCACGCGGGACGAAAGAAAGTCACGTATCCATGAAAATGTGAGTGGGTCAATGTGTAGAGATGACAACTTAGAGAGTAGGCGTTGATGAGGGACACGGTCGAAGGCTTTTGAGAAATCAAGAAAAACGGCGTCAGTCTGAGTATGACATTCAAGGTTAGTGTGTAGGTCAATAACAAAATCACAAAGCTGGCAGGTGTCATCACTTTCTTGCTTTTCTTGAATTTGTTTTAGTCTGTTCGGTGATGCTGGTAGACTGAGAGTAATACCTTGTACATAGGCTGCTATTTCGTCTTCCATTTCTTTGTCTGGGTCCGTCTGTAGTGGGTTTCTTGACAAAGTATCTGCAGCCACGAGATATTTGCCTGGGATGTGTCTAATCTCGTACGAGTACCTCATCATTCTGAGTTTCATGCGTTGGAGTCTTGGTGTGATGTCCTCCAAGCGCTGTGATGTCAATATCGGAACCAGGGGCTTATGAATGATAATTTTCATACCCGTGATGAAGTCCCGAAATCTCTCGCAACCCCATACTACAGCCAGCCCTTCTTTTTCTATTTGAGTGCTTTTTTTTATGTGCTGATATTGCATCGCTTCCCCGCTGATAACAGCGGGGAAGCGATGCAAAGTGTATACGTTACAGCCGCATTCGCTTTGCGACTTCTTGTGTTCGGTGCACAATTTGTCGCGCGCTATCTTCCGTTTTTGGAAATTGCTGCTGCAGCCAACGACTGCGCAGTGGCAGCCGATGACCAAATATGCTCGGACATGATACATCGACGTATTAACCCACCTTATACAACTCACTTCGTTGTCAAGGGCTTCAAAACCCATTTAGCGCGCACCACTTCAGCATCTTGTCAGCCGGCTAGGCCTGCTCCCGCATACCGGAAGTGTTAGAACCGGAAGAACTATTCCCGCTGTGCGCCGAGCCGCCGAGTCGAGGCTACGCACGTTACGTGCTGGGTCGAGGTTAGACGGAAAAGGTGTTACTGTACATTATGTGTGCCTGGACCTTTTTTTTTTTTTTTTGTCTGTTCCTGACCGATACTTATCTCCGTTGCCCATACTTTTTTTTTTCTATTTTCCCTAGTCTCAACCTATACATGCCTTGCAAGTGACGTCATGCTAGGGAAGAACGGGGCCCCGCACCATACTGGTGGTTGACTTCACACCGCGCGGATGCACTTACCACGGCGTAGGATGCCGCTAACTGCCCGGACATGCGCTGACATGCACCATATTTTCAACAAAGGTACCAGTTATGTCACATGTAAACATGGAAAAACGTGCCGAGCTTACGATAATGACGTTTAGCCAGTACGTGCAGAATTTTTCGGCGTTGGTGCGATCGCGCTACGAGCAGAAAGTTTCGATATGCCGCCGACGCAGTTTTAAAACATAAAAACAGTCGTGTCGAAAAAAAAAGAAAAGCTGAATTGCGTGCTTTAACATTTGACGAGCGGCTCTAGGAGTCGCTTGTAGAAAAATTGTTACGATTTTGCGAAATACTGGTAAACAACGGAAGGCTACCGTCATAATCTAAACCCTGAGACAAATCAAATAATGGAGGGTTTATATTATGATGTTTCCTAACCGGCTCGAGCCTGCATACTTTCGCTCCTTGCTAAGATTACCGTTCTCGCGGATGGCACAAACCGATGCCTCGCGGCGGCGGCGGCGAGCTTGCACACGGGGGCCGCCGCCGACCGATCGCCGTCTGGCCGGGCTCGCTTCGCGACAATCGCCTGTACTCGGCCCGGGGTCCCCTCAAGGGGTGTCCCAACAGGGCACTACAAAACGCACGACTCCGACAAATCGTGCAAATTGAAGCGGGCGCGTCCACTCCAATTTTCACGATTGGTAGGAGTCGTGCGTTTTGTAGTGTCCTGTTCGGACAACCCTTAAGGTGCGCTCGAAGCGTGGAAACGGCGTCGTGTAACGAAATACAAAGGCCACCTACACCACGAACGGGCAACAGCCGATGCAAAGGCGTGCGTGAACGTAAACAACGGTAGAAGAGTGCCGTCGCTCGCCGTTACGAAATGCGTCCGCAAACTCGGTAGTCCGCGGCTGCATCCCCTTCCTGCCTCTCGTACTTTCGCTAACTTGACGGCAGTGTTGTGCCCGTTACCGAAAAAAAGTAACGAAATAGCGTTACTCGTTAGTTTGGTAAAAACTAACGCGTTATCGAGCTACGTTACTTTTTTACAAACGTAACGATATACCGTTACCGTTACTTTTCAAAAATAACGAACGTTACTTTTACGTTACTTTTCTGTTCGAGTACATATGTTTGGCAGAGATGTATGATAAGCCTCCTTAACAAGCTTGGATAAAGATAAAAACTTACAGAGTGGTTTCATTGTGTTTTGATGCGCGAAGCAGCTTAATTTTCGGCGTGCAGATTAGGCATTGAAACTGTAAATTACCTGATTCTCTCTCCTTTAGTTGATACATTTCATTCAGACCTGCTGGCCATGGCGACGAACTTTCGTTATTCATGCCCATCTCACGCGCAGAATGAGTCGGAAATGTTAGTCAATCGGCTTTTATGAACTACAGCATGCGAACGAGGACTGCTGGAATACAACCAGCCAACCAACACCCCTCATCTGAACGCCGGTTTTAGTAACAGTCCGGTTCATACTATTACCAGAGACTGATTGTCTTCACTGTCTGGAACAAGACACCGGTTACCAGCACACTGGCTATAATCACTTGCTGCCTCTTACCAGCAGTAGCTCTTAGTTTTTCTGTGAAAAAATAAAAAATAAAAGGTTTCGTGCTTGTAAGTTTTTTTTCCAGGTTTATAACTTTTTTTTTTAATTTTTTTATCATGACCTTAGGGAATCAAATACTAATCAAGCGAAAGATTCTTCTATGTACAAAAGTGGGTCGGGAAGTTTCAGGCAGGGAGGGGGAGAGCAAGGGTAAAAATATTCCACAAAGGGTGGTTTTTTTTTTTTTTTTTTTTTTTTTTTTTAAGTAAAGAAATGAGCAAATCATTACGCCACTAGTTCTCCACTGTTGTAAACGGATGTCTCTCCACGGCTCCCCCCCCCCCCCCCCCCCCCCCCCCCCCCCCCCGCTGTCCACTTCTGGTAGACGCAAAAAGGAGAGTCTACTCCAACATACATATAAAGACAGGATATATAAGACAGCCGATACCGTAAAAAGTAAAGGAAATACTTTACCCGTTAGTCAATCAGAATACTAACGAGTACGTTACTGCGTTAGCGAAAAATGTAACGCATTACCAGTAACGTCGTTACTAGTAACGCGTTACCTCCAACACTGCTTGACGGCTACTCTGTCTCGCGGGGCTTGACGACGAAACGATCGGTCGATCGTCAGGATAAGCAGTAATTGCTACAGCCGAGCGCGGCGCAGTTTACCATTGCTCTCGCTGCGAAGGGCCGTCGAGTCAACCACCATGCATGGTAGATACCGGTGTTCGACGTCATCATGTGACCTAGGTGCAAGGCATGTATAGCGCCGCCCGGTCGGTGTCAGGGGCAGAAAACGTGTATGGCCGCATGCCTTTCCCTAAATACCTGCACACCGTGCTGCACTGTGCAATAAAAGTGCAATAAAATACAATACAGTACAAACAGAGGTCTAATATTCGCCGCTTCTCACCAACCTGTAAACACGAAGTGTCCTCGTACGACCGTGAGGCTGGGCCAGAACGACTCACAGCTGGGCGGTGACGCGGGTGGCCGCTAGAAGCGCACATGAAGGCACCCTAGTGGCCGCGTAGCTCTCCGCCTTCCCTTCCCGTCTGCCCGGAGAAAGCGCGCGCGTTTCACGGTCAGCTGATCGCGTCGGCCGTTTGTTCGGGCCTGCCTATCTTCCTCCTCCGCAGCTCCATCTCGCGCCGAGACGAGCCGGTCTAGTGCGAGAGGGGAGACTCCGCAGGAGGAGGGGAGGGCCAGTGGCGATTAGGCGACAAGGCCACCGCCCGGAACACAAAGCCCCCGCGCCTTTTGCTTCGTCGAGACGTCGCCGTACACGACTCCCCGCCGAGCGCAATCTCGCGCCCCTTTTGTCAGAATGCGAGCTCCGTAGAACTACGCTCTGGGAACGTCCGCATAGAACGCCACCACGAATTGGACGCGGGCCGCTGTTTTGCGTCCAGCACCGTGCGACCCAAGGATCCGGAAACATCGCCCGTCCACCGAATAATCAGGTTGGTCAGCCTTGACTCGTTCACACGTTGTTTCTGCGCACACGATCACACATCGCAAATACATCCTACAAAAGACAGTCTGCAGACATTGCCCGAGGCATGCTCCTTCCTTGTTTGACGGTCTCCTCACATTGGTCGTACAAAAACTGTTTTTACGCGCGATTTATGCGTTCGTATTATATGTATGAATATGAAGCAAATATACTTCGAACATCCTCGAGGCGTGTTCGCATATAATTACGTCGTCATGTCCGCTGCACCGAACGCCGTGATTTGTGGTTGATGTATGAGCAGTCTGGTTGCGGCTGTTTACGAACACGCTGTATGCCAATGTGTATATACGCCGACCACGTGCGGCGTGAGCGCGATTGCAGCTGGCATGGGAAGTTCCTCTAATAGCGGGGACTATAAGAGAGAAGCACGTAAGAATATGTGACAAACACAAAACGACTGCCTTCCTGTAGCACTCAAGACACGGGCGAGCTTCCTCGCACACTCGAGGTTTCTACGTGCTATTACCAGATCGTTTTAGTATATCGTGTTCTCAGGCCACGCTATTCGAGCTCCTAGCGCTGCGCACTTCGACGCACGCTCGGAAGCGCGCGCCCGTAGCGGTAGCGAACCTTTCAAAACGATCTATGAAAACTCCCTACTGACTACACTCGATGCTACGCACTCAATTAAAGGGGCGACGAAACAATTTTTGTACTTTGCGCAAATACCGTTTAGAACGGATCCCTGACGTTATTGACATATGAAACACGCGTTCGTTTTTCATCCCACGCAATAGAAGTCCGAGAAAAAAAATTAAAGGAAAACGAGCAGCGTTCACCCCCTGAACTCGCAGCCAGAACCATACCAGAACAAGCGGCCAAGTGATCTGGAGCCGATTATATGCCGCCAATGTTGATCGTAGCCACGCGCTGGGGTTGGCAAAGCATAGGACACGCGTTGAGTTCCAAACATTGTTATGGCTCGGCTATTGTCGTGGTTGCAGCAATGGGACACGGGCCACTACCCGAATGCTTCTCGAGCTAGTAATTATCACGAGCCCAAATCGAGTGCTCACGCAATGCTCGGGTCCAATCTAGGAACCGCGTTCAAATATCGTCATTGGGGAGACTGCAATCGCCACATTACGTCATCAAATTTTCCAAAGAAGAGATTGAATGAAAATGCATCTCTTTTGTCCTTGAAATTACAGCGCAACAGAAACGTTCCTTAGCCAGTGGCGTTGCGTGCGAGTATCCCTCAGTCCCACTAGTGCCAGTAAGCTCGTGTAAAATGAAAAACATTCCAATTGAATATCGTTGCACCGCTCCTTTAATGTGTGTCGAAGAACATCAACATGAGTGTGGGTCAATCGTCTCTGTACGCCGCATAATGATTTACGATGCATGCATGTGTGCATGTACATGCTGTATTACTTGAGCAACAATGTGCTAAGCTCTACCATTAGTTCATAATGCAGCTAGTTTCTATTTATTCCGAGGGGTTGTCGCGCGATGACAATCGTCATCGCGCGGCGTCAAGGACCGGTTTCATGTCTCCCAGGTGTTGGTGGCCTTTGAGAAAGAAAAGCCTTTCAAGCCTGTCGCGGGCACCGCTGGTTCTTCGAAAGGCCGACAAATCGAATCGCCATGATCCTGTGCTCGCTGAAGACCGAGCTGTTGGTCCTCGTCCGCGAACTGGTCGTCTTCTTGTTCATCCGCCTGGCGGACTTGCTGTTCACGCTCTGGTTCTGGAGGACGCCCAAAGCCAAGCTTCCGGAGGTCACGGACCCGCTGCTCCTGGAACCCGCCACGCTGGTCGCCTCCAGGATACGGGCGGGCAAGGTAACGAGCGCACTCTTCCTCGGCTTGATAAAACAAGGAAGTCTCGAAGATGGCGGACGGGCCGTCGCAGGTCACGCAGAGCGGCGGCCCTGAAGGCCACCGAGGCCCCATTGTGTTTTCTTGGAAGTGTGCGGTTTAGATCTCGTGGTGCCCGCAAGGAACGTTTGTCTGACGGATTTTAGACACATCACAATGGGAGCGCGAAACAATGACGCGGCCGGACTAGTGGACGGAAACTTCAGGAGTCGTAGGTTGGGTCGCCGCGACGATAGCGACGCTTGCGTCCGCTCTTCTTTTCTACCGGCTCTTCTTCAACCAGATTGCGACAGCCCGTAGCGTTACCCATCGGCTTCTGTGACATGTTTTGTGGTGACTTCGTCGATGCATGGGCGGTGTAAGAAAAAAGTCGGAGACGTTTTTTAGACGTCACAGTTGATGTGCACACCACAGATGCAGGCATACATCGCTCATTAACAATACACATATTATTTGACACGTCTATCTTTGGAATGCGAAGCAACTCTTTTTGTTGGCGCTAGTCAAGGACGGCCGACCTCAGATAGGCAACGTATCTTTGCCCTTATCGTCCTGTTGCCCTTGTGGTCGAAGATTTATCTCTGTAGGTGTAGCTCCCGGACGAATCTGCATTGCCGATTCCCTGACCATTTATCAGCAGGACAGTCTCCATTTGACTTTACTCAAGCAGCACGAACGTGTCTGTGGCTCGATACTTGCTTTTGAAAGCCTGATTCAGGGATCGAGTAATTCATCCCCTCTACATTCATTCTCGGAATGGCTAACAGCAAGTAACGCCGGATAGTTTGTCAAAACAGGCACCCTATTTCCGCCCTTTGTTGCCCTGTCAAAACTGCGTCATCGGTACTGTTCTACCGTGTTGAGTCTGCGTACCTATTTGTTGGTTCCACAAGTGTTTAGCGCGATAATTATTGAAATCAAGGCAGTTTTTAAGGACGGTTGTAGCTTAGTAGATATCCTTTTTTTTAGTGGGGAGGGGGGTGGGGGGGTTGGGGGTGTATCGAGATTGGTAATTTTACACCAAATTTAGAGTTGCTAAGAGAGTTTACAATAGCGTACGCAGAAGCTTAACGTACACAAAGACTAACATCGTCATCACTACGCATGCGCCGAACGCTAACCGTGTTTTGTGCCTTGTGTGCGATTTTTTTTTGGCATACGCTATTCTACGGTAATTGCGTGCGTACACAAAAAGTTAGAAATCAAAACGAGCGCAAATACACGTGTCTTTGCGCTGTTTTTATTTTTCAACAACGAAATACCAACTAACCCAAACGCCAACGTTAGTCTACGCAAAGAATCTTTGCGTTCCTCCAAATAGGATTCGTGACGTGCGAGAAGTTTGCTAAAGTCAAGACGAGCACAATCAGAAAATGGCGGCTGTCAGGACCGCGACTGCAGCCGCCTTGTGTGCGGTCGTCACGAGCAGGACACCGGCGGCATCCTTGCGACTGCGACTTTTAGAGTACAGGACGGCATCGCACTCCTGCGGGAGGGGCACGCCACAAACTGCTTGGAAGACCCATCAATGCGGTCAACGTTCGCCGGCAACCTGCTGCTTGCGACGCGCGAACATTTCTCGACGAAGGTACGGTGTGCAAAGATTAGTATACTACTGTGATTTCCCTCTACAGGGGTGTAAACCCCCCTGGTTTTCCTAAAGGCACCCCTTTAATTCGCAACGACTCCTATATTCTGAATGCTCCCCTAACTTGCACCAAAGAAGAAAAGTTTCGGAAATGTTCACACCGCGGAAAAGTGTTGCTTCGTTATATGTAACCGCTGCACGAAATGCTGATGCATTTCTTCGCGAATCAGCGTAGCGGCAGCAGCGATTGCTTTTAATATAAAAGAAAGAACACGTTTACGAACCTCTGACACAGGGATAGTAATAGAACAACCAAAAGCACACAAGTGAACCGAGCGAAGTAAAGTTCTCATTCCCTCTATGGTAGGCTAGAAGTGGAGATGTGACGATCGCTCGAGCAAGGGTGGCCCCGCGATTCATCTTGCAGCGCGGAGTACCATCAGTGAGTCGACACTAGCGCCTGTCACGGAAGTGGGGAAAATATTCAATAAATTCTTTCTTTCTTTATTTTCTTTCTTTCCGGATTGACCGGGAGGTGGACAGAGACTAAAGGCGTGATGCCTGACGAGGTCTCTGTCCCCTTTACAGTTCTAACACAGCAGTGCGGGGTACATAGATTTTTGAACACGAAAATTAGAGAAAAAAACCTATAAAATTCTATACAACTCAGAAACAATAAAAAACAGGATCGATCAAATATCCCAGGATAATTTTTTTCAGCAAAAAAGGATAAAAACAAATTGGTCAGAAACATGTTTTAACAATTCAAAAGTGAAATATGGACATGATTTAATAAGTACACAGTACACATATATCAGAACACAATGTCACTGCCCACCAGAAGTGTCTTTAGTCTTTTTTTGAATTGGAGTATACTGCAGTTAAAATCTATTAGATCTTCCGTATTATTCAAGATTTTGGCGACTTGGAAGCATGTCGTTTGTTTTCCGTAATTGGTACGTATTTTTGGAGGTCGTCTGATTCTATGTCTAAGAGTGTGATACGCTGTGTTTTCTGACGGAATTGCGAAGAGTTTTTTTTTGTGGGTATTATCTGTAACAATTTAAAATAATAAATTTGATTCACTTTAAGTAGGCCATATTTGCTGAACAGCGGTTCGGTTAGGAGATCTTGAGGCTTACCTTTATAATTTTCAAATAGTCGCAGAATTTTTTTTTGTAAGATGATCAACCTATTATATTTGGTTGCCGATGTCGTGCCCCAGACTAAAATGCAATAACACAGTTTGGAGTAAAATAAAGCGTAATATATATTCTTTTTTAGCCACAAAGGTATGAGATTTCTTATTTTATAAATACATCCGATGGCTCGGGATAGCTCAGAGCTCAGTTTATTTATGTGCGTGTTCCAACTTAACCCCCGATTGAACCACACACCAAGAAATTTTTGTTCTGTAACCTCCTCTATAATTTCCTTTTCAAAATATATTGTCACCTTAGTGTTGTCGCACCTATTAACGGGAGTGAAAATTATATATTTTGTTTTTTTACGTTTAGTTGTAATTTATTATTTTGAAGCCACACTGATAGATTGTCTAGATAATTATTTGTCATAGATTCTAAGGCCGCTTTAGAGGTTGAAGCAAAAAATGCGTTAGTGTCGTCTGCGTACATGACCAGCTCAGGGGATTCCAGATTCACATAAAGAAATAAGAGCGGGCCTAAAATAGACCCTTGCGGAACACCGTACTTTATTTTGAGTGAATTAGAATAATTGTTGTTAATATAAACATACTGCATGCGATTTTGGAGGTAGTCTTTTATTAAAGTCAGAGCAACCCCACGTATGCCGTACCTTTGAAGCTTAATTAGTAATATGTCATGTTGGATCGTATCGAAGGCCTTTCTAAAATCTAGGAATAAGCCTAAGGTGTATAATCTATTTTCAATATTGCTTATAATTTTATCCTTTACTTCTACAAGTGCCTGCTCTGCAGATTTAGATTTTTGAAAGCCATATTGACATTTGTTTAATACATTGTGCCTGGAAAAAAAATTGTCTAATCTAGAATTTAAAACCCCTTCAAATATTTTTGAAAAAATTAGCAAAACCGAGATTGGTCTATAATTCTGTAGAAGGTGTTCCCCGCCACCCTTATAGATTGGAGTAACTCTTGCAATTTTTAGTTCGTTAGGAAATATTCCAGTTTCTAGAGTAAGATTGATTACATGTGACAAGATATAAGATATTTGTTGGGAGACATATTTGACAGGCCTTGGCTTGAAGTCGTGTACGCCAGCTGCGGCGTTATTTTTAATTTTAGTTATAAGCCCTTCTACTTCATATGGCGTAGTTGGAAATAGCATTATCGTGCTTGATAAGGAAGTCATTGCGTCTGTGATACAGCATTGCGAAGTGTCTTCGTGTTCTGGTGGTGAACCAACGTCAACAAAATGCATATTCATTAGATTTGCCATTTGCTGTCCACTCACGTTCCTGCCGTCGATAGTGACACTTTGCGTTCCCTGCACACGTTTTTTCCTATCAGTAATTTCGTTCACAGTTTCCCATATCTTTCTTGGGTCATTGTATACCCTTGAAAATATATTTTGATAATATTCGGATTTGGCCTTTTTAAGGTCGGAGTTCAATTTATTTCTTGTTTTTTTAAATTCGATGAGAAGATTTTGGTGCCTATATTTAATAAAATTATGGTACATCCTATCTTTTATCTTAATACGCCTGTATAAGTCATTTGTAATCCAAGGTTTTCGTACATGTTTTTGACGATTATTTACTTGAATAAGCGGAAAAGCGACGTCATAACAAAGCTTAAATTTGTTAGAAAAAAGTACATACGCAAGGTTGGGGTCACGTTCCAAAAGGACGTTCTCCCAGTTTGTTTGCTCGAGCAGGACAAAAAAGATTTGCAGTGATTCTTCATTTATGCGTCGGTAAGAGTAAGTATCGCGTTTCGGTGTATTTTTGCCACGATAGAAAGATGTCAGACAGAAAACTGGCATGTTGTCGCTTATATCTTGTGTAAATATGCCAGATGTGGCTTCCCTAGCGTTGAGATTAGTTATACATATATCTATTGAACTAGAAGTTTCTAAAGTCACTCGGGTGGGCAGTGTCACAGCGTTAGTACATCCCCAAGCAGATAAGAGATTATTCATCTCTATTACGTAACTATTAAATTTTAGTAGGTCGATGTTTGTATCACCCATAATTAAAAATGGTTTGGAGGTCGATCCAAGAAAAGATAATAAGTCTTCCAAAAAAATTAAAAAATTTTCCTTATTACCAGTGGGGGGTCTATAAATAACAGCAATAATAACAGTTTTGGCATCTAAAACAAGGCACTCAACATCAGCTGTGATCACAGAGAAATTTTCAACAACATACCAAAAATAATAGCCCACTCCGAGGCCAACAAAAATTACTTAAAAAAAAATAGAAGTGCTAGGGCTGGACCGATGGCAAGAGAAAGGTTTAATAGGGATGAATATAGAGGTTAAGCTGAACGGGGGTTCGTGGATGCATGAGGATAAAAGAAAAATATAGACGCTTTGAGGCCGCTATGACTGCCCGCCAATGCTTCGTTAATTCTTATTTGGTCCAATCCACTTCACCGCTATGGGCATTCGAGAAGCTAAAAACTTGTGAATTTTAAAATAGAAAAAATATGTTCGTGTGGTCAGCGAAGTAGTCGTGCATAGATTCGCTGTCAATTTTAGTCGCTGAATAGTTCTCAGGGAGTACGCGAAAGGCTTCCTGGTTTTTGGTAGCTCAGCTGCTGAATATACTGACTCTTGAGCGGCGACTATGGAAGGATTTGAAGCCATCCTTGTTTGTCTAGCTGAAGAGCGCGGACGTGGTGAGGGCGTACGTGAAGCGGCTGGAGGAGGTGAACCCGGCGCTGAATGCCGTCACGGACACCAGGTACGAGGAGGCGCTCACCGAGGCCCAGGAGGTGGACCGGCAAGTGGCCGAAGGGGCCGCAGCCTCGGAGCGAGACCAGCCGCTGCTGGGCGTCCCTTTCACCGTCAAGAACACCATAGGCGTCCGAGGTGAGCTCCCCGCCGGAGCAGCTCCAAACTGTCGTTGCTCTGCCATGGATCAGTCTTTCTGGCGCTTTCCAACGGCTGGTGCTCAACCAGGGAAAAAAGAATGTATAGCAAATTGCCCTGCAATTTTGTTGCTACGTGCGACGTTCTTGGCTTAGCGCTGGCAGCCTCCAGGCATCTCTTCTCGAGCTGTGCCTCCAGGTGTCGCCACTCCTCTCCACCCCATTGACTCCACCTACCCCTTTCCATCCCATTGACCCATTGACGTTCCCCGTCGTGTCGGCCTGTGTCCACAGACTATGGGGAATGACGAGGCCGACGAGACATGTGACGTCACGATCCTCATTCCCTCTCCTCTTCGCTTCGTCGTTGCTTCATCGAACTTCGTCTCCTCGAGCGGGTGAACCGAATCGAGCAGGAGAGGAGCAAGGCCGCTTTGCCTCATTCTCAACTGTTCCAGGAGAATCCTGACGTCACAGCTTGATCGCCTTCTTGTTTTCCAAAAATGTGGCCATCCGTTTGAAATATCGATGTATGATCGATGTTTTGGAGTTTGTAGCGTCCCGTTCAACGCTTCTGCGGCCTTATTTAGCGAAATCCAAATTTCGGTTCAGCATCCCTTTAAAGTCGGCGTACCTCATTGTGAAACGTCAGGATACATCGACTCCTTCGTACCAAGAACGTGATCCGATTGGAACCGCCATCTGGCACCTCCGGTAAACGTATCATTCATTAAACTATTTAAGGAGGTTGTTGAACACGTTTTATTTGGGTATAGGAGGCGCATCGTCATATTTGATTGAAAAATAACGCATCGCCATATTTGGATGAAAAATAGCGCATCGTCATATTTGGATGAAAAATAGAGCGTAGTCATATTTATATGAAAAATAACGCAATGTCATATTTGTGTAAGACATAGCGCATCCTCATATTTGGATTCAAGATAACGCAATGTCATAAAGAGGCGTTAACTGATCTCCGAACGGAAAAGCCTCCGATATCTACATTCTGCGATGAGGCGTGGACGTGCAACGCCTCGACGTCTACACTATGCAGCACCGTAAAAATGCTGCCCCCAAGGCCGCGCCACCGCGCGGGTGCAGCGTATGACGCACTACCAAGTGAACGCAAAGCATTCCGCCGTGCAACGCGCTTGGCGCGGTCACTTCAAGGGCTTCTTCTTCTTTCAAACGTCTTTATTTACAGGCCAAATGAATGAGCGCCCTATGCGCTCTGCTGTATGGTCTTTTATCTCGTCGTCTTATGTGTCCCTGGTGTTACCAGGGGCAGAGAGACGTCGGGCGGCGGCGATGATTGGCTCATATTGCTTGAGCAGCCTGGAGCCGAGTGGGGGCGCCTGCGGGTCCTCTAAATATCGGAGGATCGCCTGGAATGCCGCCAGGACACGACCAGGGTCAGGAGCGGATGGGGGGTTGAGCCACTCAGTTAGAGTGGAGGGGGGAGGTGAGAGGGTTGAGAGCGCGCGAACGCGGGCTGTTGAGTGGAGCGGGCAGTCCCACAAAAGATGGGGGAGACTAGCAGGAACGTGGCAGTGGGTACACTGAGGGTTGATGTGGACCTGGGGATACATCTTTGCAAGCAGGGAGGGAGCGAGGAGCGCTCCTGACCTGGTTTGCTGTAGAAGGGAGGTCTCGTGGCGAGTGAGAGGAAGGTGGGAAAGAGAGGGGAAGTCAAGGGGGTTAGCCTGAGTAGTCAGGTAATGACGCCATCGGCTGGCGTGCTCCTGTGGGGCTTCGTGTGAATCGTGAAAGGAGCCAGGTGTGAGCTCCGGTGGCGTAGGAAAAGTAGGGGCCCCGGCTCGCGCGGAGAGAAGTTTAGCGCGCGCAAGTCGGTGAGCCCTTTCATTGCCGGGAATGCCGCTGTGGGCGGGCACCCAGTCGATGAGGGGATGGTGGCCGGCTGTCCGGATAGAAATGGCTGCCCGATGAATCTGAATAGCGATGGCAGATGATGGAGATGAGTGGCGGAGAGCACGGATGGCTTCTTGAGATTCTGTATATATTACGATTCTGGAGGAGGGTACCAGGGTTAAAGTGTTAACGGAGGTTAAGCAGTGCAGTATAGCACAAAGTTCAGCGTGACTAGAGGAGCAGGGGGTCATGAAAACTTGTGTACCGCGTCGATGGCCGTCGACATCGCACCATGCCGTGCTGAAGATTGGCGTGGAGTTATTGTCCACAGCCGCGTCCGCGTAGAAAACTAGAGCCGATGAAGAGCGAACAAGGAGAGAGTGGAGATGTCGGCGAGCAAAGTCGCTGCGGCGGGCTTGCGCTTTTTCACCCATGTTCCGAGGGAGGGGACGGGGTGCTGTGAGAGGGCAGAGCTCCCATGGCGGGGGTGGGGTGGGTAAAGGTAGGAGGTGGTCGATGTTGTAACCTAGCTTACGCAGTGTGAAGCGCCCCGCTAGAGTGGCTCGGAGTCGAGTTTCTTGAGTTGCGATCTGGGTGGAGGCCAGGTCGTCAAGGCTGTTCATCTGGCTGCAGCTGGTGAGCGCATCGATTCGCGTGTATCTCGGAAGGCCGGTGACAATTCGTTGCAGTTCCCGATTAATTATTTCGAGCCTGAGTTTTTGGGTGCGGGTAAGGTGGTAGTACGGGTAGCCGTACATAATGCGGGACACCACGAAGGCCCTAGCAAAGGTACGGAGATCATGTTCGTGCACCCCGCGGGAGCGGTGGGCTACCCTGTATAACAGGTGGTTCAGCTGTTTCGAGGTGCTGATGGTACGCTGAAACCAAGTCGCCGCCCGGCTGTCTTGGTCGAGGTGAAAACCAAGAATCCGGATGCTGGTGCGGCGTGAGATGGGAGTACCTGCGAGCGTGAGCTGAATGCACTGTTTTTCTGCTTCTTTTGCTGGTGTGCGACGACCGCCATGAATAACGACGAACTCCGTCTTGTCGGGAGCGGGAGCGAGGCCAACAGACTGGATGTAGTCGTGAATGATGTCGAGCCCAGCTTGAATGGCATCCTGTTGGTAACCGGGTGAGCCAGAGTGGGTCCACAACGTAATATCGTCGGCGTAGATTGCATGTTCGAGGTTAGGCACCTCACTAAGGCGGGGAGGAAAGCCAGCAAGGACGATATTGAAAAGCACTGGAGAAAGAACGGACCCTTGTGGAACGCCCACTCGGTTTGTATGGGTGATTCCGTGGGATGAGCCGACGTGAACAGTGAAAGTGCGATCTTCGAGGAACGCCGCGATGAAGTTGTATGCCCGACCGGTGATGCCTAGCTGTTGTGCCATTGAGAGGACGGAGGAATGCGGGACGCTGTCAAACGCCTTGCGCACGTCGACCCCTGCCACAATACGAAGATGCGGTGATGATGTAGATAGCGTATCGTGCTGGAGGCGGCTCATGACGTCCTGAGTGGAGAGTCCAGGGCGGAACCCGTATTGCGATGGGCTGAGCAGCTGGTTGCACCCAAGCCACCACTGCAGACGGGCGTTCAGCATGCTCTCAACTGCTTTGCAGAGACATGATGTGAGGGATACTGGGCGTAGATTTGTGAGAGACGTAGGTGGTTTGCCGGGCTTCGGAATAGGACATACCGTCGAGTGACGCCACTCGGAAGGGACGCACCCAGAATCCCACACCAGGTTGATCTCCGTCAGTACAGTCTCTTTTAGGGCGGTGGGAAGGTTGCGAAGTTGCCCGACGGTGATGTTGTCAGGGCCTGGTGCACTGTGTGTGTTTGCCCTATCCAGGGCGGCCTCAAGTTCGTGGAGGGTGAACGGGGAATCCAAGCCGATGGGCTCGGGAACAGGGTGAATACGAGTGTAGCACCCAGGGTCATGCCGAGATGGTTGTGGAAAAAAGGCATCAGACGCTCTTTCCGCTAGCTCCTCGAATGAAACGCCTTCGCGGAGGGCAACGGCAGCGGCAGGTTGTCTAGGTTTGCGGTCTCCAAGGAGAAAGCGCAGAAGCCTCCATACTTTGGAGAGATTGGTATTACCGGAAACGGAGCTGCACATGGAGGTCCAGCGGTCAGAAGCCAGTTCCGATGTGTATCTCGAAATGGCGTCTTGCACCTGGCGCAAAACCCTGAGGAGCCGACGTGGTCTACCAGATCGGCGGTAGCGAGCCAACAGGCCTATGCGGCGGTTCCAAAGGGTGAGTAAATGTGCATCAGGTGCCGTAGCGTCCCCGGGAACGGTTAGGCGTTTGGTGGCGGCCTTGTGGGCACACTGGATGGCTTGTATAATGTCTGAGAAACCGGTGACGTCCATGACAGAAACCAGGGCTGCCCGAAACTTGTCCCACTTGGTGATAAACGTGTCCCGACGGGTGTTGTGTTTAGATGAAGTTGGAGATGGGAAGTGATAATGTAAAGTGATGGGAAGGTGATCGCTGCCGAGGTGATCGCTGGTGACCTGCCACTTCCAGCGTTGAGGGAAGCGAGCCCAGGTCAGGTCGGGGCAAGTGTCTTGTTGCCGGGAGGTTTGGCCGATACGTGTAGGTGTGTCTGGGGTATTCAGGAGGGAAAGTTTGAGTTCGGTGAGGTCCGCAAGGAGCCGTGTACCGCGAGGAAGGTCAACATCGTAACCCCAGGCCGTATGTTTTGCGTTGAAATCACCGCATACTATAATGTCGTCCTTGGAGTAAAGACGAGAAAAGTGTTTGATGAAGGCGACATTTAGCGGCTGCCTGGTGCGACGATTTAGCGACGTGTCGGGGGTCACGTACACAGAGAAAAGAAGAACAGGTCGGCGAGGAAGGAGGAGCAGTCGGCAACCCGTGACGCTGGTGATGATGGAGCACCACTGTGATGTGTCGAGGGGAGTGAATGGGACTGAGCGATGGACATACAGTGCGGCGCGGATACGAGGCGAGGAGGCACTAGTCTCGGCGTCCGGAGCAATTCCGTCGTACTGTGGCAAAGCCGGAAGTGGGCCGTTGAGTTCTTGTATAGCGAAGGCAGCGGGTGTGTCAGATGAAGAATGAAGATGAAATTTTTCGATAAGGTCTGCTTTTTTGCGTCGGAGCGAGCGACAGTTCCATTGAACAATTGTGGGTGCGCTAGTCATGCTTAGGCGTGAACTGCGCGGGAGGGCCGAATGGAATGATGCCCTGCATCATGAGACGCTCAATGACTGCACGGGTGCAGGTATCCACCAAAGTAGAGATTGACTGCTGCATGGCAGCAAGCTGTTGCAAGGCAGCTTGCGTTTGTTTTGTGAGAAGGGCCATTTGTTGGGTCATGGCCGTTAAGTCGTCTACTGCCGGAATTGGGGCGGGCGTCTCGCGAGCGGTGTTGACAGCCTTCACGGCTTCTGCAAAGGATGTGCGAGGCGGTTCCGATGTAGGGAGCTGCGTGTGGGTGACAAAGGCGCTGAGGGCCGGTACATGGGATTTAGCGGCGAGAATCGGGCGGGAGTCCGTCTTGGGCGTAGTAGTTGTCGATGAGGCTATTGGGATCGTTAGCGCAACTGGCGTCATAGCTGGAAGTGTGAGGGTTGGAGTCGGGGGCACCGATGGTGGTGGTGGTGGTGGTGGTGGTGGTGGTGGTGGTGGTGGAGGAGGCTGCTCCTTCGGGAATCCTCCGGGTGGCGGACGACGCTGTGGAGCCCCGCGGTCTCGTTGAGCCATCATGCGTTGAATTTCTTTTCTTTTTGGGCAGGAGCGGGCCGTGGCGAGATGGGTTCCGCCGCAGTTCCGGCACTTGGGTTGGGCAGACGAGCACTGGTCTGTGCCGTGCTTTGGTGCGCCGCACGTGGCACAGCGGGCTTTGTCACTGTTAGGGCATTGCGTACTGCGGTGCCCGATGCAATGGCAGGTGTCACATACATGAGTTTGTCGATGGAAAGGATATACACGCACCGTGAATGAGCCCAGGCCCACGCGGAACGGGAGGCTGGTGCCCTCGAACGTGATTAACGCCGACCCAGAGGTGCCGAGAGGTCGTGCCTGGAGGATGGTACATTTCCGACAATGAAGATGCTGCAGGAGCTGCGCGGAATCCATACCACCAGCGTTTTTGATAAAGCCGCGAGTCTGGCCGCGTCGAATAGCCTCGTAGGCTTGGACGGCGACTTGTTTCTTGTCGATCGGTATGTATGTTATCTTGAGTAAAGCGTCACGCACTTGAGAAGAGGTGGCATCGACCGCGAGTTGGTTACTGCGGTCGAGGTACCGTACTTGGTAACGGGGTTGTAATGATGGGTGAGATTGGAGGCCCGTTTGTGTAGCGATGGCGGAGTCAATGGTGAGGAAAGGTGCGTCCATGATCCGACATGGTTGGGTTGGTCGTAATATGACGGTGTGGAGAAACTCGCTTTGGGGCGAAACGGCTTGAGGCATCCCAGACTGGGCCGTCTTACGGCGGCGAGACACGGTATGCCAACCATCCTCTAGAGCGGACGAGGCATCATTGGAGTGAAATGGACGGCACGCGGGTGTGGCGGTGAACTTGACGGTGGACGAGCCGAGGTGCGTGTTGCGAGCACGTTTAGTTCCATCGGCGGCGTAGCGGATGTGGTACGGGCTGCCGAGAGGGGGGAACTCACCCGTGGGATCATCATCGCCAAGGATAGAGAATGGATTCCGAGTAGTGATGGCAGTTTGCCTCGACGCGGCACTGAGTGATGCGTGAGGCAGTGAGATGCCTGCGTTAGCGGCAGCAACGGCGGTGGGTGATGCGTTCGGGTTCAGGGCTAGCGAGGCGGTTGCAGCCGGCGTAGGCGCCTCAATGGGCTGAGAATCCATATCATCAGGTAGAGGGAGGTCCTGAGGGGTTCCGACGGTGCCGAGGGTCGTCATGATGTCCTTACGGAAGTGTGAGCCGAAGCTCAGGCGTAAAGAGAGCGAAAAATGCCAAAAATTGAAGGAGCTGAATCGAGACCGGTAGGAAGAGATGACCTCTTCTTCCCACCACTTCAAGGGCAAAACATAAACGAGTGGACCATTGAACAAAATCCGCCGCGAGTGGGGCGGCGGCGCACGCCATCTAGCGAGAGTCTCCCGAGCCGCCATGTTTACCGAGACCAGGAAGACGAAGCAAGGGAAAGAAGGTGCCGAAGGAGGCGGAGAGCGGCAGCTCAAGGCCGCACCGGCCCGCAGTGCGCGAAGCTGCACGGTCTTCTTTCGACGATGCAGCTGGTGCAGCAACGCGCCGGTGTCGTGCGCCGCACCAAGTCCCAAATGAACGTAGTGCAGCCGCACCGACACGACCATCTGAACGCGACGCGTCCGTCGGTGCAGTGCGGTGCGGTGTGGTGCGCCCCAATTGAATGTGACATCAGTTTCATCGTCATAGTTCTAGTTTTGATAAATACTATTTACACGGCAGCTCGCGAACACCCGACGGACAGCTTCCGAGATATTTTTTCCGAGCCGTCGGGCCATCGCGATGTGCCCTTTTGCAAAGTCGCCTCAATCAGCAGCCAAATACACGCACACGCATGGCGCGTCCATCTTGGAATGGCGCACGTAACGCTGTCGACGCGTGATTTAGGCGCGCTCATTAACACACCGCTGGGGGGGTCGTTCTCGGTTATCAGTAGCCAAGGAGTTCATGCAGTTAGTGAAATTCACGCTCTTCGTTAGCTCCCAGGTAATAAGCTGTTATTCTACGCCACCTCCCGGAGGTTTTAGCGGGGCACGAATTGGATACGATTGCCGCGTTAGACTCGTGTCCAATCAGAGAAGAACACGAGTCTTGACCGAATGCTGGTGCTCCTGTCCAATCTGTTGGGACCCGCGCTGGCTTCGGGTAGGTGACGGTTGTCATGGCTCGCACTGTGAAGGCGAATGACGCAGTGACATTCCTTTCGAATCACTCTCACCTCTATAGGGAGTATTCACTGGACGCCATATTTGTGGGTGCTGTTTTGAGCGCATGCTCAGAACGAGCTCACATCAATAGGCTGCTAAGACCGACACTCTTGATGGTGTGAAATGCGCGTTGCAAAAGAACTGTGGAAGCTCGCCATCAGCACGCGCTCAGCATGCGCGCACACAGCTATGGCCGCCAGTGAATACTCCCTATTAGCGGCAAGACGTTTTGGTGGCGCCCTCCCATGGCTCCCTCTTGTGACGTCATTACTTTGCGAACAACAAGCTCAATGGTGTTTACAATGAGCATGGTGGAAGCTTGAAATCATTACCCTCTCAAAGCGTCACTGCCAACACCATCAAAATTCAAGCTCTGACATTGCTCCTATTTTCGTCGATGAGAAATCCTTTCCTGACGTCACAGTCAGCACTCGGCCAATCATAACCGGCCGACCGCAGCGACGCTTTCGATCGCGCACGTCGCCAATAATCAGGTTGCGTCCCGAGTAGCTTGGCATTGCTGCGCTCATAAGAAAGCCGAAGAACGAATCATGGACAGGGAACATAATAAGCAGTCGGCAAGTCTCTAAGAAATCTGGTGCACGTCCCGCAAAACACTTGGTAGATCCAGTATAGTCTTCGGGGGCCGGCTGGAAATGGTGTTTCGACCTAAGAAAGCGCCGTGGCACCGGGCGTAACGTTCACTGAGTGACACAGCGCAGTCTTGTTTTCGGACGCGTCCTTCACCAAGCTCCGTCCGTACAATGCGGTCATTGGCTCTCCCAGTCCCATGTGCTTTGTGGGAAAGCACACGCTCCAAATTTTGTTTGAGTGTGCGAGCGGCAACTTCAGAGCGTGGCGTTTTACGCTTCCTTCTTCGTGATTGGTTCATATGGCGAATACTGCAACTTGATTGGCAGCCATGAGGAGATACTCGGCACCCTCGGCGACCTGCGTTTCTGAACTGTAGAAGTGGAAAAGCAGGCGTTGGGGGGGGGGGGGGGGGGGGGGGGGAAGGGAAGGGGGGGGGGGGAAGATCCCATGACAGCTGTTATGAATCGCGACGTGGATATTTCAGTATGCCGCGTTGCGCCTTACCTGGCTCCGGCCCTTCCAATCGTGTATTAGCTTTGGTCTGGGCTGCTGCACCGATTAGCCAGGAAGAAAAAGGTTAAATCCGTAGATAGTGCCATCGTCATAAATGGTATTGGTCGTGCACGGTGGCGTCTGCAGTGTTGCCTAGACGGTAATAATAATAATAATGACAAATGACAATAGAGAAAAACACCCCAGGACTCTCAAGTTCCGTCCTCCGCGTGTGGCCAGGTTGCGTGCAGGACTGCGGCTCCTTTTACTCGAAGGGACGGCGGGCCACCGAAGACGCCCAGGTGGTGGCGCTGATGCGCAAGGCCGGCGCCATTCCCGTGGCCATCAGCAGCGTTCCCGAGCTCTGCCTGTCCCTGGAGTGCAACAGCGTCCTCCACGGGACCACCTGCAACCCGTACGACTCCAACAGGAGCCCCGGTGGAAGCTCAGGTCAGGGCGTCGCGCACTTCCGGCCCAAGTGATCTCGAGGTGGTCCGTACGGGCGAACCATCGCGATAGGCTTTCCTGTGCGACAGCGGTGTAAGAAGAGAGCCAAAATGGCGAGAGGTTGCTCGGGCTTCGCGCATCTCCCGGCAGCGGCACTGTCGGTTTGGGGCCTTTGCGCAGGCGTGAGCGCGCGTCTTGCAGTCATGTTGAATAAGGACGTCTCTCCTGTTAGTCCTCATGAGTCCCTTACATGTTGTGTCATCTCACTGCGCTTGTCAATAGCGCTAGCGGACCTTCGTTACATTTTCTATGTGGTGAGGCCGCACCTTTCAGACACTCATGTTTTCTTCCACCATGGTGGAGACGATTCTCGTCAGCTCACTCGAAATATTTTGCGTCACGATCCTCACCGCGAGTTAAAGTAGCCGGCGAAGCAAGTCGGCCTGTGCTCCATTTTCACGAATACCGGCCGTTAATCGGAGTACCGACGAGCCAGCACTTGAATAGTTGACTCGTTGTCGGTGGTTTAGTAGTGATGTGCAATCAACAACACTATTACCAGCGTTGAGCAAAAATATGTCACGCATCATGGTCTATTGCGGCCGCAAAGAGTGTAAGCCAATCAGTTTACATATTTTCTCGGAGTCATAAAACACTTTAAATTTTAAGTAACAAAAAAGAAACGAAAATTCATATATTTTTTTTAACTCGTTCAATACTAGAAGTGCTAATCTCTCTAATGTTGTTCGATAAAACTGAAGAAAACTCAAGACGGCTCTGCACAAGAAAGCGAAATAACATTAAAAAAAAATATAGTGTATTTTTCAAACTCCTCGATATACGCGTTATGGCGCCATAAACACTTTGAAACAAGTTGACAATATTTGTAACATGACTAAAATAAATTCAATGTCAAAATGTGCACCCAAATTCCTAAACAGGGACACACGGCAGATAACAGTAGCATCTAAACTCTAAAGCATAGGAGAATTGCAAAACGCAGCGTTTCCCGCTGAGAGCACCACACAGAACTAGAGCAAACCTTGCGCTGAAAATAAACGCAGTCCCCCACATCATTCGGAAGTCAATACTATTTTATGTCGTCGACAAATAAGAGCATTTTGTTTTTGTATTTTACGCACGAAGTAAGGCCATTGACAAAAATGAAATAGAAGAGGGCGAAGGTTGCTTCCTGTGCAAGGACCGACGTAGCCATGAATCTGTAATGATAGTTGAAAAGACTTGTATTGCCTGAATCCTCGCAGGAGGTGAGGCCAGCCTTCTCGGTGCGGCCGCGTCAGTCATCGGCCTGGGCACGGATCTGGCAGGCAGCATCCGCCACCCTGCGGGCAACTGCGGCGTCTTCGGCCACAAGCCAACTCACGGTGCGTAATACGTGCCACCGCCTCTCAGAGGCATGCCGTGGACACTATCAGCTGAAACAGCCCTCCATGCCTCTTCGGTTTACTTCGTGCAAACGTGTGTTGGAACGCAAAGCTTAGGTCTCAATCTCTGAACACTCACAATTTGAGATATAATAAGAGTTTTTGGAAAGTGTAGGAGTAGGAAAGGTTCAGACTTTGTTTCAGCTTATATTGCCGTCCGGGGGTGCTGCGGAAATATGAAGTTTAAACGCGATCGTGGACCACTCAGGGGCCCTAATTTGGACACTTGGCTAAATAGTCGGCGAGGAATCCAGAAATCCAACGCCGCAATTGACCTCGGCGCCAGCCAATCATAGCCGACTAAAATAATCCCTGGAGAAGGGGGAACAAGGCGGACAAAGGACAAACACAGATCTCCTAACACAACTAGGTGACTGATGCGCGACCGAAAAAGAATCCGCCTGGTCCTGGTATTGAACCAGGGACCCCTCCATTTCCAGTGGAGTTCTCTACTAACTGCGCTAACCGGGAGTTAGACGTCAGTAGAGCAGGCGGTTTTTATCAACTGCCACCAGTCTAACACCAACAAGGGTGAGTGGCCTGCATTTTAAGGTTATAATGATAATGCAATTAATGCGAAGGTGCAAGCGAGCTGGACAAGAATTCTTGCACCTTTGCATTAACTGCATTGGTATCATAGCCACCGGGTATCTCGCCGACTTTTTCGCCAAGTGCCGAGATTAGAGGCGCTGGTCCGGCAGCGTTAGAAGCGGCAGCTTCATGACGCCGCCTGCAGGGATAAGGTGAGATAAGGAGCCCAAGATGGCAGCTTGCGTGCCTTATCTCGCATTTTGCCACACTTGGTTCGTAAATCGCTGACGCCGACACGGCCGCCGCTTCATGACGCTGCGAGTTCACGACGATCGCGTGTTTACTTTAAAAGCCCGTTCACACTCTTCACCGAGTAAGACCGAGAGTGGCCAGACCGGTTTTTAAGCCTCTTGCGACGTCTTAGAACCAGATGCGCCACCTGCGGAGCTGGTTCTAAGACGGTGTGATACCCTAGTTACACGGGCGCTTTGAACTGTCGTTCAGTTCAATCACAGTTATCGGTGCCAACTGTGATCGAACTGAACTGAACTAAGATGGTGCTACACGGCTCTCTAGAACCCAGTTGAAGCTAAAACGAAACTAGTTCTTGTGCCACGTGATCAGTTTAATTGGTAAATTAATTTACTCGGAGATACACATTTTATTTATTATAAGTATATCGGACAATATGTTCTATACCTTGTTGCTTTTTAGCGGCGTTTACACGAGTACCAAAGCAGATTCAGGGCTAGGTTGCGCATATTTTAGGATAGGTGGCGCAAACTACCGCCCGCTACGATGGGTGTACCCATTACTATTTGTCCATTCATACAGCCGGTCCCACCGCCATCTTCGCTCGTTTGGTGGTTGCCCGCTAGCCGGGATCGTTTTAGCGGCAGCTCGGGCGCCTAAACCTATTCCTTGCCGGATATTTTGCTGCTACGATTCTTTCTAGACGCCTCCCCCCGCTTTCCAAAACAGTAAGTGCCTCGCAAACGATGGTCGGCGGCAGCGATCCCGCGAACAAGCGCCATTTTACCTCCGTTGGTGAAGTCCGTTCAGTTGAACTGAGGTAGGGGAGCTCAGTTGAACTCAACTGTCATTAGCGGCTCGATCACAGTTGGCGCCGCCGTGTAACTCCGGCCGATCGCGATTGAGTCAACTGTCGTTAACTCAATGGCAGTTGAAAGCGTCCGTGTAACTAGGGTATAAGAGGCTTAAAAACCGGGGTGCTATGTTGCGCTTTTTGGACTCCCAGGAGACTTGGAAGAGGGAAGTGACGTCAACGACTAGAGCAAACGCAGATTGGATGTTGACGGAAGAAAACAAAATCAACATCCAATCTGCGTTTGCTGTGTCGTTGACGTCACTTCCCTCTCCCTAGTCTCCTGGGAGTCCAAAAAGCGCAACATAGCACCCCCGGTCTGTTCTCTCTCGGTCGTACTCGGTTGCAAGGGTGTGAACGGGCCATTATATGAAACGCTACTGCGCATATTGATAAAAAAAAATGTACAGCTAAAAAAAGGTTTGCAGTAGAAGTTCTAGCGAGAGCTATCTACCTTCGATAACACTTCGACACTATACTTTGCTTCAGTTTAAGTCTAGACGTTACGATGTAACGGGGTCAGTGAAGCAGCGTCAAAAGCTCAAGGGGCCTTTACTGTTTATGATGGGTTCAGCGATGAAAGAACACGTCCAGAAACCTCATGAACACCATGACGGTGCACTTTTCACGTTGTACGATTGGTTCAGTCAGCTCGTAGTGCCGGCTGCATAGTGCCGCCCAAGCACGCCGGAAGGCAACGAACGCGTACCGGAGGCGGAGGTTCATCTGCAGATCCAATGTAGCCAAAGGCTGTAAACATTATATTAAATGATACCCAATATGGCATGTAACGGAACTCAGTACTCTCTATCGAGTCTCAAAACGAATGCGTTAATGTACTAAGCGCAAGATTTTGTTTCCTGCTACCTCTCATGTTAGCGTAACTCAGCGGCCGTCACTGAGTTAACGCTAAAGAAATCGCGTGAAGGTCATTTTAGTTGGTTTTTGCTTGTTCAAAATAGGTCTGTTTCTCTCGGCCAGGGGGCGCGATCGCTTCCGTGACACGTCCATGTAATGCTTGCATCGAACATAATGAGGTCTTTGATCATGCACGAGCCACGGTCGTTTTCAAGCGTTTTAGTGTCCCATCAAAACGATGGAAACGTTTTTTTTTTTTAATCGTTTGCTTTTTTATTTTTTACAAATTTATGTCGACCAATGAAATTCTGCCCGCTTAGCGTTCGCAATAAAAAAAAAAAAAAAAAAAAAAACGGAAAAACGCACAACCGAATTGTGACCAAAAAGATGACCGCAACTCCACATGGTGAATGATGTTGATTGGGGCGAAGCTCTGGTGGTGCTGATGATACTGATTTTATTGTTCATAGGTAGTGCTGATGGTGCTGATTTTTTTTTTTATTGCTCATAGGTAGTGCTGAGTTCCGTGTTGCGTTTCGACTTCATTATTACTGCTTTATGTCGGTGAAATGCCGAGCCAGTGGTTCTTCTAGCGGATCAGCTTGGATCCGCTAGAAGCCGTGGGAACGCATCTCCACCGCTTAAGTCAACAGTCCATGTCAGAAAGAGAATGCGTGTTATGGATCGTGGTTATATACGCATTTGAGCATTTGACCGCAGCGCCCTCTCGTCTATAAACGTTGATCCAATGCATGCGAAGTTTAACGCGATTATATACGCATTTGACCGCAGCGCCCTCTCCTGTATAGACGTGGAGCGGCTACATGCAACGTTTCATTCATGACTTTCGAGCTCTTGAGTTACTACCACATCTCAGAGCCCCCTACTCGTCCCGCAGTCGTAGCCGAGTGGATAAGGCGATCCGTCATGTTAAAAGGCGGGAACCCTATTCAAGAACAAATTACGGAAGGCAGAGTATACACTATCAAACAATTAGTCTATTAAATAACATGCCCTCTATGAACTATGCAATGTCGTTCCCTTTATTTAAAGAAGAATGTAAAGCACTGCTGGGTAGGCAGCGATATAAAATTTATCAAAGCTTCCTAATTAGAATAAAGTGTTGTATTATACTTTATACCTTCAAAATTCATCCTTGTTTTATTTTATGTGCATGACTCGCCTTGTTGGGTGTACACTGTTCAGTTTCTGTAAAGTGAGCGATAATGATGTTTGTTATTTGTGTTTCCTTAGATGACTTGTTTTTTCTTTTATCTGTATTATAGTATGTATTCTTGTTTTTTGCATTCAGTACGTATTTTTATCTTATATACATGGCTTTTATTGTTGCATTTGTGTTATGTATGTGTGCCTCAGTTCTGTAAAAGATTTTTATCCTGCTGTATTATTTTCTTAGATGGGATTCGTTTTCATGTTATTTTTTTTATGTGTGGACTGTAAGGGACCAGTGCCACGTCAGGCTTTTTTTAGCCTTTTGCACTGGCCCTTCTTTCGGGCTCTGCCCGAAGGAAAACAAATAAAGAAAAGAAAGACTGGAAATCCATAGAAATCCTGTCAACTGCGCAAACATGTTTTGTTTTTTTTTCCCTTTTTTTAAGAAGACAGATGGGATGGCAATCGATGTAAGCACGGACGCCGGACAAGGCTAGACCCGAAGGAGCTTCGCTCCTAAAAGAAAAATAGGCCTATACGATGCTGCCACTTTAAAAAAAAAGTGTGTAAAAGGGTGTATCGTTACACCCTTTGTCCCATATAATACACCCCAAAACTTTAATTCCACGTACAGCGCCATATAGTCGAACAAACGGCCCCAAATTTTACGAGGGGCTTCATAGCCGTGTAGTACAACTTATTAAAATACCTAATGTACGTGTTACTGACTACAAAAAAAAAATAGTAATAATAATCGGGGTTTTCTTTGCCCTACTGCAAAAACTCGGTGTTTTCTTTGTGTGGTCTTGATACGTACTTTAGCTATTTAAAAAGTTATATCGCACGGTTATGGAGCCCCTCGTAAAATTTGGGGCCGTCTGTTCGACCATGGGCGCTGTACGTCGCAATGAAGTTTTGGGGTGTATTATACGGGGCAAGAGGGTGTAAGGTGATACTTTTTTTTTAGAGTGCCTGGTTCAGCAATAAACAGGACAATATACATGGGAGCCAAATGCAGAACGAATTGGGGCTGAGGTGAGGGTTGGCGTTTTACGTCCTCATTTGGTGAGCTCATTGTCACCAAACGGGACGGCTCGCGCGATAAACCTGAAACCACGCGGAATCCCCTTTTATTTATAATCAGTGCATTTAGAAAATAGCTGGAAAAGGCTCTGCTGTAGCACAAATTTGTTCTAAACGGGTTGTTATGAGTTTTTATCTAATTCTCTGTTTTGTTTTCGTTTCATATTTTACTGAGAATTTACTCTGTGTCATTTAAAATATACCTGTGGAGCAACTGTGTTGTTGTACAATCTGAAAACGTGTGTTTGACGCGCGTAGGGTGGCGCCATTTTTAATTATTGCACCGTCAAACATGAACGGCCCCGTGCGTACTTCAGAAATTGTCGTTCATCGCCACAAATAGGTCAACATTTCTGTCTAAATATTCTGAGTCTTTCCGGTTAGGCATCGTCTCTCGACACGGCCTGTACCCCGACAGGGGTGAGGCCGTGGGCAAGTTCTCGACGCCCGGTCCCATGTGCCGCTATGCCGACGATCTCCTTCCCATGCTGCGGGTCATGGCCGGAGAGAACGCTCCCAGGCTGGCCCTGGACAGCCCGGTGAGTAGGCGTGAATTCCCGAAATAAAAATTTCTTACGACTGGTCGAGGCACCTTTTAAATATATTCGCATTGAATGCTCGAGAATCGTTTCACGTATGTTCATAGCCTCCTTTATACTCACAAAGCCTGGCAGTTCGACGAAGGAGCCATACAGTGCCCGGTCGCTGATTTGGAGCGCGAGGATTTTGCAGCACAGGGCATCAAAGAGCCATTTTCCAGGGAACCTGGACGTCAGCGCACAGCTTTTGCAGCGGCGAGGACCCAAAACACACTTTTTCGCTCGGGAGAAGTGTGTTTCGGTGTCTCGCCGCAGCGGGGCGCCAGCCACGTGGCTCTTCTCTCATCCGCTGTCTGCCGCTCCACCTTTCCCATTTCGGCGGCCGCTTCTCGTGGCGATCTGTCAGGCTTTGTCAGTAGTTTCAATGTAGAAATGACATTTGTAACTACTCTTTCTTTCCGAGAACTGTCCGAGACTGGAATGGCCTGCCTCACAACATTACAGGCAGTGCCACCTTCGACTCGTTTGTCAGCACCCTAGATGGAGTTTTAAATCCATGTCACTAACCATTTGCCAAGTGTTACCTCTGTTTATTGGGAAGCGTTTGTACTATATGTCTTTTACTTTTTCTTAACTATGTTTTTTGAAGCCATGTATAACTACAGGGTGAAACAAGGAGACGGCAGGCTCTTTAAATCGACCGCAAAATTCGGTTTCTTAACCTATCACGCTACGACTTTGTGCAGCGTTGCCCACGGATGGTGCATTTTTTTTTTTTTTTTTGTAAAATTTGCAAAAGAGCGAATTTACCTGAGGAAAAAGTAAAGAAAGAAAAAGGCTTAGCTCCTATGGAAACGCAGCGACGCCACCGGTCTTCAAACAACACGGCGCCGTTTAGCACGGGAGACAAGACATGGCGCAAGCGGTCGCGACGCCAACTGCCGCCAACGAACGAGCAGACGACGCCGAGAGCCGGCCCTTCAGCAGACAAGGAACTGCAGTTCCTTGTTGTTACCGCGCCTGTTTTTGTTTCTGCGACTGTCGCCGCCTGCGGAACGCGCGCCGCTTTTGAGTCGAAAAGATCGCCTGCTAAAGACGCTGGCTCTCGGCGCCGTATGCTCGTTCGTTGGCGGCGTTCGTTACGCCATTTCTTGTGTCCCGTGCGAAACGACGCCGTGTTGTTTGAAGACCGGTGGCGTCGCTGCGTTTCCATAGGAGCTAAGCCTTTTTCTTTCTTTACTTTTTCCTCAGGTAAATTCGCTCTTTTGCAAATTTTACAAAAAAAAAAAAAAAAAAATGCACCATCCGTGGGCAACGCTGCACAAAGTCGTAGCGTGATAGGTTAAGAAACCGAATTTTGCGGTCGATTTAAAGAGCCTGCCGTCTCCTTGTTTCACCGTGTAGAGCTGTGCTGTTGTATAGGTCGTATATGTACTCACATGCCTTGGCCCACAAAAGTAGGACGGCATTAATATTCAAATAAATAATAATAAATAATAGGAGACTATGGTATGTCAAGAGTTTTCTCTGGGTGAGAAATGCTTCTGTGATTTCGTACGGTCGTCATCATCATCCCTCACCTTTTCCTAGTTCCAGTGATGGTGTCTGTGCCCCGATGTATGCGCGCTTCTTTCGAAACCAGCACCGCGCGAAATGGCATTTTAGGCCGATTCACACGTTGCGATTTTTCGAAGGAAGCGCCCGTTGAATACTGCACAGGCACTATCATGATCACCATTTTTTCCTGCTGTCAATGTGGAGCGCAAGTTCGTCTGCTTCTTTTTGCAGGGGTTGTGGTGATGTGAGAACGCTGATGTCTGGTTGGCTCTGACTGAAGAATAGTGGGTAGACCTCAAGGGAGCTGGCTTCGAGGTCTATCCTCCCAATCAGAGCCAATCAGAGCTCGACGTTCTGACGTCACCACAACCCCCGGAAAAGAAGCAGACGAACTTGCGCTCCGTATAAAGGCGATACCTGAGCGGCGTCGCAGCCACGTATTTGGAAGATATCGCGCCACGTTTGAACGGCCTGCTTGGCAGAAGAGCGTGTTGGTTTAAGTCATGGATGAAGAAAGAATAAACAATTAAAACAGGGACAACACAACCACATCTTTCAACTAGCAACAGACGAGTAAACTTTCAACATCGAGCAGCCGACTATACCCAGTAGGAGTAGGGGAGAGAAGGGGAGAGAAGGAAAGATAAAACACGCGAAGTGCAAGTCAGGGTGGTAGGGTTATCTCGGCTTTTAAAAAAAAAGGTTGAATTTTTAAAATCCGAGATAACCCTACCACCCTGACTTGCACTCCGCGTTTCTTATCTTTCCTTCTCTCCCCCTTCTCTCCCCTACTCCTACTGGGTATAGTCGGCTGCTCGCTGTTTGAAAGTTTACTCGTCTGTTGCTAGTTGAAAGATGTGGTTGTGTTGTCCCTGTTTTAATTGTTTATTCTTTCTTCATCCATGAACGGCCTCTTGATCGTCTCTTGTGGATCGGCGTTTCGAAGGGAAAGAAAACGCGAAGAGAATTAGGCGACTGCTCGTGTGAGCTCTTCGGAGTGGGGTGTAACTGAAATTCAGCCTTCGTTTTCTTACAGTGAAAGCGAATATTGCGCGATTGACGATGATTCAGGTCAACAGCTGCAGGTGCTTTTTACACGAGAGACGCTGGTTTATTTTGCGTTAGTTGGACAAAACGGTGTAGCTGGAATAGTGTAACTTCTCTGGGTGTTTATGAATAGTTAATGTGTCTGCATGTGTCATGCGCGTACTATACATAGTCCTTAATGGGAGCATTTTATGCTGTCGCCTATAACCGTAAATAGCCGCCGCTCCAAGCTTTATGCCATGAAACCAAACCGTTGACTGAAAAAAAAGGCGCTAACTTATTTGCGGAGCAATATACGTACTTAAATTGCGTGTTGCGGCATTCCGTCTTTTATGCACTCAACAAGAAGGAAAAAAGAAAGCATCTACTCAACTGGAATAAAATATACGGAAATAGTGTGGTTTACTTTATTGGGTGAGTGATAATACACACACGAAAAATATTTCGCTTTATTCTCTATAACTTGCTGCCTCCCAACTCAGTTGCAGTTTTTTTCTTTCCAGGTTGATTTGAAAAAATTAAAAGTGTTCTACCTTGTTGAAGATGGTAACAAGTACATCGGGCGCCTGCAAAAAAAGTTCAGCCAAGCCGTCCTTGATGTAAGTTTCAACTATTATGGGCTCGGGGAAGCTTAATAAAATGTTTAACCTTTCGTACGCTTTCGCAGAATATTTGTGATGGGTAAATCTGCACATATCCGTAAGGCTGCCTGGTTCGCTTGAAACAGGGACTTTCCCCTTACTAATTCCTCTGGTTCGGCGCGTACGTCCTTTATAAAAAAATGTTATTCAATTACCCGCGAAACAAACTCCCTGTTGTCTCAAAAATTTCCATACCGAGTTTGTTCGCTTCTGTTCACTGAAAACCTTGACACTACTCTTATGGACCCCTTTCGAGATACTGCCCTCTGTTGGCAACTGTGGAATCCCTGCACAATGGCGGAGTAGAACCGCAACGTCACGGCACACTTTGAGGCCCGTTCACACTCTTGCGACCTCTGAGAACAGGGTTCCTTAAAACCTCTTACAACGAGAGGACACACCGGCGCCACCTATTGGGCAGCAGTGTAGACTTGGCGTTCCGGCATAATTTCTATTTCTTTCCGCATTATCCTCTCTTTCTTGTCTCGAAACGCTTTTGTCAACGTTATAAACGAGCCTTTCTTATAGGTGTTACGCACATTTGATCTCGGGAATCCCGCAAAACCTTCGCTCTTGTGAAATGCAGTTCCAGGGTCACCGCATAGATGGCGCCAGCGTGCCAGTGTGTTATCTCGTCCTAATAAATTTTAAGAGGTTTTAACAAGTCTCGTCTCTCTCGGTCGTACTCGGTTGCAAGAGTGTGAACGGGCCTTGATGCGTTTGGCTGGTTTGGTTGAAGTAGAAGAAAAAACACACCCACCCACAGAAAAAGGTGATGATCGCGCAGTGACGTTGCACTTTCGGCGCTGTATTATATAATAGGGAGTGTTTTCGTAGGCCGCGTCTCCCCCACCGCTATGCCCTCCGCAATGAAGAAGCCGCTACTGCGCCTGCGCGCCGATGGCCTTGACTGTAGAGTTCCGGGTATCGTGGCGGGTTGCGGAGGCCGTTGCGGGACGGCGAAAACCATTTACGAAGACTCTCTATTGGATCGTTGGCTCCTAGCGTTGGCCGCGCTCCGACCGTTCGCGCTATAATACGGAATGACTTGCACGTTCCGCGATGTCAGTTGTTCCGCCATCGTGCAGTGGTTCCGACCGAATAATCGGCACGCGAATTTCGAAAGGGGTCGATTCTGATCAAGCCATAGCACCAGTTCACTCATTTTCACCTCAAGAAAAAAAAAAAAAAAGTTTGCGCATTGTTCATGCGCTGCGCGAAAGTAGTTCTTACGAGATTTGGTTGGCGGAGGAAGAAGCGATGCTTTTGGCGTTTGAGACCGTGTACGTCTTGATAGGATAACACACCTCTAATCTGTAATTCACCTACAGATATCTTAATTATCTGCATAAGGGGGAAAATTAGTGATGCTCCGCGATGAGCCGCACTTTTTTTTTTTTCAATATTTAGTACTGTTTCTTAATGTGAAAACGAGTATGGGACCTGCGCTTTTTTCCCCCAGACGTCATCACTTGTGGGTGGATCCACGCAGCGCCACCTCGCTGGCGTCAGCTTCGCCTCCAGCACGTCTTGCAGCGTCTCGCAACAATCGTGGCGATAGTACGCGGTGACGCCAAGACGCACGCGTTCGCTGCTCTTCGCCGTACTCACGTTAAGCTTGGGGAGAGGGGGTCTTCCTCTTGGGGCTAATCGGGAATCCACTAACGATGACGTAATGAGTAGGCCTTGTCCTCTAAGTAGTCTTGCCCTGCCGGGGGTCAGCGGTTAAAGCACTTTTAAAGTATGGTGCACTAACTTTAGAAACAACTTATTTTTCTTCCTTCTTTTTTAATACGTGACGCAGGCTGTCGCTTGTCTGGAACCTCTTTGCGAGGCCCGGCCCCGGCAGGTGTCGTTCGAAGAGCTGCCGCGGGCCTCGCGTATCTGGATGGCAACTGTGAGGTCCGGCGCTCCGCCTCCATTCGCCGAAGTCATGAAGAACTACACGGAGAAGCTGAACCCGCTGACGGAGCTGGCGCTCAAGCTGGTCGGCCGGTCCCACCACACGGTGGCCGCCATTGTGGTGGCCCTCAGGGAAAGGGAAAAGGACTTTACAGACCCCGCCCGCGTGGCGGACCTCACCGCGCAGGGACAGCGCTTCGTGCGCAAGCTGGAAGAGCTCCTCCAGGTAGGACTTGTACCTAATGCGCTACAAGCAACGCTTCACTTACATGGAGTTATTCTTTTTTCGGTAACCACGTAACGAGTAACCTGGTTTCCTTAGTTCCTGATGGAATAACGGCATTTACTTACTTCTCCAGCAGAGCGCGTAAAATACAAGTACCCGAGATAAAGTTCATACTCCATGGCTCGCTCCTGTGAGTTTCAAGGCGAGAAAAACGCCAGATAAACAACAAAATAAATGTGCGCCTCAATGAATACGTTAAAACAGTTAAAGACGTTTACAATTCCCTGTAATACCGAATTAGAGCGCAACTCTTGAGGAGGAGGAGGAGGGGAGGTACGAATCCCATAATGCACGAGTGAGACCCGAGCGTTCAATTATGGGACGTTTTCCATAATGCACCGCGCGGTTACGGCGACGCCGACGCCGACGCCGACGGCGACGCTGGTCAAGCCGAAAACAGGCGTCTAAGAGCTGCGCTCTAAAATCAAGAAATAATAGATGATAGGATACATCGGACGACTAATGCTTAAATAAAACAAGGAAACTACACATTTAAAGTAATGAGGAAGTATCGCGTTACTTTCGAGCTGAAGTAAGGCGTTCAAATTTCAATAACGAGTAACGTATTTGGTTACTTCTTAAGCGAGTAACGAGTAATTTTGTATTAGCTTCTCTATTTCATTAACGCGTACATGTCTGTTCCAGGACGGCGACGCAGTGCTCGTGATGCCGGCCGCGGGGTTCGGCGCTCCCGGCTACCACGGCCAGTGGCTGACGAACATGGACAACGTGAACTACACGTGCCTCTTCAACACGGCCACGGTTCCCGCGACCGCGTGTCCGCTCTACCTGGACAAGAGGGGCCTGCCCGTCGGGGTGCAGGTGGTGGCGGCCCGCTACAAGGACAGGCTCTGCCTCGCCGTGGCCAGGGAACTCGCCAGCAAGTTCGGCGGTTGGAGGGCTCCGGGGACGCGGACCTCCGCTTGAGCGGCCATTTCGGGCATGGCATCTGGAGGGGCCGATAGCTGATTTCGATGTTCCGTGATATAGTCGTCATCGCGCATTGGAACCAACAAGATAACTCCCTAAGGGCGGTCGCGGCGCTAATGTGGAGATCTGGGCCTGCTTGCTAGAGACAGAAGTCTCAGCTGAGAGTCCTGTGTGAAAGAGATCGATGGCGAAGATAGCGCACGAGCCAGTATCACCAAGAAGACGTGGCCCGCGCATCGTCTGCCTCCTCCAACTTCATCAATTGACAAGCTCTACGGAAGAGCGTGGTTCAAAAACCACCCCTTCTCGTTGCCCGCAAGCGAGCAAGTATACGGGCGCGGATAGCGTTCCTCGCGCCACCAGCAGCACGTCTCTCACGGGAAACGGCGAAAGACCGTTTTCGAACCACGCTCTTTTTGCGTAGACTTTACGTTGACCATGTAAAAAAACACAATAGAATATTCACCTACAACCACCTTCAACCCCTGGCAATGTGCATCCAACGTTCCACCGGTTCCGTCGTTTCTTGCCAAATAGGGTGATAGCGTAGCGAGCTCCGCTGATTGGACGCGCCACGAAAAGGCGTGCGACGTTCTAGGAATATTATCAACTGATTTGATGAGCGTTACTTTTTTCTATTATAGTAACGTTGATCACTAGCGGATCCACGCTGCGCGCCGCCTACCTCCAGTCAGCATCCTTGACTTCGCGTGTTGCAGCGTTCCCCAACGAGCGCGACATTAGCGAGTTTTAGTAGACCGTGTTTCCCCCTCCGCTACGATGAAACCGCCACTGCGCCTGCGTGCCGATGGCCTTGGCTATAGAGTTCCTGGTAGCGGAGGGGCTTAGCCGAGGGGGAAAGACGGTCTACTAAAACTCCCAATTAGCACGCAGCGACGCCCAGACGGACGCGTATATGCCGCATTGTGGCGGCTCTTATTGAGCTTCAGCGTGTCTACCGCTTGGGGCGGGTCGGGGATGCACTAACCATGACGTCATGTGCAAGCCTAGTCTTCTAGCTGGTGTTTGCCCAACGCCTTTCTTACGTGCCCAACAAAACCATAGTCGGAATTGCGTAGTGAGGATCGGAGTGACGCATCTTGATCGTTTTGTTCTGTGTGACAGTGGCCTCAAAAGATCGAGGTCATCGTGTCAGTAATGGGGCTATGAAACTGAAACATTGGCATTCTGCGAGTTCTCAACGCTCCGCAGGCACATCTGTCTTTTCGGTATATTCTGCCCGTCTGCATTTCATTATCAGCCAGTCGTCACTGCAAGTTCTCTGAAGTTGTGCATAGTTAGTTGATTCCGTTATACCTCGATGTGCGTGGAGAAATTCGCTATGATAAAATCGAATACGATATTTTTCGGTACCTATAACTAATCGATAATATTCGTCAAGTAAACCTGTTTTTTTTTTTTTTTGCGTGCTCCATTCGCTGCTGCCTTCGCCGTTGTCTGAATTGCTGTGTTTCTGGAAATGCATATTTTGACTGCCTGTGTTTCTGTTGCGAAAGGTAAATAACTGAAAACCATTTATAAGATTTTTGTAAGACATTAAGGGGAGGGTGAATGTCACCGAATTATGAGATTAACCATTTTATTTTTATTCTAATTATAGAAGGGTTGGGAACGGGACGGTGATAAGCGTTCATCAGAGCCTACAGGTTTGTTGTGTTTTTCTGCTGTGATAAAATATTAGAAGATGAAAGAAAAGTTGACTTATGTTTTATGAGCGCTGAATCAAACTCCTTAATAAAATTATGTCATAAAAAACGAGGCGGCGTTTTTCATGGGTTAGAAAAACTGTCCAACTGGGCCGTTGTTGCATGAACATGAGCCTAGCAGGTGAGGTACATCCCAAGGCTTCCGCTGGAATTAGTAATTGACAATTTTTTTTTAACAAAACAAGGTTGAATATTTTCAACGACGTAGATTTTTGTTTCCAAACTTTTTTCTTGAACAGAATAAAAGAAGTCAACATTAGCTTTACATGTATGTCTGGTGTGCATTGACCTAAACGTTGACCCAAGGAGATTTTTTTTCTTTATGTGTGTTTGGTGCATATTAGCTAGTGCATATGTTAATTGACCCCGTAAGTGATGACATCACAACATTGCGCTTCGCTCCAAACAAACAGTTGCTAGAGCCGTTGTTATGGACAAATGCATAGGCTCTCGACGTGAGTTCAGAAATTGTTGGATAAAAAAAGTAAATTTGTGTAGGCATTGTGTTTTTTCGGTATCTAATTATGAAGACTTTCTCTGTCGTCTCAGTGCCATAAAGCGATGACAAAAGCACGTAATTAACTTTCACAACCGGTTTCTCCCTACAAGCAGACGACGCAATGGCTTCGCGGGTTCAGTGATTCTTTCTGAGTACACGACCGCATTGAATGAGGTTGATGACGATCGGCGACACTTGTATTCTCGGGGTGAACTTTCTGTGAGATTTCGGAGTGCCCGTGCACAGCTTTGATCGACGCTCGAAGTGCGTGAGCGCGCGAACGCCTTCCCGTGAAACTCGCTAACGCAATATATATATATATATATATATATATATATATATATATATATATATATATATATATATATATATATATATATATAAATTGGGTTGTTTGTTTGTTTATTCAGCCTAGAACTTGGCCTGCCTCGACGGGCGACAAGTCTTCTTCCAGCTGTAGATGAGCAACTTAGCCAATGCAGTGCAACCGCTAGCCTGGGGCCTACACCGCGCGCCGGTACGATGCTCATCCAGATCGAAACGGGCAGGGGTGAGTATTGCACCCAGGATCTCTGGGTTCTAGGGTGACCAACCGTCCCGCGACTCGCGGGACTGTCCTGCATTGGGGGCTTGTGTCCCGCGTCCCGCAAGAAATATCAAAATACTAAAGTGTCCCGCATTTGTCGCTGTCGTGAAATTCGCTACGCAACTCAAGGCGCTGACGAACAACGGGGCACGGGGAAGCGCGGAGATCCCTGGTGAACGATATGTGAATCACGATGGTACAACATTTTCTATCCAAGCATAGCGGGAAGCGACCGTCGTTCCTGCTGGAGAAGTAACGCGCATACGCCATTGTGCCTCCCTTCCCTTGGTGGCAAAATGTTGAAAAAAAACATTGCTCACCAAAAGTTCAAAATAAATTATTTTCCAATCGTGCTGTGTCAATGCAAAAAGAATGCTGTAAAAACTTTTTTTTTATATTGAAGACAACTAAACAAGGCAAGAAAACCAACTCAAAATGGTCAAAAATCACAACATAAGGTTCAAAATTTGCACAGGAAAATGTTGGAAAAAATAAGAATCCAAAGGAAACCAGAAGCCTTAAAAGATTTACTGCTTCTTCTATCCTTTTGATGAATTGAGTTCCGCTGCTGTCGATTTTATGTTTTCATCTTAGGCCCCTTTAATCAGCATATGTGGCATGAAAACTTAAACTATGTCACTGGGAGTGAAAATAATTGCCGCAATACAATTTTCAGCTGTATAATATGCTTTCGTTCAAGACAGGACATTAAATGCGTTAGCAGAGCCCCATTTCGTGGCGTGTGTTGATAAATTTCCAGGAATTATTACTTCTTTCCGTTATGTTTTTTTTTTTTTAACCTGAGATTGGTGCACAAGGTAGAAACAAATGTTTCCTCCTCCTGCTCCAGTCTCGGGTTAAAAGGCATCGTGGTAACTTTCCACCAGTCCGACTGCAGACTAAGCTCTGGAGTTGCACAGTCGAAATATAATACTGTTCGCTCATCTGCAAACGCCACTACGTGAGCCCGATCCAACAGATCGAAACATTAGAGAGTTTTAGGGAACCGTTTCTGCACATCCGATACACTACGATGGGCCCTCCGGTATTAGAACTGCGCGTATGCGATTCTTCTGTGGTAGCGCATGCGCAGTTCGTATACGTATTTCGTTACTTTTTTTTCGGTAACGCGTAAAATACTGTATTGGCATCAACTCTCGTATTACCCTGTCTCGGGTTGCTTCAAAATGTTCATTTGGAAACATACTGAATTCTAGGCACACTGCGCGTGATGATGATGGTGTACCCTGTTAGCCTGGAGCCCTCACGCGGTCGCTACGAGCACTGGAAGCGATGGCCTCGGGATGACCTTTTGCCAGACATCGAAAGTATACAGGAGGCACCGGCTGTGCGCCGCCTGCCGACTACAGACCGCAAAATACGCTACACGTACTGTGCGCGCGCGTGTGTGTGTGTGTAATATGTCCGCACAGTGCACAGATTATTCGACTTCAACTCAGTTCATTTGCTACCTCGCAATAGTCCACTCCTCGCAATTTACCACGGTCTTACACCTCGCGAACCCCACGCGATGGCTTTATGGACCATTATTTTTCTGCTCTTTTGTGCGCTTTAAGCATTCCGTTCGTTTTCCATGAAGTCGAGGGAGATCAAACGGCCGTTTATACGCGAAAGCATTAACTTTCCATGGTGCGAGCCGACGTCATCAGCTTTGAAGCCGCGCCAAATGGCAGCTAAACTCCCCTCTCCCAATGAAGCGAGGTAAAGCCGCGATTTGAAGCCTCCCAGCTTTGCAGCCGCGCAAAAAGCCACGCAAAACGGCAGCTAAATTCACCTCTCCAAAAGGAGCGAAGTGAAGCCGAAATCTGATAGATCGGCTCCCATTGGCTGGCGCGCGTCATAGTTTCAAGGAACGAGGCTCCCATTGGCTGGCGCGCGTCAGTTTCAAGGAGCGCCACCCCATGGCGCTGCGGGCCCGCGCCGGTAAAAGGAAGCGGCTGGCTGCGGGGCCAGGCGGGGCCTCCCAGAGCCCGCCCGGGCAGACTCCGGAGCGGCTGCACGGCCAATGTCAACGCGGCGCGGCCGCTTCATGAGAGCGCACGCAAGAACGACACTCATGCTTTCACATTCACAACTCATAAGAAGTGCTTAGGTGTCCCTCGAGCCTTCTTTGGTGCCTCCGTCGGGCTGTCGAATCCTCCCAGCCTGGCTGACCGTATGAACAAGTCCAGAAACGGGCTCATGGGCTGTCGTGCTTTTCGTAAATTCCTTTCCCTCGCCAGCACTCTCTCATAGCAAACCCCCGTCTTGTGTCACCGTGCGTAAGGCGCGAAGGCTACCGCATTGGAAGAAATGGAACGAGTAATTTCAGTAATTCGTTACTGAAAAAGAATTGAATTACGGTACAAATTACATTTTTTTAAGTAAATAATTAAATACTGACTTATACAAAGGTAACGTATTACAGGTAATTTCTTTACTCGTAACTAATTACTTCCATGTCTCTTTAAACCAGGTGTGCGTATAGTGTCGGTGCTTCCCGCTTGTCTCATTGAATGATTTCGTTCTGCTCTTTGGTCTGCTCTTCATTGAGCCACAGAGAATGCTATTTATATTCACCTGTGTTTAAAATCTAAACCCTACATTTAACCGGTATACGTATATACAGGTTGTACATTCTAATGAAACAGTCCGGTAACAAACGAACACATATAAACGTTTGCATTCGGTGTACTGAAGAACGTTCTAAAGCGTGCTCCCCCCCCCCCCTCCCCCCCCCCCCACACACACACACTTTTTTTTTTCATCGCAAAAATAATTAAGTTATGCGTCGCAAAACACTTAATCTCCAACCAAATGTAGCACTAGCGGTCCGGATCAGAAACCGAAGTTTCAGAATTAACTCTAGTCTTATTGAAAATTTATGTGCTGTTCTGAAAGTTTCAATGGGAAAATGGGGCCCGCGTTTCTGGTAGTTGACGCCATTCATCCCCATGTATTGGTAGACTTCATCGGCTCCCATTTTCGCATTGAAAATTGTAAAAAATCGCTTGTAACCTTTGAGTAAGATAACTGCTAATTTTGAAACTTTGGCACCTGGTCCGAACCGCTAAAGCTGCATTTGGGGGAGCGCTCGGCAGTGCATCGCATACTTTAATCATAAAAAAAAAAAAAAAAAAAAAAAAAAAAAAAAAACTTTGTTGATGCGTAAACAAAATTGTTTGTACAACGTGAATATGTTGTTGGTGGTAAAATTCTGCCCTCCAAATAAGGTGGAAATGGTATAGATGTGAATATACGCGATTTAAATTAAATGGAAATTGTACGAATAGTTTAGAAAATTCCAATCAGGAAGAGAAAACTTCGGTAAAGCCGTAGTTGGATTATGCCGTAGTCACATTGACACCGTGGTCCAAAGCCAAGTAGTCTGCTTTCCTTGGATGATGACGCCCTCGCTTCAAAATCAAAACCAAGGATACGTTTTAAAATGGGCATACAGAAAGAAAAAAAGAAGAAAAGGAAAGACCAACAATGTGATTTTCAGGCAAGGAGAAGAATGGAGAAAAACCCGTCTAAGCATTTTCGTTCTTTGTTTAATCATTCCCTTCCTCGTTATAAGTGTCACTTCATTGTTCGGGTGGAGAGTGTTTTCTGCGTTCGTTCTCGCTTCCGACGAGCCGACTCGAGAGTTGCTCGAGAGCAAACGCGGAAGTGCTGCGAGGGAAACGGGCCGCCGCGACGCGAGAGGCGGCGCCAGCCGATACTGCCAAGAAGACAAGGCCCCTGCGTGACGTCATCTTTAGCTCCTAGCTTCCCAAAGCGGCAAACACGCTGAAGATCGGCGAGAGACGCTGCAAAATAGCAGACGCGTTCGTCTTGGCGTCGCACCCTTTGTGAGACGCTACGATTCCGGCGCAAGCTGCGTGGAGACGCTAGTGTCAGGGTGTGAGCGTGGGCCAGGGGTGAGAAGGCGTAGGCCTTGCCTTCCAGCTGTTGTTGCGCCAGCGCTGTGCCGACGCGCGCCGGCACCGAGCACAACTCGGCCGCACTCCGACCATCCGAATGCAGCTCCGGAGTTCCCGGTTGGGCCGATAGGGGCGCCGCGTCGCTGGCTTCTCTCTTGTACGTCCATCCAAAGAGCAGATTCGTAGGTCTACCCAGCCGACTCCGACCAAACTGTTATGCTCATATTCGCCGCTATGATTTTCAGCGCAGGCGACGTGTATATGATCTTCGCTACCGAAAGCGAAGCACTCTGGGCTCTTCCGACCAATCAGTAAGAGCGAAGGGAAACGACCGTTTTTGTCTTTTTTGTTTTGTTTGCGCTCGCTCGTCACTCCAAGCTTTCAAACCGTTCCGCGCGTGCTAAAATCGAAAGTGCGGTGCGACGCTGCTGCGCGCTTATAATAATTAGAGATGTACGCCTCTAATTTGACAGAGATTCTGCCGAGTGTTTTGCGTGCCTCATGACGGCGTATTACGGAGTCTACAGCGCGGCGAAGTAACCTCGGAGTGCTCATTCTTCCGCTTTCCAACAGACGACAGACGACAGGTGAACTTCTATATCAATTTTTTTTTTTTGTCAGCGTTCGAAACTCGACTTTTTCATCAGAGCATCGAAATGGATTGCGTATGCAAATCGCCAGGACTTTGGAAGCCTGCCCGGCTTGCCGACGAGCAAGCTGCGCCAGCGTCGTTTGTGCAGCGAGCACTTCGCTGCTACCGTGTTTGCAAGTTGTGGGAAGATTCGTTTGTGGAAAAACGCGTGCCCCACCGTTCTTGTTACGAATCCGTTGCTGCAAGGACTTGCTCCTCTGGGTGAGTTGCTGTCAGAGCAATCTTCAGTTAATTTGACAGCTTCGTGTTTATATGTTAGGATAGAGTACCGATAAAGCACCTACAGTCAGAGATGTAGACACTCCAAAACAGTAGTTCTTTCTTTCTTAATTGCATTGCCTATTAGCGAGTTTGTTTATGGTTTATTCATCGTTTATTCTTATGCAGCTCACCTGCAAGCCTTTTCCTTTATTTCGGTGTTGATTTGTTTGTTTGGGTATTCAGAAGTTTAGTTTGTGGGAGTTGTTTATAGAGCATTTAGATAATTCGATGATAAGTGCTATTCTCTTAGTTTGTACATTAAAGTAATTAATTTCGTTTTACATGTTTGACAACTTTACTGTGTTTACTGCCTACTACAGTTCTTGGTTCCCCTTTGAGGGCGGTGGACTGCCAACGGAGTTTGTAGATGCGTGTTTGAAGTACCGCAACTCATTTGAATGGGGTTCAATAAAAAAATACGTTTAATGAACGTGCTGTTTCTGTTTGATTGCACTGGTAATATCAAGCGAAGCGCAGTTGTTGTGAAGTATATCGCGCGCGGCTCGTCTGCTAGACCGGTGCCGTGCTGGCCGCTCACAGCGGTCGGCGCGGCACCGGCCTAGCAAACAAACCAGAAAAAAAAAAAAAAAAAAGAACCCGGGGGGGGGGGGGGGAGGGGGGGGGGGGGAAGGAGGACGGAGGGCGCACGCCAACGGCAGTGGTGGCGCCATCTGGCAGCCTTTCGAGACCGATTTTAATCTCCGACCAGACGTATGTTCGCCTTTCTGCCACTAGCGCCTCGTGGCGCTAGTTTTTCCTTACCATGGTGGAGGCTACAGCTGCACTCGGCTCTCCGACCTCATCGGGTCGACCTCGCCGGCTCGCAGTCGACTTCCACGTGCCGCTGTAGATTCGCATTCGAGGCCGATGGCTGTCGAAGCGGTTCGCACGGCGGGAGTGTTCCTGGCCGAGCTGCTGCTCCGGTGGATGGACCTGGTCACGGACCTGCTGCTCTTCCTGGTCAACCTGTGCAAGAGACGTCGCTCGGTGCCGCCCATCCGGGACCCGCTGCTTCTCCAGTCGGCCACCGCGCTGGCCGCCAACATCAGGCAGGGCAAGGTGAGGGCCGGCGTTTTCTCTCTGCGTCCCTGGCCCCGACATTCTCGGAGTCATCGTGACCGACTAATCCGATGAATAGAAGACCGATCGTATTAACGTGCGTTGCCAGTGTACTTTTGACAGTGTGTTATACCTTTCTTTCTTCTCTCTCTCTTTCCCTTTTCTTTTGTTGCTCAGACCGGGACTGGCAGGCCCCCATTAGAAGGAGTGGCCACACTGTTCCGGTCTTCCTTGCCCCTCCCCTTTCTTGGTTTTAAAATAAATTTCAACGCTTACACACACACACAGTGTGTTATAGTTTGTTTCACTTTAAGTGCCAGCTTGCACTTTGTTCGGCAGCTACGCACCTAACACCCTATTGCAACAAAATCAAATCGCGAAAGGAAGAGACGAAACCTAGCAGAGTAGTGTTCTCTGTAAGCTAGTCAAAACTCGAAAATGAAAATAAATTAATGTTTAAGAACTAACTGAAAAAAAAAATCGAGCTGTTTGTTATTTATAGTGTGAAGGAGATTGTAGCAATAGAACGTTATTAATTAAACGGTATTTGCATTCGCGGTAATTTTTTTTATCGTTATATGTGAATGACAGTGGTCGAACGAATCTATATATATATATCAATCTGCCCCGATGAAGAATATATATATATATATATATATAGTGGTAATGAGGCACTACTTTCTTACTACATTGATTTAAATAAATTTAATATGATTTAAATCAAATAAATTTCATTCATTTTTATTTTATAAACATAATTTTTTTCTACTTTATTATCAATGTGAAGTCACACAGCTCATACATCATACAGGCGAATGCATAATGCAGGCCTGATGAATGAATTAACTGCAGACACGCGCCAATCATGTTCGAAGCATGTTCGGTTCATGTATGCTTGGAACATGTCTGCATACGTGTTTTGAATGTGCGACAGGAAGAAAGGAAGGCCTCAGACATCGTCTGCAGGCTGTCACTCGTAGGATGTGTTGGCGGTGTGACTTGACTCTTGAGCGCGCTGTCTGCAGTGCCGCCAAGTAAACCTCCAGCCGCTTTGTGTGCGGCCACCGCTCGGCTCAGGAGAATCGCTGATTAGGGGACGCGTTTTGCATATTTTTACATGTGTCCACCGGTTTTATAACATCACATTTATACTATTTTTCCCCCCTTCGATATCACAATGTAGCTCTCAAGAACCTTTTTCTTTTTCTCTTTTTGTGTTTTGGACTTAGAGGATATGAATGAAATTGTTTAGCCATTCCAGAATGGAAATGGGCCCAGTGTCTCCATTCCTTAGGAGTTTAAAGTATTTGAGGTATCTGAAGCTCCGAGTTTTCAACATGGAGTCGCAATGAAAGGGGGGGTCCTCATTACGCAACACTGACGCCCCTGAAGTGTCAGCGACACAGCTTCTTACTTTGGAGCTACAACTCTTATCTGGGAGTCGTTCTCGTATTCGGGGCGGGGAGGTTTTCCAAGTATTCGCGTCATGCTTACGTTCGCTGTATACTGTTTGGTGAGAATCCCATGCCGGTCTTCTATATTTTTTTCCCGGTATAAGTTCCGACAAACTCAGATTTTTTTGTCGGACACCCCAAATATGCGTACCAAAAAGCCCCTAATTTGCGTGAATGATAAACACCGACAAAACACGACCCGAATTCGAGCAAAACCAAACCTCGCGAACACAAAATTCTAGTCACCGCTGATAACACGCACTTGGAGGAGCCTCCATATAGCAGCAGCAGACTTCATAATCTCAGCTCTCAGACACGGAAAAATTAAATATCAGATAAGAGGAACGTAGTGGACGTCGTATTCAATAGCTTCGTGTCTCGCCTGGATACATTCGCTTTTATAGCAACGTACTCAACTTTGGACCAACGAGAGTTTTATAAGCTAATCGACGAAGTTTCGGAGGAGCAGTGTGTGAGCAACGGCCCACATACAGCAGAGTTGGTGACTTGGCGATAGAGATGGACTCAGTGTGTAAGGCAGGATGATGTGAAGTGCATACCAAGGTACTTGAATGCCAGAAAAACTTGGATAATTGGGCTCGTTGAATTTTTCTCGCTGCCACCCACCTCGGAAAATGATACAATTAACACACTGATTCAACGCACGTAATCATTTGTTAACTTCTGGCACCGCGCCTCGACCCAAAAGCTCCCGGCGCGCATACTTCTGCGCCGGCCTATCCACAGCAGGAGTGCCACTCGCGAGGCTGATTGTACTTGGCCACCTCGCTGCGGAGGTGGCCAGGGGTGATGTAACGTGCCTGCAACTTGGTTGAACGCTTCAGGCTTAAATGAAATATTTTCACGATGAAACAATGTGCTTACGGTTGATTCGGACGAGACTCTGCGTTAAAGGGGAACTCCGCCGATTTTTTTGGTAGGCTTCAATTTGGCTGGAAATTTACAGACCGTGTCAATAACCCTTTCTCAAATGATAACCAAAATATTTTACGAAAAGAAAAGTTTTCCATGAAGTTATTGAATTTTCAAGTTACACCGGCCGCGTGGGTTCCATGAGGTAACTCTCTACTGGCAACAATAAAAAATCCCTACTTTTCCCTACCCGCGTACGTCACGAATGTGCAGGCGGACGAGCGACTCGTCTGCCTGCGCGGTGGTGCAACGATATTCAGTTGGATTGTTTTTCACTTCACACTAGCCAACTACTAAGCGAAATATACTCGCACGCAACGCCATTGGTCAAGAAACCTCTTAGTTGTGGTGGGTGTAATTTCAAGAATAAAAGCGAGCGTTTTGCTTCCAATCTCTCTTTCGCAAAACGTAATGACTTAGTTTGAAGGTCGCAGTGTTCCCCAGTGGTGATATATAGTCACCCATTTGACTAAAAACCCCGAGATCGGGACGAGAAGCGACGGACAAACACAAAGTCTCAAGTTGTTGAGACGTTATGTTTGTTCGTCCCTTCTCGTCCCAGTCTCGGGGTTTTTACTCAAATGTTTAACCACCACCAGCTCGTTTGCGCCCTAACTTTTCGTTCACCTGTCCCCCAGTTACGATATTTGAATGCGGCTCATGGATTGGTCCCGGGCAGTGCGTGAGCACTCGATTTGGGTTCGCGATAATCAATAGCTCGACAAGTATTCGGGTAGTCGCCTATGGCCAATCGCTCCAATGATGACGATAGCGGAATCCTACCAATGTCTAGAACTCGGCGCGTGCCCTTTGCTTTGCCAACCCGTGTGCTTTGTTGTGATAAACATTGGCAGCATATAACCGGCTCCCGATCACGTGGCCCCTTCTTCTGGCTGCAAGTTAAAAAAGAAAAACACTTTTCTGTTGTTTTTATTATTATTATTATTATTATTGCATTGGGAGAAAAACTAACGCGTGTTTCATAGGTTGTAAACGTCGGGGATTCATTCCAAGTGGTATTTACGCCAAGTATGAAAATCGTTGCGACGCCCCTTTAAGTGGATTAGACATCTGAACCACTTGGAGCACCAATCTATCATGGCGTTTAAATCATCCAGTAAGAGTGTCGATTTTAATCGCATGTTTTTGGACCTACTTCCACGACTTCACGTTTAGACCGCCAAGTGCTGTAATTGATTTGCTCCAGAAGGCTGGCGAGCGAAACTGCCGCCACAGCTTTCTGCTCCAGCCGCTAGGTGCAGTCGGGGGTAATTATATAATTGGTCATTAATTGGGGTAATTAATCGGATCATATTTTTTATATTTTCATCCTCGTCATTTGCCGTGCTTCCTTCGTGAATTGTGGCCATTGATTCTTCCAAGTGCTTTGCGGGAAAGCAGATGCCTGGATCATTATAGCGCAGCTGGCCCAATTGTATCAAACTGGGAACGCCAAATGACAGATAAAAATACAAGTAATATATGTTTGTGTTTTCCGTCGCGCTTTTGGTGTTGCACGTTTGAAAGCCCAGCGCGTCGTGGGTAGGGCAACGGAAATAACATAATAACCGAGGAGCATACCCCTAATGTTGGGAACGCTCTGAATTCTTGGACGTTCCCCCGCGTCCAACATGGACGACTGGCGCTCGGAAACTATCTGCGTTTATTGTTTCTTCACCACAGCTGGCACAACAGCCAGCGAAATCACAAGCGTGTAAATAAGCCGGTACACTAGGGATTTGGTGCCTAGCGCGTTAGTTATTACCGCGGTCTCGCAGACCGGAATGCTTTGTCTGTACGAAAGCTTTCGCTTCGAAAGAACTTTCCTCTCCCTCGTGCTGGCGCCCGTGCCCTTGTCCGCAAATCGCGGATTCGACACGTGCTTTCACGGAAAGAGAGCTTTCGCTAGCAGGAACGTCTCGTAAAGCAAGGAGCGCAGGCTAGCTGGCGCTTGTCGCTACACGACGCTTCTATACCGCCGAACAAAATGTGTGCGGGACTCGACAAAACGCTGGCGCAGATATTTCACAAAAACTCAGGCCAACCTTTATTTGGATGCGCGCTATGTTCCGACGTTTTGTATACGTTCGCAGTACGGTGCTGGCCGTGTTCCAAGCTCAGAAACGCCGATAAGCGTACAATAAATCACCGCCCGCGGACCGTGTGTTTCCTGCTATCTTAACGAGGCCTCGTTCATCAATATTCGCACTCATCTCGCACTTCGTCTTGTGACGAGTGCCCCAGTTTTTGAATATTTTCACACACACACACAATTATACAAAAAAAGAAAAAGAACAGTCGTTGCGTTCGTTACGGCCATTGATGTGCATCGTGGTAAGCTCACTCGAGTCGAGAGCTCTCGGGTCCAGCAAGAGCACCAATTTCAAGATTCATGGTGGCTACCGGGACAGGCAGCATGAGTACATCTCTACAGCAGTGTTTTCATTAGCTTCACAAACACATATCCTTCGCTGACTTACGTGAAGCTCAGCTGAGTAATCCTTTCCGCAACCTCCCTCGGCCAGCTCAAATCGTCCAACAGCTGGAGGGGTGCGCCGAAGAAATGCTCATGCCCACGCTGTGCATCATCTACTGCTATCTGCTCATCGTGAGGCTGGCTCAATACGCTAAGGCAAGGTTGCTGTTTTTCCCCCTAAAGACTCAAAACGCTACACACACTTCATACAATAGACAAACACATACACACACGCACACGGCGTTCGCTGCGGACATGATGACAAAAGTATGTGTGAACACGCTTCCAAGCACGTTCGAAGAATGTTTGCTTCGTAGGGTATGCTTCAAACGTGTTTCCAGACAGGTTTTACGACCAATGTGAATCATGCAAGGAATTCCTCAGGGTGTCCCTGCAGACCGCCTTTTGTGCGATGTATTAGCACTGTTACCGTGGCTTAAGGAACTGGTATACTCGCACCCATCTTAGACACTTGTGCACTCTTTACACACAGCCTGTACACACACGCTGCGTACCTTGTACCTGTGCCTATAGGCCGAGCACGCAGCAGCCACGACCCCATTTTCCGAAGAGCGCGGCGACCGCTTCGACGTCCGCACTAGCTCGAGTCTGGGAGGAATCCTCTCGAGGAAACCGGGCCAGCGCTACTACTCCGTCAGGCTTCGAGAGACGCCTGTCAAATCTGCAAGCGCCGGACGAAATGGCAGAGTCAGCGCCGCTCGAAATAGAAATGTCACGGAACTGAGCGGCCGCGCCGAACGAGGGCAAGGTTCATCGTCGACCGAATTGAGTGCCGATGTTGCTCACGCTCACCCGCCAGACCTGTAGCGATAAACGTTAATTAAATACGGGGTCGCGCCGTTTTGCGACCATTCAGAGACCATGCCAAGTTTGCGAAAAGGTGGTGAAAAATGGCTCTGGTAAGCGAGGAACGACGGCGCTACTTGATATACGGAGCGAAAGTTCGTCTGCTTCTTTTCCAGGGGTTGTGGTGACGTCAGAACCCCGAGCTCTGATTGGTTCTTTATAAAGGATAGTGGGTAGACCTCGAAACAAGCTGCCTTGAGGCCTACCCCCTATCCCTTCAATCGGAGCCAATCAGAGCTCGGGGTTCTGACGTCACCACTGTTTCTTGTCTTTATAGTCCTGTACGCTTCTAGAATGTTCTAGCCCGATCCCGGCTATCATCGTGTGTTCTGCTTAAGAACAAACTCCTACGCAAGAAGCAGACGACTTGCTCTCCGCAGTCGAGCGTTTACCCGCAGCGCACGCTCCTTTCAACGCAGGTGAGCAGCGTGGACGCGGTGCGGGCGTACGCGTCCCGCGTGTCCCAGGTGGACCCGCTGCTCAACGCGGTGGTGGACGAGCGCTTCCAAGACGCCCTGGCCGACGCCCAGCGGGCCGACGACCTGGCGCGTTCCGGGGCGCTGTCCCAGGACGAGCTGGCCCGCACGAAGCCGCTGCTCGGGGTGCCGTTCATCGTCAAGAACTCCGTCTCTGTCAAGGGTGAGCCGTTCTTGCGAGCGCTTGATGTAATGAATGAAAATTCAGTCGAGTCCCAAACACACGAGCGACGAAATCGGGCGCCGCGCGGTGGTTTCCATGGCAACCACCGCGGACGCTGTGACATGTACCTACGCCGTGCCGCCACGTAGCAGCGTCAGCGGTAGTTGCCACAGAGAGCGCCGCGCGGTGCTTATTTTCGCCGCTCATGTGTTTGGGACTTTCGGGTGTACATACACCACAGCGCTATTAGTCGACGGTGGAAATAGAGCTGACCTTAGTGACGCAATGCTGAACTCGCCTATAGGGAGTATTCACTGGCGGCCATATCCGTGTGCGCTGCTGCTGAGCGCTTGCTGACGGCGAGCTTCCGCAGTCCTTTTAGAGCGTGCACTTAGCACCATCAAGGTTGCCGGTCTTAGCAGGCTATTAATGTGAGCTCGTTCTGAGCATGCGCTCTAAACATCGCCCTCAAATATGGCGTCCAGTGAATACCTCCGATATGTACTAGTGGCCCAGTGCTCATACGGAGCTCCATCGGGTCTACGCAGTGTTGTACACCTTCCTCGAAAACAGGAACAAAAGCTCGTTTCTTGTTTCTTCTCAATCTTGGAACGAGTTCCCTTTACAAGTTCCAGTGGTTCAAGAGGAATGAGTTCCCGTTACATCGTTAAGATTGGAACGGATCGTCCCAATAACGTTACGTTTGGGCATTTCAATGAAGTAGGTTGCCTGAAAATTGTGTAAATAAAATAAAGAAATCGAGTGAAAGGTATCAACATTTAACTACGTGTTGATCATCACAATCATATTTGTTTCAGTTCTTTGTTTTCGACTAAATGTCTCAGACACTTCCCCGTCATCGGTATTTGAAGTCGGAGGCTGAAATGGTTGCTAGTAAAAACCCTAGCCGCCAACTAAATTCGAATAAAATTGCAGAAAAAGAAACGCCGTTCTTCCTGCCGTTCCCTCAAAAACGTAACGAGTTCCCGTTCCAGTTCCACGGACGCAAAAGAGAACAGCGGCGTTCCTTCCTTCCTCCTAAGAGAAACAGGTTCCAGGAACGTCGTTTCTTGGAACGCCGTTCCGTACAACGCTGGTGCTATAGGTTACGTTTTGGTCAACACTGTATCAATGCTGCGATGCATGCGTGAACCAGTCTTTAAACCACGACTGCTCATGCAAAAGACAGTCTCCAGACACTGTCTGAGGCCCTCCTTGTATGACGGTCACACTGGCCCTGCAATAACTGTCTGCACACATGCTCGAAACATACAAATGTAAAAGGTAAGAGCATGCTTCAGGTGTGTCTGCAGATTCATTTCGCTTTATGTCTTCAGTAGAAATTGTGTCTTTTGCATGATGTATGGACAGTTTAACTGCGCCTTCAAAGCCGGGATCACTCTGCTCATACGCCATACAAGAGACAGTCTGCGTACAGATTCGAACGCGAGTCACCGCGAGATCGGTGCTTCGAATGCCGCGTGGCAATGAGTTCGAGGAGAAACTTGGGCACGCGGAATTCGAACCACGGATATTACGATGACTAGTTTTTTCAGGCTCTCTTTTGTTAGATGTATCAGCAGTGGTGATCCCGGCTTTAGTGGGCAGGCGAGCTGGTGGAAGTTTGCCATGCATAGTGATAGTAACCCAACATTGCGGCTGCCATTCGTTGCTTTCATTAACTTACAATTTGGTACGGCATAATATTTAAAATGTTTATAGAGACGATGAATGCTTTAGCTTATATAGACGTCGATTGCTTTATGATGAAATATTAAGTATAAGAGTGTGTCTTCATTCCTGAATGGCGTGGCATCACAATTAACGCAATCGCGTGTTCCGACTTCTGTTTTAATCCACTTCCTTTATATATGTATATATATAAATGCGTAGTGTGTGTGTGTGTGTGGGGGGGGGGGGGGGGGGGCATGCAGGCAATTCCCGAGGTTCCTGGGTTCGACATTGAGTGCTACCAAAACAGATGCGCCGTCTTGTATGTTGTGCACACGCCTCATTTCCTTGGTCACTTTCGTGGAGAAGTTTTGTTTTGTTTTGTTTTTTCGTTTGCGTGGACCAATTCGTTTTAAATTAAGCCTCCAGCCTGCTCAAATGTTAACACGAGGTGACGCATGCAAGTATATTACGAGGCAAGCGGCGTGAACTCGTGCCGCGGCAACGCAGGATTTGTTTCAAAGTACCGCGGTCCTGGCAGGGGTTGGCGCGGTTTGGGGGATGATGACTTCGGGGTCCGCCTCAAAGCCGAACCAGATTTGCTCATCCCGAAAATTTGGGAGTAGAAGTGCTGGAAATGGCTATGAATGTGCCCGACTACAGCGGTCGGGAGGGTCTGACAAGCCTTGCGAACGCGTTGGTTTCCAATCACTCAGCGTCGAACCCAGATGTCCCGATAGGCGGCAGCACGCATTTGGATAAAGATGGATTGAACGAGGATTAAAGAAGCAGTACCTTCTCTTTCTAAAAGAGTTTTAGAGTTATTTGTTTTTTAGTTTCACTTCTGAACCCCCCCCCCCCCCCCCGCCCCCCCCACCGAAAAAAAAAATCTTAGAAATATCCTTATAAAAAAAGGCCGGTTTTATTTTTCAGAACAGAAAAAAAAAAAAAGAGTCGGTACAAAGAGGGTCACGGCTGTATCTCATATCCGCCTAAGAAAGCAAATACAAACGGAGATGCCAGCACAGCAGAGCCGCTTACGTAAGACAAACTGAGGTGATTTTCCTTTCGAGAGACATAGGTAAGAAGGTAAGAAGACGACGACACAAGGCGCTGTCCATAAATAAATCTTCAGTTGCGAGTGCGCCTTGTGTCGTCGTCTTCTTACCTTGTCCTGGTCTTTCGGCGCTTGTCTTTTTCCATTATGAACCAACTGGCCCAACTCACCATTTTGTTAGGCGTAGCATTTCTTTTTCTTTTAGTATGCGCGTGAAACTTGTTTAGACTCTATGGCGCCGATGTGGTGTACGGGAACCAAAGCTTTGATTTAGAGTCGAGGGTTCCCAAGTTCGGGTAGACATCCATTCTTCAGACAAACCCCACATGCAGAAAAACTTTTTTGTTAACGCAAAGCTAAAAAAAAAAAAAAAAGAAAACAATTTAAAAGGCGCTTAATTTGTCAAGAGAGCAGAGAACAAGACGGGTGACACGTCGTGTGGAGTCCTCGAGGCTGCAGCTTGGTCGCAACGTTTTCCTGTAGGAAAAAAACCGGCAGGGCCCTCCTACGCAGAGTGGAGAACGGCGGCGGAAAAGTGTACTGCGCGACGATGAACCGCCGACGTGCTCGCTCGAAGACGACTGGTTCGTTCCCAGAATGAACTTTGTTCTTCATTCTCGGAATGAATCTCGAGTATGAATCTTGAGACACTCGAGAAAGCGTCGCTTGCGGCACCATTGTTGGATGCTCGCGTGCCTGAGAACAGCTTCGGCCACCGGCTGGCAGCCCAAGATTGTTGATCGTGTCAGAGACGCGGAAAAGGTACATTTCTAACAATAGCCTTCGAGACTGAAGAAAGAATAAACGTGCAGGACGAAGACGACACAACAGCATCTTTCTGAAAGATAAAAGATCCGGTCGTGTCCTTGGGCTTTCTGCATGCGGCCATCTTCGTCTAACCGGGCTATGGGGCGTGCTGTGAGCGTGTGCGGTAGCTCTAGCTCTTAACTACCAGGCACGACGGATACCATGCGGGAAAGTCGAGAAGACGTAGGCGTATACTTCGTCAAAATCCGAGCTCTGACCGTGGAGTCGATCTTCCAGAAGATAGTTCTTGACAGACTACGTCGCCTCGGCCCTCCCGCAGTCAACCGTGTTCCGCGACTCTCCTTTTTACACTCATCGAACCGCAGCAGTCAATCCGACGGAGTCAAGCAGCGACCAAAATGCGTTGTCACGGCGCTCGTCTTTGTTGTGCGTTTGCTATGGCAGGCTATACACTCTAAGAAATGCCTGCGCGTCACTTACGTGCAAAACTCTCAAAGAGCCAATCTCTGCGATCTACGAAATCAGCTCAGCGAATGATGAGGCGGAACATCCGTTTAGACCCAAAAATGAAATCTGCGCTGTGGTATTACGCTATGCAAAGCGTCATGCTTGCATTGCGTGATGCCACAGCGTAGACTTCATTTTGAAGTCTAAACAGATGTTCCGCCTCGTCATTCGCTGAACTGATTTCGTAGATCGCGCAGATTGGCCCTTCGAGTGTTTTGCGGGTAAGTAGACGCGCAGGCATTTCTCAGCGTGTAGACTGCGCGTGGTTGGTGTGGCCCGTGATAGCAAACGACAAGGACGAGCGCTGCTTGATTTCAGACACGGCATCGGTCGCGGACTATAAAAGTGAAACGGAGTCTTAAGAGTGCGTCTTTTCTGGGCAGGACTGATCTGCGACGTGGGCGTGCCGGCGTGGCGCGGCCACCGCGGCGACCGGGACTGCGAGGTGGTGTCGCTGCTCCGCCAGGCCGGCGCCATCCCCGTGGCCACCACCAACACTCCGCAGCTCTGCCTGTGGACCGAGTCCTTCAACAGGATCTACGGCAGGACCAACAACCCGCACGACACGAGGAGGACGTGCGGAGGCAGCAGCGGTGCGGCTTCAGCGTCTTCGCCGAGTGCCCTTGTTGATTCTTATGCGCTCTCAGAAGTCCCAGAGAATGTGCTGCATCGCGCACGAAAGGGGCATTATTGTCTTTAATCGGTTTAACGTGAGGAATGCGATCGGGATCGTGACAGTTTCAGAGATAAAAATGGCGTGCAAGAATTGGCTGTGCTGTGACTGGAAATTGATTCGAGTTTTATATCGATCGCGCTTCTCACGAACTGATTAAAAGAAGGCCGATAAATGGCCCTCCGAGTGTATCGTGGGGCAGTATGCACGCGGGAGCTGGCGAGAGGGGGCGTGTCAAAGCGCAAAAACAGCTGCATGGGACATGCAGAAAAGCTCCCGCCGGTATACTGCCCTGCAATGCACTCCCAAGGTCTATTATTGATCTCCCTTTAAATCGGCTAATGAGATGGGCGACAGGCAACACTCTCCAGCGGTCATTCGGACTCAATAGCAAAATGACTGACGGCTTTTGTCGGCGACTCTGCGAATGCCTGCTCGCAACCTGACACGCGCTCCACGACATCGCAGAAATCAATGTCCACACAGCGACGCGCGAGGCGCTTCTACCGATGTTTATTCGTAATTTTCTACACTCAATGAGCACGAATGAAATTATCGCTAGAAGTCGCGTCTCATATCTGGTTATCGAGTATATATGAATGCAAAAGTTCCATACAAATAACCTTTTTTTTACGCGCGTAGCTTTACGCTATTTCCTGTACGAATATATGGTCTCCGGGCGCCGCCATCTTCCTGCTGGTGGTCGCCCGGAGCCCGTTCTTTCAACTAACAGATTAAAAACTACAAGGCCGTGGCTAGTCCCGAGAATCTGATTACCGCAGCCAATGAGAATTCCGGTCGAAAAGATGGCCAAATAACGAATGGCGAAGAAGGAAGCGTGAACAGAATAGGCCTCACGTCCCTTCACCTGCTTGAAGTGTGCTGTTGTCTGGCGACTGCGGCCTCGCACGACTTGCGTCCCTCGCGCAGGAGGAGAAGGCAGCCTCCTGTCGGCGGCCGGTGCCCTCCTAGGCGTGGGCACGGACATCGGGGGAAGCATTCGCCTTCCGTCCTTCTACTGCGGGACCTTTGGTCACATGACCACGCCAGGTAGGCCACATACGCGGGTCGTTGTGTCATTCAGCAGGAGTGCGCACTGTCTCCGTCGAAGATGGACTAACATTCCACAGAGTACTCGTAGCTATGGTTCTTACATACAAGATGCATTTCGCGCCTCTTAAAAGTAGATATCCTTGTGAAACCAAATAGTACGATGGTGCTCGTTTTAAGAAAATGGAGACCTACGGCAGTCAAGAAAATGTCAGTTGAAAGAACTGGCATATTGAGGACGCCATAATCTACCCAAAAATAAGTTTTTTTTTTTATACGTGTTGTGTCTTGATACTTGTAACATACGGTGCACCATACTAAAATACCCCAATTAAAACGACCTGCGGAAGAGCTGGGTAAATAACCTGACTAAGAAAAAAACTTTAGCATAAAATGAAGTCGGCGATGAGATGCTAATCATGACGTTTTACATGCTCCATTGTCCGTTTTACATGATCCATTGGACTATGTCCATTGTCACAGCACATACTTCATTTTTTAGAGGAAAACGCCAAGCTCACTCCGTAAGTCGTGGTGATTGGTTCTGGAAGAGCTTGGCTGTAAGCAGACAAACGACATCTTTTGGTGTGTCATTGCTAACCCAAGCAGCACACTTCCTCGGCCCAGGCTTAGGCCAGATTGGCGCGAGCTAGAGCCTACTTGGCTCAAGCCTGGCCCAAGCTTGGGCTAAACTGGCCAAAGATACGAGCCGGGGAAGTGTGCTGCTAGGGAAATCTTCATCTCAAGAGCGGTGTGGACCCACAGAAAAGAATCGAGCGGTCATGATGGAGCTTTCTACAAGACAGGGGCGAGTGAAACCTTGGCAGCGCTGATCTCCCTTCTTTCTATACTTCGCAAAGAGCAGCCGGCTAGGCAAAACGTTCCGGCTAACCTCCTGATTTTTTTCCGGAATCCAATCCAATCAATCAATCCTTCGCACAAGTGGCCGTCTGCAGACATTGCATACGGCCACTTGCAGAATCACTTGTAGAGCCTCGTTTTGAGCTTGCGCCTTTTATTTATACATACTGCACAGATGTAGGCCTTTCTACGCGCATCACGCAATACATTAATGCCAAGAATAAAACATCGCGGCCCCTCGGCGGTAAATGGCCACGATCGAGCTGGAGTTACAATGGTTCCCGACCACCGCAGGAATCGTCTCTAGCGAGGGCCACCGTCACCCGTTCAGCAGCAAGTTCATGAGGCTCTATTCGGCGGGGCCCATGACACGCTACGCCTGCGACTTGGCACCCATGCTCAAGGCCATGCTTCCACCGGGGGCGCGCGACAAGCTCGACCTCGATGCGCAAGTGCGTACGACGTCTGTTCCTAAAGATTCTGGGACAATCGATAGAAAATACGTCCTACAGTGCTGAGTAGTGTGGGCAACCTTGTGATCCAAAGCGTTTGACCAGGGTGCCCGCATGTTCAATCGTTTCTGACCATTTCCACCGCGTGGTGGCTAAGTACAATTAGCCACGCAAGCGGCGCTAGGCCGGTGATAAAAGCTCAGTGCAGAGTGTACGCGAGGGGCCTTTAGGAAGCGGCGCACGGTAATAACAGTCAATAAAGGACTACGTGTTGATGAACCAGTGCATTGTGTCGTTCTCCGGGGCGGGTGGCAGCAAGGGAAATCCTACAGGCGATAGCACGGATCTGTGAACAACGCGTGCTTTTAATATTTAAGCATTGAATGGGTACATGAATGGAAGAAACGTTTATCGCAGCCTTAATCGAGCGGTTTCATTTGAGCTTGGTTTAACATTGAATAGATTCAGTTACCAGATTACTGAAGGCCCGAGCTCTGCGAGCGGACGACCTTAGCGAGAAATCGCTCAGTCATTTTCTTCTTGTTATCGAGGAAAACAAAATCTGTGAGAAAAAGGAGTCCGAAATTTAAAGCACATCATGCACTCGCAGGTGGACCTGAAGAAGATTCGGATGTTCTACGTCGAGGACGAGGGCTGTAGATTTTTCTCCAGAGTTCACGCAGACGTCACGACATCTGTTCAGCGGGTAAGGTCAAACAATACCTCCGCCAGCAAACGCAGCCATATTGGCATCCTCTACGAATGAAATCTTTTGTGCCTACCTACGCTCAAGACGGCCACTCCCTGACCCCGACATTGCAGGTGGCGTCCCATTTCCACGAGGTCCACGGCATCTCGACGGAACGCATCACGATCGAGGCCATGGCGTGCGGTTTCGAGATGTGGCTGAGCCTGCTGGCAGTCAGCGAGGGAGACCCACCCACAGCGGCCTTCACAAATGCGGACGGCTCGCCCATCAACCCGTGGCTCGAGATGCTCAAGAGCGCCATCGGCAGGTGCGGACTTCTGCGAAGAACCCTAGACGGGAAGGCGTTATCGTAACCGCTCCTATGGATATATCTACAGCTATTACGAGATGCGCTTGAATAGCAATAGGAACCTCATGAGCCTAGACAAAATCTAGGATATTAACTAATGTCAGGCAGTAGGGCAGACCATTTTACCCCTAAATGTCAGTAAAGTTGCAATGGGGCCGTATCTACCACCGCAGAACAAGAACGTTGTGAGGTCAGGGATTAAGATTGCAGAGCTCTCCTGAAATGCAAAGCTGTAACTTTACTCAGCTCGAATATTCGGTTCTGGACCATGGAGAAATAGGTTCTAAAGTCAATAACTAATAGAAATACGCCATTACCGAGGTCAGCGCAAGCGCGTGATTGATTACGCGCTTACGGGACGTTAATCATAACATATACCCGTATACTTATAATACATTTTAATCGCCATTACGACAGATGAGGCACGTGTGAGTGGGTGTGATTTTGTATATTTATTGGACTTGTCAATGTTGATTCATATTCCTTTTTACGAAGATTGGAGTTTTTCTTTAGCCAGGGTTGTCACCTCGGTGACTTTTCCTTCGGACGTACAAATGACGTTATTAATCGTGGGCATAATCACTGTTCCTTATTCGTACTGCGGGATATAGTAGATTTGTACGAATTGTTTCACTGTTCGCTATATTTCTCGTTAACATAACCACCGTATATTCGCTAATAAACCCCTTAGCAGGGCCCGGCGAGGCACGTTAAATAAATAAACAACGGACGAAGCGGGATTCTAGTTTCCGCGTCAAGCAAGGCAGAAAAAAACTGACTTTGTCCGCCAACAAAACGAAATTCGCTCGCTTACAAGCTTATTTTTTTGTGGACACCCAATCGCTGCGGACATGATGACATCTGCGGACACGCCTAAAGGATGTCGGAGCTTCATGTATGCTTGAAACATGTCTTCAGTCCTCTTTTGTATAAGCAATGTCATACGAGGAAGGCCTGAGACAGTGTACGCCGACTGTCGTTTGCACGATGTATCCACAGTGTGCGGCGCGGTCTTAAGGCCCATTCACACTCTTGCAACCGAGTACGACCGAGAGAGACGAGACTTGTTAAAACCTCTTAAAATTTCTTAGGACGAGAGAACACACTGGCACGCTGGCGCCATCTATGCGGTGACCCTGGAACTGCCTTTCACAAGAGCGAAGGTTTCGCGGTATCTCCGAGGTCAAATGTGCGTAATGCCTATAAGAAAGGCTCGTTTACAACGTTAACAAAAGTTTGTCGAGCCAAGAAAGAAAGCATAATGCGCGAGAGAAATAGAAAATATGTCGGACCGCCAAGTTTACACTGCTACCCAACAGAGTGCGCCAGTGTACCCTCTGGTTGTAAGAGGTTTTAAGGAACCCAGTTTTAAGAAGTCGTAAGAGTGTGAACGGGCCTTAAAGGCCCGTTCACACTCTTATGACCTCTTAAAGAGACCGAGTTCCCTGCGTGAACGCGGCAGTGTCGCCGGCGCACGCAGGTCGGCGCACTCATTTCCCGCCCTCATGGTGACCATCCTGGTGAACCACCTGATGCCCAAGCCGGACTCGTCGTACGTCCGGCGGTACACCACAATGGCGGCCGAGCTGCGAGCTCGCCTGCAGTCCCTGCTGGGAGACGACGGCGTGCTCGTGTGCCCGACCGCCCTGGAGCCAGCGCCGTTCCACAACGCTCACGCGCTGCGGCCCGGTGCCGTCACCCTGACCGCCCCCGTGAACATCGCGGGGCTGCCGGCCACCGCCTGCCCCGTGGGACCCACTCGCGCCGGGGACCGACCCGTCGGCGTTCAGGTCGTGGCCGGGCCGTACAGGGACCGCCTCTGCCTCGCCGTCGCCAGCGAGATCGAGCGAGCCTTCGGGGGCTGGCAGAGGCCGTGCGAGGTTCGCTGCGACGGCTCCTGAAGACGCCTCGGCCGAACTTCGCTGTTTAGTTGGACCATCTGCGGACTTGGTGTGTTGTACAGGGTCAGTGTTCGCGGGAACGCGCGACAAGTAACGGCGTTACCGGTGAGGCGTTACTTTTTTCTGTAACGTAGTAGAGTACTTGTTACACTCTCAGGTTAGTAAAGGATAAGTATAACCAACTTACGGGAGTAATTTGGGGTAACGGCGAACGTAGTTAAGTAACCGTCGCATCGTTTTTGCCGAAACTAAAAAAAAAAAAAGACCACTTAAATTTTTTTTTTTCTGTGTGGTTATAGACGCCAAGACATGAATTCTTTTCAGCATTTCTTTTAGGATTTTTACTTTTGTATTTAAATATACCTGTTAAAAATGTAATTATGTTAAGTTTATGCATGGAGATTATGTTTATTGAAATATGGTGCTTGTGCATACCTGTAACGTCGGAACAATTAAAAGTTTTAATTCGTAAATACAAAGTAACGCAAAGGATTTTTTTTTTATTTGCAACGATACTCAAATAGTAAAAAGTGGCACTACATATAACTTACGACATGACAGTTCAATGCACTATTACAAAAATACGTACGAACTATGGCGATCAAAGTCTATCGCACCGAATCACCCAACTACTAAACCTAGACCCACGAATAGTTGGTATTATCGAAAAAACGAGTTCAATAGGTTAGATAGATTGACACCTTTTGAAACGGCTCAGAGGGGCTGTCAGAAGGCGCATAGGGAAAAGTCGGTGCCGTGTAGCGTAGGCGTGGTGTATGAGGTTCCTTTGGCGTGTGGTTTTAAGTATGTAGGCCAAACCTCTCGGTGTTTAAACGATCGTTTAACAGAACACAAAAGGAATGTTAAAAATAATGCAGCAAATTCGGAGTTGGCTAAGCATCTGGAGGAGTGTAGAAACTGCACAACGGATTGGTCAGGAACGGATGTAGTTGTTAAGGAAAGGAACGATGTTAAAAGGGTGGTAAGAGAAGCAATTAGGATTAGATCGTTGGGAAATTGCATTAGTCAACCTTCCATGCAAATAGGGAACCGCTGCAAGCAATTTTTACAATTTTAAGTGTTTTTTTTTTTTTTTTTTTTTTTAGTTAGTCGTTCTGAGAGGCTTCGTTGGTGTGTATTGTCTGTGGTGTGTACCGGTGTGTATTGTCTGGTTTCTACAATTTTGGAGGTGACCAGTTTTGAGTGGGATGTTGTTGTTGGCTGTTGTCCTGTTCATTGTGAGGACACAAAAGAGTTGCTTGGGGCTTTGTGAGGCATATCTTCTGCTAGAACTTTTTCACTTGGAAACGTTGGGAGTGTCCGCTTCTTTTGTGATATAGTGGAACCTGTAAAGTCACGGTGCAAAGGACAAGTCGTATGTGATTGGTTGTTGACGACGAAAACGAACTATATAAGAGGAAATTTTTTGAAATAAACGTGTAGCTGAGTTTGAGACCTGTCTGTTTTTTCTGTTTCTTCTGCTCTTCAAAAAACCCCCCCAGTCTCAGGGTAAACGACGAAATGGTTGACTTCCACCAGCTAGCCTGTACTTTGACTCTTTTCGAGTTCAATAGGACTTATTAAAATCAAAATAAAAGTTTATATTTTTTTACTTTTATGTGATTCTTGGATAACAGTGTATTGCATTCTTTATTATTATTTACTTTTTAAAGCGTTCTGTATGTGATGTGCCCTGTTGAAACCTGAATGGGAGTTATGTCAGGTGCTTTTATTCACCTTTAGTTCCTAAACCCCACGAAATGGCGAATAAATACAAATGCAAATACATTACACAGGGTATATCTCGATGGCCGATGTCAGGGGAAAGATAGAAGGAGAGGCGGAAGACAGGCAGACAGTTTTAATTATAAGGCAATTAAATGCAAAGGTGCAAGCGAGCTGGACAAGAATGACGAAAATAATCCCTGGAGAAGGGGAACAAGAGGGACACGGGACAACCAAAAATCTCTAAACACAGCTAGGTGACTGGTGCCCGGACCAGGCGGATTTTTTCGGTCGCGCACCAGTCACCTAGCTGTGTTTGGAGATTTCTGTCTGTCCTTTGTCCCCCTTGTTCCTTTTCTCCAGGGATGATTTTCGTCAGGCAGACAGTATCTACTTCGTTTCTTCGCGAGGCGGGAAAAAGAGGCAGAGAAGAACAGGTGATGGTGGTTGGATTCTGAAAGGCGTGATCGTCATCTCGAAAACGCAACTAAAAACCGATGAATAACGTACGCATTTGACAAAACGAATTTATTTTCCTCCAACTTGCTCTTTGCGTATGACCAGTATTCCCTTGCTCACAACTATAGTAACTTTGAATCGCTAACTTCGACCACATCGTGTAGTTGATTAAAAAATAATACTTTAACATTTTATACATCATCCACACTTGTCGAGATCGCGTGATATTGCTTCCTCCGCAAATGGCAGCCTGATCGTGGCGCTTGTATGAGAGGACATAAAGCACATTTCGTTCGAGTTCTGTGTCATTTTATATTTCTTGGCGCATCATAGCCTTAGTTGCTTTTGCGCCACAAAACCCCAATCTACTACTACTACTACTGTGTCGTCTTACCCTCTCCACTTCGAAAGCCTGCCCTCTGTTGGAGGCTGCGAACACAGATGACGCAGCGCAAGCAACGCTACAAGACGATGGATGCAAAAGTGCAACGTCACGGCGCTCGTTGTCTGCCAGTGCGTGTGCTGTACCATAGGCTAAACCAATGAAGCGCAGGCATGTGCCGCGACATAAAATACTACATCACATATTTTTTAGCTGTGTGGTAAGTATGAATGGCCAAAAAGATGCTTCAAATGAAAATACTTGTCATTGCAGAACTGCGTCATAGTGTTATAAGGAGATCAAGCTAAATAATGATCGAAAGGTGTAGTCGCTACTATTTACTGTAAGTGTTTTCAATCGTCGTAACTTAATAGTAAATCATAAAAGTCGAGATTTTTTATATTCATTTCTAATTATAAAAAGCTGTAATTCGTACATTCGTACAATATTTCCACTCGAAGTTACAGGCCACTCAGCCAGCGCTAAGGCGCAGCGAAGCCCAAGCGCTCAGCCGACTCGCTTTTCCGCTCGCTGGCCTAGCTACAGTGACGTCACGGAGCGGGCGGGCAGGCCTTAGTTTTAAAAAGGTGTTGGTAAGACCCGCTTTGCTGATGAGCAAACACACGCAGTTGTTTACCACGTGACTGCAGGGCTTCACTGTCTTCGTCCTGGTTAAAGGGGAGGAGCTTCGGCGGTTTCCGAGCTACCCAAACCATACGAAATTTTGGAATACCGATGCTTTACACTTTACGGTGTGTTATTTGTTATCTTCATATTCAGAATGGCTATTCCGAAAACGGCAAATGAGGGTGGCCAACATTCAAATGTTTCAGTGCTTTCCAGTGGGGTGACGCATAGCCTCCTCTAAGGGTGGTTCAAGTCACCAGGCTCGATCTAAAATGGACCGCAAAAATCGACGTCTGCACTAGCAATCTAAACTTTTCGTCAAAAGTGTATTTCACAAGTCCGTTTTTTTTTTTTTTTTTGCAAAATTACAAAGCGTAGCTCTTTTTCTGTAAAAAATAAGGCCAAGAAACTTGCCAGGGTCCACGGCGGGCAGCAACGCAGACTACAGGTATGGTGCCTGGATCGCGTCTTCGACTGGTGTGTTTAGCGTCCTATCCCGCCCGTACATCAAAAGTGGTCCCAATGTGGCAACAAATGACGCGAGTGTCATGCTGTTGCCTGTCGCGATCCTGGCGGTTGGCCGTAGAAATGCTGGCGAAAAGCACGAGCGAACGCGAGTGTCGCTTTCGTCACGGCGTCCCTTTAGGCGTCCCAACTTCCGGCTGCTCCAGCTTCCGTGAACTGTCACACTGGAAAGCGACCTGCAGCAGAACAGGCGTCTGCCACTTATACCACAACTGTTGGGGCGCCGCCAGGGTTGCAACAGGCGACAACATGACAGAGCCGCAACATGATACTTTTATGACGTCATCAGGCGGAAATCAAGGGACCACTTTTTTGAACCCAGTAAACACACCAGTCGGAGACGCGTTCCAGGCACCATACTACAGGGGTCCAGTAGCGTGATATGTTTGGCGTTCGTATTGATAGATGGCGCTACCTCCTAATCGCGACGCAAACACATCGAGGGGCTTTAATCGCGACGGCTCGTGACCACCGTGGTTTATTAAAATAAATATAATCTTTCTGAAATGTATCTTCGGTTAAAAATTGAATGCGAACAATAAAAGCAAAACTTAAAATAAAAGATAACGCGTCTGCATAACGGCGGCGCTTTTGCTGCCAACGGATTTCGTGCGTGTCGTCTGCTATCATTCGCTGGTCGGCTGCGCCTTCAGACGCTGCTCCCGACGCCATCTATATATGCGAATGGCAAACACAGCCCGCTACTGGACTTGGTCGTCTGGGTCACCGCCCGCCGTATACCCTGGCAAGTTTCTCTGCCCTATTTTTTACTTAAAGAGAACTATGCTCTGTATTTTACAAGAAAAAACCGACTTGTGAAATACACCTTTGACGAAAAGTTTAGACTTCTATGTGCAGGCGTCGATTTTTACGGTCCATTTTAGATCGAGCCTGGTGACTTGGACCACCCTATATACTCACAAAGCCTGGCAGTTCGACGACAGAGCCATAGAATGCCCGGTCGCAGATTTGAAGCGCGAGGATCGGGTAGCACAGAGCATTTCTGGTATTCAGCGCACAGCTTCTGCAGCGGCGAAGACCCGAAACATGGTTGTCAAACTCGACGAGAAAAGAAGCGGTTGCGCGAAGAACGCGACGAGCACGAGCGGACATTCCATCGCTCGGGAAAATTATGTTTCGGCGTCTCGCCGCAGTGGGGCGCCCGTTACGTGCCTCTCCTCTCATCCGTTGTCTGCCACTACCTTTTCACTTTCGGCGGCCGCGTCTCGTGGCGATCTGTCAGGCTTTGTCAGTATAAAGAAGGCTATGGGTGTCGTCACATGTTGCATAACTTGCAACTTGAGAAAGCAGTTATAGACAACGATATTATGAGCATATTTCTTCGTTCTGCTGTCGCGAACTCAACCAGCATTCATTTCGCACGTCAACCCTTTGTAATCTCTCCGGAGCGAACTGTAATGCCTTCATATCGCCCCATTTTTCAACTGACGTCACGGTTCAGGGTTTTTTTTGGTATAGAGCTTCCAATCCCAAATTTGAAACTTCAACAACCTCGCAAAAAGAAAACTATCTTTGCGACTTGAAATTTGAAGTACTAGTTCAGAGGCGTCTTTTAATCTGTTGAATCAGCGACTATCAACATTTGGCCCGAGCTTTCCTTTAATTGTTCCGTGGTCGTGAGGGCTGGCGTTCTACGTGGGCCGCCAACGGAGCGGTCCGCTAGACGTAGCCGTTCTCGCAGTCGAACATGTAGTACTTGAGGAAAGAAAGCTGCGGCACCCAACGAGCCTTGTCCCGGTAGGCGAGCCTTTCCTGACGTGGCCAGGTGCTCTTGTACGTCACGTAGGTGTGCACTGAATGGAAACACAAAGGCAACATTCAGGAGTCCTCACTTTGATTGAACTGTAGACCGTGCAAAAATTGTTTGGGCGCATTATATTTCCGTGCGGTACGATAGTTTTCAGTCATGCAACAGCACGGTCCACGCAAAACATATAGTGCGCGCTGACACTCAGTATATCTAGAGCCACTAAATGAGCTGCGCTTAGAGTATCGGCACTCTGTTCCCCGACATCGCTGTGGGCGCCGCCATTTTGGTGCTTGTGCAGAGCAGACGCAACTGCCGATTGTCATGATTCAAAAGTGCGACTTTCTTGACATTAGATTCGATTTTAGGAAGCTCATGTAATATTGATTTGCTCTGTCACGAACTATTTAAACATTTCTGGAGGACGGGAAAGCGCTTCCTGTGATTTCAGATAAAGCTTCAGATAACGGGAAACCATGATTTTATGCCACAAGAAGGGTAAGTGTCGTTACTCTGAAACGGAGCTTATTTAGTGGCGCTAGTTCACATGTGGCAGGCGGTAGTGCAAGAGAGAGCTCCTGTCGTCTCGTGCTCTGCTCGCGTCACTCTAAAAAAAAAGCCCGTGCGTCTGCTTTCCCGCACAACACTTGGAGAGCCAACCACCGCAACTTACGGAGGCAGATCAACGAATGACGATGCCGAAACATATGTTTAGACGAAAAAACGCGCTCTGAGTTGTGACATTAAGCAATGCAAGCGTGACGTTTTGCATTGCTTAATGTCACAACTCGGACCGCGCTTCTTGGTCTAAAGATATGTTTCGTCATCGCCATTTGCTGAGCTGCCTCCATAAGTTGAGGTGATTGGTTCTTCAAGTTTTGTGCGGGAAAACAGACGCACAGGCATTTTTTAGGCTGTAGGCCCACAGCGGGGTTGTCGCACGAGCAGAAAGACTACTGTTCCCACGCTGCATGCCGGCAGCGGCGGCTTAACAAAAGAGGCCGGTCATATCCACTGGCGTACCAACTTGTTTTGAGTGGGGGGGGGGGGGGAGGGGGGGGACCAGCCCCCCCCCCCCCTAGGACCGGAGGGTGGTGCCCTTGGTATCCCTTGGGCACCGCCGGCCAGTGTTCGCCCTGCCCAGTGCCGGCTGTTTCAGGGGGGCAAAACACATGCCTTGCCCCCCTCTGAGAACTGGGGGGGGGGGGGGGGGGCGGGGGGCAAGCGCCCCCCTTGCCCCCCCGGTTGGTACGCCCATGATCATATCGGTATATTGACGTACTATCAAATACGAATGAAATGCGAACCAATTGTTCTTAAATCTATCAGCTGACAAGCTCCATGGAAGGGAGGCATCCGAAAACGGTTTATTCATTATTTTTTTATTTATTCAAACAGCTTGCAGATCAATTTCTGGAGACTACTCAAGGGGGATTTAGTCAAAGTACAGTATAAACAGCTTTAAAGGCACACACATGAAACAGTGGATTTCACATTCTCTCAGCCATGAGACCATGGACAATTTTAGCAGAAACACAACGCAGTTTCTACACCTTAATACTATTTGGGAAGAGCACCACCAGCAACGAAAAGTCGTGTATTGCACAAAACTTTGAAGCACTATTTAGGTAAAAACATCACGAGAAATATAAACTATAGGACACTCAGGTAATCTAGATAGCAGCTCGAAATGCAGCAAGATCTGAACAAGAGGTTATGTTGTCAGGGAGACTATTCCAGCGCATAACTGCGCGTGGCGATGCGGAGTTATTGAAAGCAGATGTGTGCCCGAAAATACGCTTATAGCTTCGAATGTTAAGCGTGTTTCACATGCAGCGATTTTGGCCCTAAAGCGGCGCGATTTCTGCCGTCGCGGCGCTCGTGCCACTGAATTGCTGGTGCTGGCCAGAGCGCCGCGACGGCAGAAATCGCGCCGCTCTAGGGCCAAAACCGCTGCATGTGAACTAGGCTTTAGACGGTGTGATGTTCGGTCAGGAGGTTCGAAGAGCTTGGCGATGACTCTAGTATAGCGTGATTTCTTAATAATGCATAGAAGGGCAGCGATACGACGCGTCTAAGTAGCTGTAGGGGGACTGAGCTTTTAACGAAGGATACACTTGTATGGCGGGAGTAGGGTGATGTTTTCTCTGTCGTCTGCACGCGAGCAGGACGGGCGGTTAGAGTTCCTAGCGCCACCATCATCAACGCCTCAAACGGGCCAAAAGGACCGTTTTAGAAAGACGCTCTTCTTGCGCCCATTTTTGCGCTAACTTTATGTTTACCAAAAAGCAAAAAAAAACAACAAAAAAAAACTAATATAATCTATCTCTACCGCAAGCATCGTGCATTAAACGTTTCATCGATTCTGCCGCTTCTAGGGCAGACTGAAAGTGCAGCGAGCCGCACCGAGCGCACGGGCCACGAAAACGGGCCATGCTATGTTTCACTTTAAAGTAACCATGAAATGATTTTTCAACTTCTTCCGCCTTAACTTTAATCCTCAACTGAAAAGCGAAATAAGAAATCGCGTGGTGGTGACGTGCTTGGGCACCGGTACGATGACTCCAAGCTTCCACCGTGCTTTTTAAGCAGAACATGGAACTTGTCATTCTCGAGCGATGATAAGTGCCATCACGGCACTCATTGGCAAGGAACGCCAATTCACATATATTCGTCGACGGATTGGTTGTTGACCAGCGCATACGTCTGAGTGACGCAGTGCTCGTGTCCAATGCGTGAGCTGGGCTCGGCTGACCTGCTTGGACTCCGCGGATGCATCACAGTGAAAAGGCGGAGAACTTTCGAAGGAAAGGAGGTACGAAATAGTCATTCATATTTTCAGATTCTCGTACCGAAAAGCAAACTTTAGGCTTTGTACGCTCGTGTACTAGTTTTATTTTGGCGCACTAAATGATATACGATTAGTAAAATCCCAATTTATCCCCGTCGAAAATTCTTTTCAAGGTCCCTTTAAGTGTGAGCGTGGTAGAAGCTACAAGAGCGAGCTCTGGGGGCTTTTAGCGTCCCCACCAAACACCCGCGCTCGTGCAGTTAAGTAAAACAGAGTATAGGCGTTCTTAAAAAAAAGTGAAAGCTGCTTACAACTCCCTGTAACGCCGAATTAGAGCGCAGCTCTTGAGGAGGAGGAGGGAAGGGCACTGGGGGGGGGGCTAAACTAACCAGGGGGGGTCACGTGACCTTGGGGGGTCACGTGACCTTGGGGGTCACGTGACCGCCAATGCCGATGATGTCATCACTGAGGTCACTGATGACGTCATCATTGACGATCACGATGCGGGTACCGATGACGTCATTAGTGACGTCACTGATGACTTCGCCAGTGATGATGACGATGCGAATGTCGGTGACGTCATCAGTGACGTCGCTGATGACGTCATCAGTGATGATGACGATGACGATGCGGATGTCGGTAACGTCATCAGTGATGATGACGATGACGATGCGGATGCCGGTGACGTCATCAGTGATGATGACGATGACGATGCGGATGCCGGTGACGTCATCAGTGACGATGACGATGACGATGCGGATGCCGGTGACGACATCAGTGACGTCACTGATGACGTCATCAGTGATGATGACGATGACGATGCGGATGTCGGTAACGTCATCAGTGATGATGACGATGACGATGCGGATGCCGGTGACGTCATCAGTGATGATGACGATGTGGATGCCGGTGACGTCATCAGTGATGATGACGTCATCAGTGATGATGACGATGACGATGTGGATGCCGGTGACGTCATCAGTGACGATGACGTCATTGGGGGTCACGCGACATCGGCGGGGGTCACGTGACCTCAGGGGAGTCACGTGACTCCGGGGGGTCACGTGACCTCGGGGGGGTCACGTGCCCCCCACGAGGTCACGTGACCCCGGTGGGGGGCTCGCGCGGTGCATTATGGGACATTTCCCATAATGCACCGAGGTCACGTGACCTCGGGGGGGTCACGTGCCCCCCCACGAGGTGACGTGACCCCGGTGGGGGGCTCGCGCGGTGCATTATGGGACATTTCCCATGATGCACCGCGCGGTTACGCCGACGGCGACGCCAACGGCGACGGCGACGCCGACGCCGCTCAAGCCGGAAACGGGCCCCTAAGAGCTGCGCTCTAAAATATATATTGGGTTCTGTGTATGTTTATACAGCCTAGAACTTAGTCTGCCTCTACGGGCGACTTGTCTCCAAGCTGTAGAAGAGCCATTTTGCCAGTGCAGTACAACCGCTATCCTCGGACATTTAACGTGCACCACGCAGGAGTAATACACGACCGCACGCCGGTACGATGCTCATCCAGATCGAAACGGGCACGGGTGGGGATTGAACTCCCTGGGTTCTGCAGCGTGAGCTTTCGCTGCACGTGCTCCGAGCTGGTGTGCGCTAGACCACTCGGCCACCGATCCCCTTATAGGCGTTCTAGGAAGCTTCTCAACTGACTTTGATCTATTAGCGCCGAGATGTTTAGGTGGCGCCCTGTTATGGTTCCCTCCGTGACGTCACGAGTGGGATTTGCCTCGCCGTGACGTCACCAGTTGTTACCCTTGCAACTTACCTTCAGGTTGGACGACGAGTTCGATGGTGTGTTCATCGCAATCCGAAACTAACACCGTCAAAGTTGACAATCTGACAACGCTCATATGCCCAGGTTTGGCCAATCGTGGAAAGTAGTTTATGAAGGCTCCATAGTGGAAAGCTGACCGCAGCGACCCCTTCTGGTCGCGCACATCGCTAATACTCCGTTTCACCTTATGATGTACCGCAGCGAAGGCTAGAAGCGCGAGCTCATAGCGTTGGCAGCTGCCTTTAATGCACGAGAGCTTGTGCCGCCGAGATGTGCCCTAGAGCAAGGAGCTCGCGCTTGTAGCCTTTCGTGCGGTACAACACAAGGTGAAAAAGGGTATAGTAACGTTGAAGCGAACAGAGGAGTGGCGTAGCCTACGGTACATGCCGCGCTACCTAGAGGCAACTAAGAACTGATAAATCTACAGAGTGGAAAGGGGGCTGCGAGAGTGCGAACCTACTCTGTAGTTTACGTATGCACGTATCCTATAAACGACTCTGTAGTCTGTAGGATGCGCGCATACCTTACAGATATGCCTACCCCGTAGTTTTATCATTTATATATTCCTCACAAGATGTCAAAGCAACATGGAGGCGCCTGTGTGGTCGAAAAGCAAAGCGCCAGTGACGCCTGCGTGGGTGCCTCCATGTTGGGATCATGGAGGCACCCCCGATGATCACATCATGGAGATGATCGCATCACGCAATGGACAGGTGTACGAGTGGTACGACGCGACGCAAAATAACGGATGGACCAAGGCCTAAAGGCTCGTTCACACAGTTGCGTTTGACTGCGTTTGACTACGTTTGACTGTCTGACTGTGCTGCGTCGGGCTATTGCTATGACGACCCTTAGGGCGAAACAATAGGGAGGCGCTGTGCTGCACGACGCGGCGCAACGCAGTCGACGCAACTGTGTGACAACGGGAACGTTCACAGGAACACGCGGAACACTATCAGTCGATACTTTTTCAGGTCGTGGCTCGTGTCTGTTTACCTGATCCGTCTTCGTAGCATTCAAGTTGGACGAGGAAGTTGCAGTTGTCGGTGTCCAGAACCAAAGACTGACTCCAAGCTGCGTTGAAAACGAGACAAGAATATGCAGTTACAAAAAGACGAAGCCGTTTACAACTCCCTGCAACGCCGAATTAGAGCGCAGCTCTTGATGAGGAGGAGAGAAGGGTACTGAGGGGAGGGTATACCCCTCCTTCTTCTCCTCCTCCTCCCCTCATTCTTCAATTTCCCCCGAGGGGGGGGTCACCTGACCTTGGGGGAGGGGGTCACGTGACCTGGGGGTCGCGTGGCCTTGGGGGGTTACGTGACTTCGGGGGGGGGGGGTCACGTGACCTCAGGGGGAGGGGCGTCACGTGACGCTGGGAGGGAGGGGTCACGTGACCTCGGGGAAGGGGGTCACATGACCTCGCGGTTACGCCGACGGCGTTCGGTGTTAACCTCAGGGGGAGGGGCGTCACGTGACGCTGGGAGGGAGGGGTCACGTGACCTCGGGGAAGGCGGTCACATGACCTCGCGGTTACGCCGGCGGCGACGGCGACGCCGACTCCGCTCAAGCCGGAAACGGGCCTCTAAGAGCTGCGCTCTAAAACGTGATTTGAAAGGGATAATTAATTTACGTGGCATACACGGATGTTTATTTTATCTCGCGAACCATCGCGGTAGGACGTACTTTGTCCTATAAAATCGGTTCGTCAGTTCAGCAAACTTACATCCGTTTCCGAGATCCCTCGACAGCTGGTTCGGAGAATTCCAGCCAGGCCTGGGATTATAGATGTACCTGCGTCGAGAGAAGAGAGGCTTAATTAGTATCTTTGAGAGATGATCACATCATGGAGGCATCCCCGCAGTTGCTACCGTGGCTCTTTGTTTCTTGACCAAACGACCACTTGGCACTTATTTGAACGTGAAACGTTCTTTGACTAGGTATTTGGTATTCCGTGAAGCCTGCATAAAAGCGTGGCCGTGAGGCTCGGCAGTGATTGGTTTTGAAGAGGTGGGGGGGGGGGGGGGGGGGGGGCTATTGCAGTAAAAAAGCGTTTGAGACATGCGGGAATCAAACCCAGACGATTACATTATTAAGCAAGTGTCCATCCAGCACGTCACGACACATACCTTTTTATTTATTTATTTATTTTTTTTTTATATACGAAAAAACGATTATTTATCTACAATGCCCTCCCTGAGTCGAGGTGCCGTTTGGCGGAAAAAACGTGCCGGGATCCGCTCTGCGTCCGGCAGATAGCAACTTGACGCCTTGTCACACGTTTTTAAAACCCGGGTACAGCGCCGGTATCTTCACTCCAGGAATTGCTATCGAGTGTCCATGCCACACGTTCATCCAGTCGCTAAACTAACCGATGAGGAACGCCGAGAGCGTAGACGCTACACGTTTCAGGTGCAATACAATTGCCCGGGAAATTGCTAGGCATTTTTTTTTTACTTATTTTTGTTCACCTCCTTTGACCGAGCGTTGCTATCTGCAAACTGAAATAACCGTATTTTTTTTATCTTAAAGCATGAAATGTTTTTTTTTTTTTTAACAGAACTTCCCAATCCCGAAATTGTGTCCGTCCGTGCGTGCATCTCCGGCTACATTTAGCGGGGAAATTGTGACGTCACAGCATCACGTGACCTATAAGCCAATTTAGTCTCCACGCTAGACCTGGCAGGGAAATAGACATCACGTGACAAACACCGAATCAGTTTCCCCGCTAAATTTACAACGAAAATTAATGTTTCACGACCTCACATCACGGGACCAAATTCGGTTTCCCCTGTAATTTATCTATGCAATTTTGACGTCACGTGACCCCGCGGCACGTGGCCCCTACACCAGTTCAATTTCCCCGCTAAATTCAGCTGGATAATTGACATCACGTGACCTGACGTCACGTGCTTTGAAGGTAGTGCGAGGGAAGGGAAGGTGGGAGAGGAGGAAGCGGACGCAACGCTGGCGAAGGGAGGGGGTTTCCCCTTCCCCTCGCCAGTGTTGCGTCCATTTCCTCCTTTCCCACCATATTTTCCTTCGCCCTACCTTCTTGGGGTGTCACCGACTGTAGTCACTAGTTTAGTTCCCCGCTAAATCTAGCGAAGGAATTGACGTCACATGGCCTATACACCAAGTCCGCTAAATTTAGCGAGAAAATCGATGAAAATATAGGTTAAACTTTACTCCCCGCAACGGCATGTTTAATGTCCTCAAAAACAAATTTAAACCATCGTACCTTAATTGCTCGTTCGCGCCAACAGTGTCGCGCAGTGTACGACCGTATGCCGGGACGCGAGCCGCTCACAGCGCCTTTACGCCTTTACCCCGACCGTAGTAAGTGCAGCGTACATACATGACAGTAGGGGAAGCGAGACACTCTAGAACTCGCGCACACATAAATATAAAACTTGCATCAGGAAAAACAAAAAGGGTTCTTCCCCAAACTCTTTTTGTTGGCGTGTTTATATTATTTACATAAACAAATTGTGCGCAATTTAAACTTCTCGTTGAAGGGTATTAGATTAGCAGTCGACCAAGAACAACTCGGTGCGTGAATAGCGAACAGGGACAGTGGATACAGATGTTCCTCGGGTTGGTGTATATCGCATGACCTCGTTTGAAACCTCCGATCTTTCGCATATAACTTTATTTTTGGAAAACAATGTGCGTGCGACGGCGCATAGTTCAGCATGATAATCAAAATTGGCGTTAAGACAGGAGGGTGATGGCGATGACAACTCCGCTGCGCCGGACGCGCGGTTTCTCAGAGAAAGCGCACCTCGTGAAACAACCTGGAAACTTGGTTCTAAAATAGGGGGACTCACGGCAGCCTCCGGCAGTCCTGGTTGCCGTTCTCGTAGCACTGGTACCTTCCGTCCCTGGTCCTGTCCACGGTGTCCTGGGCGCAGTACGGGTGCTTGCCCGGGATGCTCCAGATGGACCATGACTCGCCATTGTGGCCGCAGTTCAGCATCTGCGGGACGGCGCGTCAGCACAGGCTCCTGTTGCCAGACTGCCCCTACGTCATACAAAAGGCACGAATTTCTCTGCAGACACTCACAGAATCAATCATCTGCGGGCAGACAGTGTCTGCGGACTGTCTTTTGTATGATGTATTGGCAGTGCAACCGCGGCCATAGAGTTTCACTATGTCCGTCAATGCCGTTCCTGGGGGGTGTGAAACACCAAGCTTCTCCGCAAAACAACCAACGAATTAGCAATTTGGTACTCAATGTTCTAGGGAAAAAAAATGATGCCGCGATCGCTGTTGTCGCTTCGCTGATTCTCGACACGATACGTTAGCATTTAGCGCGGGGGTTCTGACTCTGCGAAGGATGTGAATTCCCACCTCGAAACGGTGTGCCTACTGTTTCGCGAGATGTAGATCTTACACTAAAGTACGACAAACTCTCCCAATACACGGCTCTGCATAGTGACAGAGTATTGGGAGAGTTTGGCGGCCATTCATTGATTTGAATAGGAGAGCACCTTGTGGCCAACCAGAGGCCACGAAACAGCCCCTAGCGGTGGTCGTGAGGTCTAAAAATGCGACTCGACTAATTTAAGCCGTTTTAGCGTCGCTAGATTAAAAAGGCATAACTCTTGGTGACTGAGAACTTAGTGCATCTCAGGTTTTCGTCACGTACATTTTGAACGGTAGTGCAAACGAACGTTCGCTCCAAACCAGGGAAACTGCGTAGTGGCGATCATTGCTGCTGATTTCCTATTGACGCCATTGTCACCGAGACGCCGAGATTGAACGCTTCTATTTCACGCTTTAGATGTCGTTTTCAATATTGTGACGTCGCGGTCTGCTAATGGACCTTTTCCGCATACAGACGGTACCAGCCGGTGGCTGCACGAACCTAAAATCGAGGAAGTGACCTACCTGCGCTGCCAATCGATGATGGCAGCGCAGGTAGGTACGCTACCAGTTTCATCGCTCTCTGAGCTGCGGCGAGTGCCCAGCGCGACTTTAAAGAGGGGCATCCGTGGCGTTCACCCAAACGTCGTGTTTTTCTTTACGTCCACTTTCTTTTTTTTTTTTTTTGCGTAACACAATTATATATATGCTGCAACTACGTGTTCTACTCGCTGATCCACAGCCTCCTTCCGAGATTCCTCGGTTTTTCGTGTCGACTTCCGCCGCTTAGCGTCGGGCGCTCGCGCGTGCGCACAACGCTTCTCGGAAAAGGTCCAGTGTTCGACACTGTGTCGCATTTTCAGTTTACACTCTAACCGCGGGGGGAATATTCGGCACTGGCGGCGGCCTTTGCTCCGCCCATTGGCCAAAATCTCCCAGTACACAGCTCTGCATAGTGGCGCTGACCATAGCAAACGGACTTTAACGTGCGGAAAGGGAACGGCGGAGTGGCGAGATAAAGTGCGCGCTTGGGTTCTTTCACCGTGCCTTTCAACGCGCAGAACTCGCATGATTTTCTCCATCGCCTAACGTTTTGACGAGCCCTACAGGAAAAGTATGGTTTACTTCGCAATCTGGACGAAGAGTCTCGCGCAGCAAGGGACGAAACTCGTCGTTAGGTGTTTTAACAGCAGGAGTCTAGTCTGTCAGAGTATGGCGACGTTGTTACCAACTGTAGATAATAAATTTAGCCAGTGCGGTGCGACTGCTGGCCCAGAGTCTTTAGCGTGCACCACGCAGTAGTGATACACGACCGCATGGCGGTAAGAAGCTCATCCAGATCAAAAACGGCTCAGGTGGGGATTGAAGCCAAGGTTCCTGGCATTGAAGACAGCGGATAACTGAACCGGTCCTCGACTGGCGTGTCTGCTGCGTCCCCTCAACTTCCGCCTCATGGTGTCATAAGGGTGTCACGTTGGAGAGCCTAGATCGTAGAGGTGGTTCAACGTAGAGGTGGTTCACAAGTGCACCTGCGGTGTATCGTCGCGTGGCGAGGAGGAAAGCTGCCGGAAAGACCGAGACGCTTGCAGACGGTCAACGATTTTGCCACGTCCTCTCGCAGCTCGTATCGCAAACGCGGTCCATAAACCACGTGACCCCAATCAAGCAGTTGAAAATTCTCTGTAAAGCGCGAAACACATGTACGACGAGACCGTCCGATCCGACGTGCGGACTGCCGGCATGACCTTGGTGGTAGAGGGTTTTCGTAGCACCGGAGAGCGTTGAAAACCCTCGCCTCCGACCGTCGTATTGCCTGATCGGACGTCGGATCGGAGGCTGTCGTCGTACATATGTTTCGCGCTTAACACAGGCTCTCACTAGGTCATGTTTTTGCCGCGGTTTTTGACGCGGCGACCACAGCGACACTCGCTTCCGGCGGTACTTTTTGCCGGGGCTTCTATAATCAGCTGCCGGGATCACGGCACCCGACAACATGATACGCCGGCTCAAATAACGCCATCATGTCGTTGCCACCGTCGGGACCACTTTGGATGCATGGGCGGGATCGGACGCTAAACACACCAGTCTGAGACGTGTTTCAAGCTACCATACTTCAGCGCCTACCAGCGTGAAATCGCGATCCCCAGGTTCATCTCAAGGGAGCCAACGACAAAACGTTTGAAATGATTGTGAAATACATATGCGTTCCAGCAACACCAACGCCGCATCCACCCCGTCATCAGCATCCGCAGTCGGACTGGTATTAAATGACACCAATTCTAGCGTTCTAACAGCCTTCGCTGAAGATATTATCGGCAAAAAATATGACTGCGCAGACCCCACCCGTGTGTCCGCCAGAAGGAGGCGGTGTGCAAAAGAGCCAGTGTAGAGCCAATCTGAGTAACAGCTGCTGTGTCAGAAGAAACCAGCGCATCACGAAAGACAGCGGAGTCGTTGCCTTCGGATCCCACTGCTTCGACGAACTTCGTAGAAACTCTTTAAACGCAAAAAAAAAAAAAAAACAACTTATGGAGCACGATAGGTGTTTGTGTACATTCCAGGCCATCGTAAGCATCTGCATCGTTGCTGGCATTACGTGCGGAAAAATTCTCGTCAAGTCGAAATGCTTGAATCCAGTCTCAGAATCGCGGTTAGAGGAGGTCCAGAGGGGAGGTTCTGTGCACGACGAGAGTCAAGGTGGCCAGCAAGAACGAAACTATGTCTGCCGTCACCGCCCCCTGCGAAGCGGAGGGTTCTCTTCGACACAGACACACTTGCTCCCCCGGCGTCACCACATTGATGCCAAGCGCACGCTTTGCCCTCCACTTTTATGTTACGTCCACTCCGATTCGACGATCATAGTGGAACTAATCTAGGAGGCGTTGGTCAGTGGCCACATTCACACGCTGCAGATCGATTCGACTCAACACCCGGGCGAATGCTCGGCCCTCCGGTGTACGCGAGCAACTCATTCATTATTTTGATGGTGGACTTAGTTCGGTCATTTACTCCGCAGGTTCACCACGGACAAAGCCATCACGCGCCGAGCGAGACCCCGATCCGGGGACCTTATCCTGCGTTCCGTAGCAATTTCGAAAATCGGTTAGAATGTCGTCACACGAGTATCTGGCGCACTTCCGCGAGTGCGCGCTGTCCGGAAGTGCTCCGCATAGGCAGAAGTCATTTACACACAGACACACACACTTCACACGGAGTAGTCGGAATGACTAACTCAAAGGTACATTTACAAATGTTGTGTTTTTTTTGTGTGTTTTTTTTTTTTGTTATTCATATTTGTCGGCGGCATCACCGGACAGTCTTCAGCAGCCGCCCGTGTCGCTATTTTGAATTTGCGTTTGCACAGATAATACAAAATGAATGAGGAGATAGAAATCGAGCCAAAACTCTGAATTAAGATAGCAACACAACTACGGAGGCGTACAAATAAAAATAAAGAAGAAGTCATTTGTGGCTGAGGCTTAACGCAACGTGTGCGTAAACATTCGCAGCGATGGAAGCGGCATTTTTCCTTCTGAATTAATGAATATTTATTAAGAAATTAATGGATGAAGTGCGTGTTGACGCTGGTCAAGATTGAAGAAAGACGTAACATGTAGGGCGAAGACGACAGAGCCACATATTTCAAATAGCAACGGGCATTCAAGACACACATGTGTATCTGTGAGAGTGGAGAGGGTATTGTAGCAGGCAAAATATTTGATTGTTTGGGGCAGCCACTGGCAATTTTGGAGCAGACGCTGACATCTGTTAGTATGTTACTTGAAGATAAAATAATTGTTGCACCGCTAAATGAACCCTTCTTTGATAATAATTGAAGGTTCCCCTTCGGGTGTAAAAGGAATACACAACTTACTTTTTTAGAAATAAACTCAGAGTCGGTAGTACGAAAAAGATACGGCTGCAAAATGAATCATAGCACAACCCCTCAGTTGACGTAAAGCCTCTCTCTCCTACCCCTTGTACACACCCCATAGTTTATTTATCCATATAATTATTTCTGTAAAATGCGGGGAAAAAACACAGCATATTCGCATACCATAAAATAAAAATATTACGTCACATGAAGTCGCATGAACAAACCAAACTCAAGATTCTAATACCATACACAGCAAAGGCAACAACCCACAACTATGAAAACCTTCAGTTGCTCATTAAAAGTGACACTGCGCTTCAGCGACGTTGGAGTCAGAGCTGAGTCAGTATTCTCTGCCCTTTCACCGCGACTGCTGTACGGGAACTACTTTGACTACCAATTTTTTTTCTTCATACATAAACATCTTCTTTCTTTTTTTTTTTTTTGTCTTTTCTCGTCACAAGAGGCTAACACACAGTCAAGGCCAAATACAATCAACGTGTAATAGTAGGGTGACTGGAACGTGTCTCCAACAGGTGTGTTTACCGCGCCGCCCAAAAATGTGGTCCCTCGATATCCGCCTGATGACGTCATAGAAGTATCACGCTGTCGCCGGTCGCGATCCTAGCGGTGTCTCAACAGCGGTTCTGGGTGTGGCGGAGGCCTGTTCTGCTGCAGGTCGCTCTTCAGTGTGCCAGTCCACGGAAGCTTCGGCAGCCAGAAGTTGGAACGCCGCGACGACAGCGACACTCGCGTTCGCTCGTGCTTTTCACGAGTATTT